TACTAAACAAGCCAGCAACGTCACAGAATGCCTCCGAGGGCGATGATTCAGACGCAGCTCGGTTCGCGAGGTACCTCAAGTATCTTTACAATTACTGGCGCACACCGGAATATGCCAAATATCTCACTCATCCGGGAGCCACTCTACGAAATCTCGAGTTGCTCCAGCAAGAGCAGTTTCGAAAGGACATCATACGCCCGGATGTCATCGCAAAACTCTTCGAGACAGATGGTACACCTCATGCCACCACCGACGTGACCGATGGAATGGAGTCGTCCACGCAGCAAGTCTCTGGAGATGTTCAACACTAGCATCAGCTTAGCTGCCAAGCTAATGACTGCCTTGAAAGCTCTCGATGCATAGAGAATGTTCTTGGTGATACGGTAAAAACATCCCTATCACGAGTCAAGTGAGCACTCCGCCGAGGAAGCGAAAGCCTCAGTCATTCCTCATGCACTATCTACCACAGTCTGAAACATGCACCATAGCACGGACCAGAACTCTTCAAGCCGGACTGGAAGTTGAGTTGATGCCACCACTGTCCAAAACAGGCAATTGCAAACATTCACACTTCAACCAGTATGCGGTTGTGATAATGTGCCAGCTCGTCACCTCGCCGTAAGTAGGGAAATGCTTAGCACAATGTTGAAGAGGTGGACGGGAGCAGGATGTGAATAGCAACCCAGGCAATAAACAGACCCACTGCTCGCCCTTCTCTCGCTGGGTTGCTCATCCTTGTGCCGAATCTCCTGTTGCACATCGCGAGCGCCAATATAACAGGCCCTGGAAGAGTCAGAGTTATCGCAATGGGCCCGTCTTGATGTTCTATCCTCAGCAGATCATCACCACCACCGCCATCTCATGGTCTTGAAGGATTTGCTAGGAAGTTTGTCAAGAGCACCCGCATAATGCCGACTATAGGCGTATTGTTTGCTGCGGAAATAGTCAGGCAATCTTTAGATGGGAGCAATGAGATATTACCAAGTACTTCAGATGGATATGTGGTTTACCGCCCCTGAGACGCTGTTCAGTTACCTCGAAATGGGGTCAGGCCAAGATGGGGGTGTCACTTCCGCTCAGTGTACCTCGTAATCGGCACATAAAGAGGATCGACACGGCATGCAAGGCACCAGCTGGAATATGCAGGTACGAATACAACAGAGGTTTGCATCATAGACGGATACACCCGATATTTGGGACGCCTAGAGGTGATGCGTCGTTCAGAAACCTGTCATCAGCCGTCGAGGAAGCTCATAAGCTCGTATTGCTGTCGGGAAGTGAGCGGAACACCGATGAGAGAGTGCACTGATCGGATGGTGATAGAGCCGCGGTACGCCCCCTTACGCCACACCCAGACGATTCGGGAGTCTGGGGTAGGCCCAGCCTCCTCGACACACAACCATTCCCCTCCATTTCAACCCTCCAACACCAGCACGAGACCCTCTACCTTTGTATTCCTGCGACATTTTCGTTCAGCACCACAGTCCGCCTCTAAACTCAGAGCCTAGGTTCCATATTCTTCACAAAGCCTTCGACTAATCCTTCATCGCGCGCTTTACGGCACTGCCTCACTTTTCTCTCAATTCTGCGACTCTGTTAGAGAAACCGATAACACTATCTCTTGTCGTCTCGAGATTATATCGATTTGTTGTCGAAGCGCTTCTAGGACGAGTGCACTTACGACATACATCGCTAAATTCTTGGTGAGGCAAGCAGATACCGAGAGCCACTTTTCCGTGCTGGTATTTCAAATTTTCTGGTCGAAACGACGCAGAGTGAGGAACCGCAAGAGCAGGAACAACCGTTGGGGAAGAACAACGAGTGTTCCACAAGGCGCGGAGTCTACTCTGAACTTTTCAGCGATTCCTTTTCTGGCCAGAAGCTGAAGGCGACATGGTCTCCACGAGGCATCATCCGAGACCCTTCCCCGAGCCAGCAACTCCCAGCTCGACAACCCGTTCCAATGCCACGGACTCGCCCTCCAAATCTTCCTCGCCTCCACATTCCGATGACTCAATAGTCGTCTCGTCTTCTGCTTCTCGAAAGCGCCGATCGAATCGATCCTCTCATGCAAAGTCGTCAACGTCCCTGACCCCCGCTTACTCGCATAGAGCGCCACCCCTGCTGTTGATCTGGCTGTTCGTTTCCCTTCCCCTCGTGGTATGGGATACGGGCTATATCGCACTTCGTCCACACTCGATGCCAGGAGGGAAGTTCCACACCCCCATCTGGTCATTGTATGCTCTGTACGGTACGGTGGACTATGTGTATGGCTGGCCGGCGTGGGATGGACATGTGGGCTTCACAGCAGCACAGGCTTCCCTAAATGTCATTGAGACAGTCATGTACATCTACTACCTGAGCACAGTATTGAGCAACGGTACAGGAAGTCTCCTGAACTGTCGTTCTCTGCAGGGATTCTTCCTGGGTGAACGAGACAAATTCATCAGCGGGCCTGGCGTGGCCACAGCGGTCGTCGTCCTCTTCTCCGCTGCTGTGATGACCCTAAGCAAAACCATTTTGTACTGTGCGTCAAACCTATCAATTCTTTTCTTACCCCGTGTACTTTGAGAAGTCCTGATCCTTGGAGATACCGATGCTGACGACGGGACGAAACAGGGCTCAACGAGTACTTCTCGAATTTTGCCAATGTTGGCCACAATTCTCTGTACAACCTCGTTTTCTTATGGGTTATCCCCAACGGACTCTGGCTGATTTTTCCGGCGTACATGATTTACTTGCTCGGAAAAGAGATGGTGGCAGGAATGGAGGGCACTAAAGCGGAAAAGGAGGAGTGATGATGGCTAGAGCAAAGGCGATAAATAGAGGTAGGCAGTGTTTGATGATCGAACCGATTTAAGAACACCGCCACTGCTTTCCTCAGTCGGTCCTCTCGATTGCCGAAGCCACGAGGTGTCTAAAAGTTGTGCCGAGTATAGTAGATGCTGCTGCTGCTGCGAACGCTGTTGCGAACGCTATTGCAGTGTTTGCATTTACAGAAGTTCCAGAAAAGCCAAGATCGCTGCGGAATGCCGGAATTGGGCATTGACTGCTGTTTGCCCGATGGACGCCGTTTTAGCGGTCATCTTGGGGATCCATCAACCACCGAAGAGCCTTTTTTGTGCAACATGCTTGGGTTACAATTATGAGAGGAGCGGCTTCTTGTCGGAGACTACGAACGACAAATGCTGGTAACCCTCTCTCGGGTCAGATGGGAGCCAGGGAGCCCGGAGTCTTGGGGTGCACGACATTAGTTGAACCGAGAGTTGCGCTGTTTGAAGAAAGACAACCGCACGGAAGCACGGTGTGTTGTGATCATTAGTAATGCCCAGGTACAAAGAAAGGTGCATGTCAGTAGAAGAAGCTGGTGGGGAAAGCGTCGTGTCCTCGTAAGAACGGTATTGTTCTATGTAGCCGATCACTGTGGATATCGAAGGGTCTCTGGGTGTCTCGGTGAGTGTCAAATTTCGCAGCTCTCGTTGGCGAATCCTAGAAAGTGGACGGAAGGTTAGGGCCGAAGGAGCATCGAGTGGTCACGGTACAGCCAAAAGCATATAATGTGCTTGAATATAGGGTTACAATTGGCACAGACTAGGCACGGAGAAAGGAGTAACTATGTGATGCGTATGTCCGGATGGAATCACTTCCCCAGAAAGGCAACAAATGGGATAAACATCGGCCCTTGAGCGGATCCCGCGAAAAGACCATGGATGCATCAATTGCGGGGAGGTCCATTGAAGTCAACAGCCTGAATGGGTGAGACTCAACTCAAGAGGGGACGATCTGCAACCCGGCCATGTCCATATGATTCCATGAAATTTTCAGTTGAGATTGACCTGCACCCAGAAACCCAGCAAGCGACGGCGAGGTTGCGGAGTAACCAAAGCTAGCCACATTGAAGTATAGGCTGCCCACGGCTGCCTTCCTACCCTGTCTCCCACCGACAATTTGCGGGGTACAGCATCATTGACATGACTTGTCGAGATGCAGTGATCCTACCGACCCAGCGACCTCAACCACTCTCCTTCATGGCCTTCGTTACGTTGCCCTGACCGTGACATGGGGAATGCAACATTGCCTTCTTCCACATGCCGCTTCAGGCACCGGCAATGCAGCCCTCAAAGTCACACTATCGATCGCCTTCCTGGATCGACGCTCATTATTGTCCGCATAGTGCATCACAAGGCCTTCTCCCCACCCACTACTCGACAAGGCCATGGCATGGACTGGCATACAGGGAGCATAGACCATGTTCATGCCTTTGCTCCTGCCGCATTCATTGAGCTCCCTGTGCCAGCTCCGCCAGCTCCTCGTCTCCTCAGCTCCCCAGCTTACCCATCTTGCTTGCCAGTGCCTCCACCACCAACCCCCCCTTCTTCGGAGCGACGTGCCCTGTCTGCGCAAGAGAATGGAACAAAGGGAAAAATCAGACTCTCAATGACATCTACACTGACATGGCCCATACCATCTAGAGCCCGGGCGCTCAATTGTTCAAATACCCCCGAGGTTCTTCGACTGTCCACTCATTACTCACTCTTTCTTTCCGTCACCCGCAACTTGTATTCCTTCCTGCGGTGTGGCTCCCTGCCCGAGTCATCCCAACCCCCCCATCTGCTGTATCGACCTACAGCTGTGAGGTCTGTCGATTTTTTTTGTATCGACTACTTGGGCTGAGCCCCAACAATAATACCTACGGGATTCCTACTGGTTGACGTCAACACCAAGTACCGAGAATCAGCCTAATAAGCCCCCGGCGCCCTTGCAAAATGTGGCTCACGGATGCGGTTGTGGCGGCTTTGGCAGCATTGCCTTATCTTCCCCAGATCCAGGCCAGCGTAAGTGCAAGGTCCATTCCGCCCCTTTGTGCCCCCCAATAATCCCAGCGATCCGCGAGCGAATGGATTCTATGCCCCCTACCCATATTGTCAGATCTTAAAAGGCCCCTGAAATCTCAGGGCGTGTCAAACGAAAAAAACCCAGAGTCCCAAGATTATGCCAGAATGCTCCAACTCTTTTCTGCTCTCCTTTTTGTTAATGCTTCGGTACAATTGTCCGACTACTCACAAGCTGTCATAAAGCCTGTCGAGGCTGCAGATGCCATCTTCAAGCGTCAAGCCGCCCAGCCATTTAATAATGACTATACTGGCCCCATTTGGACATCGGACCCGAAGTACCCGTCCCCATGGGGTGCTGGAACGGGAGACTGGGCTGCAGCATACGAGAAAGCCCGTGCCTTTGTTAGTGGCTTGACTTTATTGGAGAAGGTCAACCTCACTACAGGTGTTGGGTAGGTACCCTCAAATATTGTTGTACGCACTGGTAAATCTGACTTTTGGCGAAGCTGGGAATCTGATCGATGTGTCGGAAATACTGGCTCTATCCCTCGTCTCGACTTTGAAGGCCTATGTTTACAAGATGGCCCCCTTGGTATTCGCTTTGGTTAGCATTCAAACTTCCGACAATCCTCATTGAACAGGAGAATTGACAACAGAACAGCCGATTATGTCTCTGCCTTCCCGGCCGGTCTGAATGTGGCTGCTACATGGAGCCGTGATCTTGCGAGGGCTCGAGGAGAAGCTATGGGAGCTGAGAATAGAGGCAAAGGGGTTGATGTCCAGCTCGGTCCCGTGTGTGGACCTCTCGGCCGCAATCCTGAAGGTGGTCGAAACTGGGTAAGAAGGCCTCATAGGAAATCGAAGGACTCGGCCTGTTGACCAGAAATAGGAAGGATTCAGTCCCGATCCTTATCTCACTGGCGCCTTGATCGGTCCTACCATCCAAGGTATCCAGAGCCAAGGCGTCATGGCGTGCACGAAGCATTACATTGGGAATGAACAAGAACACTTCCGCCAGGTCGGGGAATCCATCGGCTACGGTTACAACATCACGGCCACGCTCAGCTCAAATATTGACGACAAGACCATCCATGAGCTTTACCTCTGGCCTTTTGCTGATGCCGTTCGGGCTGGTACAGCGTCAGGTAGGTAATTGGGAGAGTCGCAACAGGGATCGAGGCTAACGTTGTCCAAGTCATGTGCTCTTACCAGCAAGTGAACAACTCGTACGGCTGTGCCAACTCTTACACAATGAATCACCTTCTCAAGGGTGAACTCGGATTCCAGGGTTTCGTCATGTCAGATTGGCAGGCTCAACATTCCGGAGTTGGCACCGCCTTGGCTGGACTCGACATGACCATGCCTGGTGACACACTATTCAATACCGGGTATACGTACTGGGGCACAAACCTCACTATTGCCGTGATCAATGGTACTATTCCTGAGTGGCGACTGGACGACATGGCCACGAGAATCATGGCAGGATACTTCTACGTCGGTCGCGATGCTGCCAGAGTCCCGGCCAACTTTTATGCCTGGGGTCAGGACACTTACGGACACGCTTCAGCTGCCGATCTCAATTCCCCTCTGATCATCGTCAACGAACATGTCAATGTCCAAGACGAGCATCGCAATATCATCAGACAGATTGGCCAGGCGTCCAATGTCCTTTTGAAGAACAATGGCGGCCTTCCTCTTACAGGTCAGGAAAAACAAGTGGCCGTGATTGGTTACGATGCTTGTGGCAACCCGTGGGGTCCCAATGGCTGCCCAAACCGTCAATGCAACAATGGAACCCTGGCCATGGCCTATGGGAGTGGCACCTGCGAATTTCCATATCTGGTGACACCAGAACAAGCGATCCAGCAATATGTTCTTACGCAGACCGACTCGGAGGTCTTCACCATTTGCGACAACTATGCAGACTCGCAGATCCAGAGTCTTGCCAGCCAAGCTGATGTTGCCATTGTTTTTGCCAACGCCGATTCTGGTGAAGGATTCATAACGATCGACGGCAACACTGGCGACCGCAATAATCTGTCTCTGTGGGAAGGAGCGGACCGCTTGATCAACAATGTGACCAAGTATAACAACAATACCATCGTGGTCATGCACACTGTGGGCGCTGTCAATGTTTCTGCATGGTATGACAACGAGAATGTTACTGCCATCCTATGGGCGGGTCTACCTGGTCAAGAGAGCGGCAATGCCCTCGTCGATGTCCTTTACGGTCTCGTTAACCCCGGTGGAAAATTACCCTTCACCATTGCCCGCAATCGGGACGACTACGGCACGGATGTTCTATATGAACCTAACAACGGGCAATTTGATGCTCCTCAAGTCCTCTTCTCGGAGGGGGTGTTCATTGATTACCGACATCTCGATGCAGCTGGGATCGAGCCAATCTATGAATTCGGATTCGGCCTCAGTTATACAACCTTTGAATATTCCAATCTGGTGATTACTCCAGGAAATCCAGCACCATATACCCCCGCCAGTGGATTGACAGGGCCAGCTCCAGTCTTGGGTAACTCGTCCACGGACCCATCACTATACCTCTTCCCCAATGCCAGCATCCCTTATCGTTACTTTGAATTCATCTACCCATACCTCAACACCACCGATCTTGAGGCTGCGTCTGCTGATCCTGATTACGGCCTGCCGACGGATCAGTATGTTCCGGCCGGCGCCACGGACGGCTCACCGCAGCCCATCCAGCCTGCTGGAGGTGGTCTCGGGGGCAACCCTCTGCTCTACGAAGTTGTCGCAACGGTGACGGCAACGATCACCAACACAGGAAGTGTCGCCGGGGATGAGGTTGTGCAGTTGTACGTGTCGCTTGGGGAGGGAGAGCCGCCGAAAGTGCTTCGTGGCTTTGACCGCCTGACCATAGCACCTGGTCAATCAGCGACATTTACCGCTGAACTTACTCGCAAAGATGTGTCGGTCTGGGATACCACCGTTCAGAACTGGGTAGAGGTCAGCAATCCAACCATTTACGTTGGCGCTTCGAGCAGAAATCTTCCACTATCAGGAACCCTGTCCGGCGGTGCTTCACCTGGTGGTCCGAGTGGACCAAACTACAGTTCGCCTCCAGTTGCCCCGTCTTCTTCCTATGGTGGTCCGACATATTCGTGGAGCTCGGGGTACGGACATCCCACTGGACCGCCGGTATCTCAGATTTCAGACGGACAGCCTCAATGGGGAGCCCCAGTTACGCAAATCTGGGATGGCCAACCTCAAGCGACGACGGCATGACTGGACGAGGGAAATCTATGGCGAGTTAATGTGATGGATAACCAGGTATGACTTTGTTCGGTTACGATCTGTCAAGCCTGATGTGGCTCTTGGACGTTATGGCTTTGCGCCAACCACCACAGACAGATAGGGTCTGAAGCAGAGTGTCTGGGCTGTGAACAGTCGATCGTGCCTGGGAAGTAGAGCAGACTGATGAAGATAAAAGCAATTACTACACGTAGACGAATTTATTACACGATGAACATTTTCACGAACAAGAGAGCGAGGGAAACAGATCCGGCCATACTCGGTTTGAAGCAACCGATATCAATTGATCGTAGTGCACGAATATATATTTGGGAGAGTGCCTTAGTCCGACATTGGAGGGGTCACTTTTTCCCGATACGTACCTCGCACTTGTACTTGTACTCAGCTCTCGGTACTCAGTACTCAGTACGCGGCAAGTCGTGTCGTGTAGGTACGTGGTGGGTCCATGCATGTACGCACAGATCCGCTGTGGGTCGCACTACAAGCACCGAGTCATGGCGTCATGGATTTCTATACCTCGTCCAGTGAATGAATGAATGAATGAATGAATGTAGGGCGACCCATCTTTTCAATATCTACGTGTGTGTGAGAGAGAGAGGGGGAAAAAGAGAAAACTAGGCTTTGGACGTTTGTGTGTGTGGTAGTAGGATCTTGAATGAGCGTGTACCCCGTCCCGTCTGCTTGCGGGTCAAAGTCACCTACCGACCTATCTACCTACCTACCTACCTACGAACGAGGTACATAGGTACATAGGTATTGAAGAACTGGTTCACTGGCTCACTGACACACTGGGTACCTAGCGAGCTAGGTTGGTATGGTGGTATGGTGGTATATCCAGAGATATATCCTTGAGGTATTTATCAGTTTGACGTATTGGGGGGTACTAGGATTACCCCTCTCGAGATCGGTACGACACGATACAGTCCTTGGTCGGCATTGACGTTCGTGGTCCTCAGGAGGTTGGGAGGTGATGCAAATTGGTCAAGGACGGAAGGGCAGTCGAGGGGAAAAAAAAGGGGGGGGATTCAGCCTCGTCTCGTCTCTGGAGGTCCTTTGACAATCATCACCAACTACGGATACGCTGACACGTACGTCATTGAAACCTTCATCCTGATCCCCGACCTGAGATCAAAGAACGTTCAAGTCAACACGCGCACAAACACGTACACACACACACACTCTCTCTCTCCTTGCCTATCTCAGTACATCTCGCAGGCAAGCCACCTCCGCGACCATGCCCGCAAGATTCAAAAAGACAGGCGGCGCACACAACCCCCCACCGCCTGGTCCGCGCGTCCTGTACTGGTTCCGCACGGATCTGCGCCTCCACGACTCGCCGGGCCTGACGCACGCCTTGTCCCTGAACCCCTCGGCCGTGATCCCGCTGTGGACGTGGGACCCGCACTACGTGTACCGGCAGCGCGGGGCGGCGAACCGGTGGCACTTCCTCGTCGAGAGCATGCGGGACCTCTCGCAGAGCCTGACGGCGCTGAACGCGCGGCAGAAGCTGTTCGTGGTGCGCGCGGCCGCCGGGCCCGCGAGGACGTTGGCCGCGCTCATGCGCAAGTGGAAGATCGACGTGCTCGTCTTTGAAAAGGACACGGACGCGTACGCCACCCTCAGGGATCGCGACGTCGTCAAAGTCGCGGAGGACATGGGCGTGCGGGTCGTCAGCCCGAGTGGGCGCACGCTGTTCGACTCCGAGGAGGTCGTCAGGATGAACGCCGGGAAGCCCACCATGAGTATGGCCCAGTTGGTCAAGGCCGTGGAGAAAATCGGCGACGGAGTGCCCGCGAAGCCGCTGGACAAGCCGACCAGTTTTCCGGATCCTCTCGACGAGAAGGAGATGGATCTGTCGGATCTCGAACGGGAATTGTCTGGTGGTGGAGAAGGACCACAAAAAGCACCACCCGGATGGCCTGGTGTCGACGGAATGGATTCCAACGCCGTTCAGAGAACGCTGGGCCTCGACAAAGACACGCAGTACTCGTCTGGCGTCATGGGGCCGGACCGCAACTTCTCGGTCCCGACTCTGGAGGAGATGGGAATCGACCCGTCCTCGGTGACGACGCCCCACAAAGGAGGCGAGACCGCCGGACTGGCGCTCCTCGAACGCCACATCGCAGATGAAGAGTACATCTCGACGTTTGAGAAGCCGGCGACCGCCCCGACGGCGTTCGAGCCCGCGGCCACGACGTTGCTGAGTCCGCACATGCATTTCGGGACCGTCTCCTGCCGCCGATTCTGGTGGGACGTGCAGGCCGTGCTGGAGAAGAGGCGCAAGGAAAAGAAACGCGTCAGCGACCAGCCCGTCAATATCCCAGGTCAGCTGCTCTTCCGCGACATGTATTTCGCCGCGCACGCGCAGGTCGGGATCGCCTTTGGCCAGACGGTCGGCAATCCCGTCGCGAGGTTCATCCCGTGGCACCTGCAGTCGAGGTACTCGACCGACGGGGACGGTAGGCCGATCAGCGACGGCACGTACGTGGTCGACGACGCGCAGGCCGAAGAGTACTTCCAGCGGTGGAAGCACGGGCGCACGGGGTTCCCCTGGATCGACGCCCTGATGCGCCAGCTGAAGCAGGAGGGCTGGATCCACCACCTCGGCCGCCACGCCGTGGCCTGTTTTCTCACTCGCGGCGGCTGCTACGTCTCGTGGGAGCGCGGCGCCGAGGTCTTTGAGGAGTGGCTCGTCGACCACGAAGTCGCGTGCAACGCCGGCAACTGGATGTGGCTGTCCTGCACGGCCTTCTTCAGCCAGTTCTACCGCTGCTACTCCCCCGTCAGTTTTCCCAAGAAGTGGGACCCCGACGGCCACTTTGTGAGGAGGTACGTCCCCGAGCTGGCCCGCTTCGACAAGAAGTACATCTACGAGCCGCACAGGGCGCCGATCGCGGACCAGAAAGCGTGGGGGTGCCTGATCAAGGGCGGTGATGGAGATGGGAAGTTGCCAAAAGAAGGGGGGGAGTACAAGGTGTATCCCAAGCCGATGTTCGACTTCCAGGAGAGGAGACGGTTCTGTCTTGATCGCATGAAAGAGGCTTATGATGTAGGACTGTTCGGCGATGATGAGAGAGTTATTAGCGGAAAATGGAAACAGCTGTTCGATTTCAACGATGCAGGGGCCCCGGCAAAGGAGGAGGCGAATGGTGATGTTCCCCTGGCTGAAAAGAGGGCGAGAGACGACAAAGACGATGATGACAACGATGATGCGGAGGATGACGGGCACCGGGAGGTTGACGGGGGACAAGACGCTGGCGTCAGTGACGACAGTCATGGTCGTCGTCGTGGGAGAAGGAAAGCCATAAAGCGAAGCGACCCCGACAAGGGCACCCGGCAGCGAACCTTGGACAAAATGGTAACCCGGAAGAAGCGATAGCTCGGATGATCTGATACTGGCTGCATCTGGAGAATGTTACCTGGCTAGTTTCCCATGGGTCTTGGTTCGACGACAATAACAATGATGGGGTCCTGTACGGTCAAAACAGCAGCGTGAAGCTTCTGCGGTCGGCGCGGAATAGTGCTCGTGAACATGCCTCGGATTGGCGATATGCTTGGATCTTCAGCACGGACAGGGCTCCTTGAGGTGGTCAATGTAGCATCATTTCAGCGGTACGGGTTCCGAGAAGTGAGCCCGAAGGACCCATGGACAGTATGCTTTCATGACTTTCGCCGACAGTGAGACCCTGGTAGATATTAAGGTAACCCAGGGCGAAAAGAACTTCATTCAGGCCCCTTTGCACCGAGATCTTGTCCAAAGTTTATCAGGACCACGGAGCACAGGTGTGGGATTGCCGCCTATGATATGAAGGGTGTTGCGGTGGGTGGGAAGAAGGATCGAAAACCACCCTTCTCTCGTGGTAGACATAATGTGTGATATTCCTGGACCTGTGGGTGCTGTCGATTGTGTATTAGAGTCGTCTTGGGCGGTATCGAAAGTCATGAGAAGACTTCTGCACCCTGCAATAGCTGGGGAAGTCGTCTGAGTGGCTGGATGTATCCCCTGCATGCCGCGCCATTTCTCGCTGCCCTCGGTGTGATCATCGATCTCCTAGTCGATATACCTGTCCACATGAAGGAGAATGGCGGCATGATGTAGTTCATGTCGTGGCTGGTAGAGTACAGCAGTCAGCCTACCTTGTCTTGTCCCGTAGCCTTTTGGTGGTGTTGGGGGTTCTCAGCCTTGTCCCTGCTATCAGGAATTGGTCGTTCTTCATCTTCTCTTTCTAGCGCCCGAACATGTCGCAGTAGATCGATGACTTCCTCACGCCGTATCCTGGGGCCGACGCAAGCTTGAATAGAATTGCACTGCAGGAGGATCGACCACAGATGGTTCGATAACCGCACATTACCGAAAGACAATATAAGAGTCGCTAGGCCACCGCTAGTCAATCTGATGCTTGAGGGTGAAGAAGTCTTTGCTGATGCACCGACAATGAAACGATGTATATCTCGGATGCCGTCCCAGATTCGCAAACTATCCCCAACCGAGAATATCGCCCGAGCTACATACCAAAAAGGAAAAGACAGCCGGTGTGGTTTGTATTGTTATCATCAATAAAGCCGAAAATGGAGATGTCCGTGCGGAGACGCCTCCACGGCAAGGATTGAATAGCCATAGGAAATCTTCTTGTGATCGGTATCGAGGGGCAAACCTTCTCCTGAATTTGTTGTACCAACTGATTAGCATTCCTAATCCTAAGAAACAAGGAAATTCAATCGACCCAAGATCGCATCAGCCATGCCAGCACTCTCAGACGACCTGGTTGCCGCCATCAAGAAGTCTGTCTCCGACGGCTTCGATGAACAACTGGCTTACACGCAGAAACTGATTCGCTTCGGAGGACAGCGTGGAGAGGAGACCGAGGTCCAGAGCTTCGTCTTTGAGCAGTTCGCGAACCGGGGCTATGACCCGGTCAAAATTGACATGGATGAGCAAGCGCTCTCAAAGCATGTCGGCGCCGGCAGGTTCAGTGCGACGCATTCGCGTGCCCCAGTGGTCGTCGGCACGCACAAGCCAAAAGAGCAACACGCCGAGGGAAAGAGTCTCATTTTGAACGGGCATATTGACGTCGTGCCTCTGGGTCCGGTTGATATGTGGAAAGACGATCCGTACAGCGCCCGTATCGAAGGAGATAAGCTCTACGGCAGAGGGTCGGGTGACATGAGGAGTGGTCACGCCGCGAATCTGTGGGCTCTGGATGCATTGAAGCGTATTGGCTTCCAGCCAGCGTCAGAGGTCATTCTGCAGTCTGTTGTCGAGGAAGAGTCAACTGGCAATGGCACGCTAATGACACACTTGAAGGGGTACAAGGCAGACGCTGTCCTTATCCCCGAGCCAATGCAGGAACAGCTTGTTCGAGCAAACGTGGGTGTCCTGTGGTTTCAGATCGAAGTCCGCGGCAGGCCAGTACATGTCAGAGCTATGGGGACCGGAGTCAACGCTGTCGACGCGTGTTGGAAAGTAGTAGGCGCCCTGAGAGAACTTGAGGCTGAGTGGAACAACCGCCATGTCAGCACACGATATTTTGAAAACGAGCAACACCCCTTAAGTGAGTTGCCCATGCAGCGTTGCGTGGCACTGCAGACACACTGTTGCCAGAAGAAGCTAACGATGAACAGACTTGAACGTGGCAATTGTGAATGCCGGCGACTGGGCAAGCTCTGTCCCAGCCTGGTGCCGTATAGATTGTCGGATAGCAATCGTCCCTGGTGTCACAGCCAAGTCCGCTGCTGAGGAGATTGAGAAGAAGGTGGCAGAGTTCTCTCGCAACGATCCCTATCTCAGTGAAAACCCCCCGAAAGTGATATGGAACGGATTCTACTCGGAAGGATATGTCCTTGAGCCAGGGAGCGAGGCAGAGAATGTGCTGCGCCAGGCCCACAAACAAGCAACGGGCCAGGAGTTAACAGACCAGACGTCTACCGCCTACCTTGACGCGCGTGTTCACAGCCTGTATGACAAAATTCCTGCGTTAGTGTATGGCCCTATCAGTGGGGATATCCATGGCTTTGACGAATGGGTGAGCATCGAGAGTGTAAAGAGAGTGACCACTGCAATGGCACTGTTCATCGCGGAATGGTGTGGGCTAGAGAAGATATAGTTGCTAGAAGAAGAATGCAGTTTGCATCTAGTCGACGCCTTTGACCGAGCTCGAACTGTTTTGACGTTTTGCCAGACTTCCAGATTGCCCCTGAATGTACATTTGTGCCTGACAGGTTTGCGTTCGAATGTGAGGCACTTGGCTGGTCTAAGACTGATGAGACCAATGACTGTTTACGTCGCTTCGAGGGGGGAGCATCTGCGCCATTTGGGGGAATTTTCATGTTATGAAGTAGTATGGAACAAGACACGCAAGGCTCTCCCTTTCCCCTGTCTTCAGGGACGATGAAACCGGAAAATTTGCCAAGACTTTCACATTGCTTGGCACATTTGGTTCCATCATGAGGCAGGTGTCAGTCACCACGAGGCAACATTCTTCCTCGAAATCACTGACAACCTCTTTTTTTCCCTCAGTTCTTCCTTGTGTTCCGCTAAAATTCTCACTATGGCGTCGTTGAGGGCGCGCGTGGAAGAAGTCGTACGTGGCGATGCTGTCAAAAATGCCCTGCTTGAAGTATGTCACCAACAAGAAGGATTTTAGCCGCCACTGACTCGAGAGCAGCAGATGTTGGCAGATATCGAACAACTGACACAGCAACGTGATGCCGCGAGAAATGAACTCGACATGGCCAGAGATACTGCTCGCACATATTATCAAAAGATGGTTCAAGCTGAATCGGAGAAATCACTCATAAAGACATCCATGGTGGGGAAGAGCCGCCGTTATCCCTGCCTTTCGAGCAGATCTGACCTTTTTCTACCCGCAGGAGGAGTGCGACAGATTCGTGCTCGTTCTCATTGATGGCGACAGTATGCCGGTAAGGTTGAGTGAAAGAGATGCTCATGTTTGTGATGACATCAGCTGTTATAACTAACTGGGCCAGTTTCTTGATGAATTTGTGTCCAGAGGCATGGGAGGCGGTGAAGAAGCGGGCAAGCACCTTCGAGCTGCAATCCTGGAATATTACAAGACAAATAGCAGATATCGCGCCGATGATCGGGTCATGATTCGGGTCTACGCCAACGCTCATGGTCTAAGCCGGACTTACAAAGCAGCCAAAATCATTACTGAAGAGACAGTCTTCGACCAGTTCATGGTTGGATTCAACAGAAGCCACCCCCTTTCGGACTATATCGATGCTGGGAGCCACAAAGAGGCCGCTGACTCCAAAGTGAAAGGTACGTCAGACCCGTGGCTAATGTGATAGTAGATTGATTTGACTTCCCCCAAGCAAACCTCGAGCTCTTCTATCGCAACTTTCATTGTCAACACATTGTCTTTGGTGGCTCAGCAGATAGCAGCTACGCTGGCTTTCTCGGCCCGTATGCACTTCCAAACACGCTCAATGATCGCATCACCCTCCTTGAAGGCCCGCCATTCCCCTACGACCTTAAGAAAGTGGCCCAAGGGTTCCAGCAAACGTCCTTCAAAACCATTTTCCGATCAACCAAGATCCAGATCACACCAAATGGTACAATCTCTGTCACTGCGGGCGTCAAGAGACCTGCCCCTGATCCGCTGTCAGGAGTGCGAGACCGGCCATCACCACGGCCCGTCGCTGCGGCTCTCACGCCTCCCAAAGCTCAGCCCGCTCCAAATGCGCAACTAAGCGCAGCGGCACCATCACTCGTTCCATCGCCAATCATCTACCAGAATCAATACGGGCAGCGACTCGATATACCACTCAAAATCGACAAACAATATCTCCAGTACCTCTACGACAACAATTCACGTCTCTGCAACAACTTCTACCTCAAAGGTCACTGTCATTACGGCACCAACTGCGAATGGGACCATTCGCAGATCCTCAACCAAGTGCAGCTCGATACATTTCGGCACAAAGCTCGAACTTCGGCCTGTCGAAATGCGTTTTGTCAGGATCCTTCATGCCCGCTTGGTCATATGTGTCCGCGAAACGGAGCATGCAACATTCCTGCGTGCAAGTTTCTTCCAGAGATGCACAACATCGACGTCAGCCAGATCTACGAGGTCAACACTGTCACTCAAGAAAGAAAGAGAGTTTCCACGGCCGTCTAGGAGGAAGCGCAACAACATGTGCCGAAGTCTTCCCCAGCTTAGGACAAATCCTCCGGCCAGCGATCAGTATTCTCTTACATGTTTTGGATTGAGAAGGAGACCGGGCGCCGATTGCTTCATACCTAGCCGGCCTGCTCGAACTCCGGATTGGCCCACAGATCTTCTGGATTTGAGCCAGGGATGACGCTGATGCGCATCGCGGGTTCTCAGCGAGATTTCCGTGATGTCCCCCCTCCGACACCAGGTTACCCGCTATTTCTTTGCCTGCGCGATAAGATACCCCTTCCGCATTGCTACTTTCTACCAGCCTGCTGACTTTCTTCTCCTGCGAGCAAAACTTTCCCCCAAAAACTAGGGTATTTTTCTTAAATCTGTGGTCCTCTGTCTAGTGCGCGGTATTTCGGATGCCGATCTCATAGGGTATGAAAGTCGCACAGAACAGAAATTTGTCCATGACGGTTCCGCGTGTTATAGCAATAAAATATTCCTGCAATAAGACACATTTTCTCTCCAATACATCTTCTCGCGACTGCACATTTTTCGTACGGGCACTCGACAATGTTCCGAACGTTTCTTGCGAGAAGTCTTCGGGGTCACCACATGTCCAAGCGTTGTGGCCGCGACGGGCGATCGCGATCTGTCAGGTCTGTTTACATCGGATTTTGAATGTCTTGGTGTTGAGTAGAATTGGGCGGGATTCTGGGGGCAGGCCTTTTGCTGCAGTCCGCGGTGGTAGGTCTCACTGTTGGAAACCCGGATTGAGCTGAATGATTGAGCGTCGTCTGTACAGTGGGGCAAGCTCCTATGGTGAATCTTTCACGATAGCCATGCTCTTTCTCAACTCTCTCTCTCTTTGTTTGCTTTGCAGTTCCAGTCGCTCAATGGCATATTGCAGCCTCTCTTTCTTCTGCTGCAAGCGCTTCATCTCCAGCATTTTGGCATCGGTCAACGGCTGCGCAAGGTGTCCCGATTGCGTAGTACGGAAAGAACGAGTGCCGTTGCCACCACCGAAACTCGAGGTCCTCCGCCTACTACTATTCAGTCTCCCTTCGAGCAATTCCGATCTGGCTTTGAGGCTCTCTTCTCTCCGTCCCAATTGGTTGATGTGGTTCTCAGCCGTGGACAAGAGTTGGTTGATAGCCGGCACGATCTCGTCGACCAAAGACTGCTGAGCTTCGCGAAGCGTGGGTTCGGGAAGGAGTTCAAAGTGTTGTTGCGTCTGTAGGACCTTGCAGAGGCGAGGGAAGTCTGAGACGCCTTCGTCCAGGATTGAAATGCTCGATTCGAGAAGGGAGATGGAGGAACGCAACGAGGAGACAGCAGGACCAAGGGTGGCCATCTTTACAGAAGTAATATGGCTAGGTCACACCTTCAGCTCGGGCATGCTCATTTTGCCCCTGATAAACAAACCCCGCGATGACACGGGCGCGTTGAGAGCCTCATGTCCGTAGAGAAACAAACATAGCAAATGTGCCAAGATATTTACGAATAAGGCTTAGTCCAGTTGAAGCTTGAGAACCTCCCAATCTGCGGAAAGCTCATTGACGACAAAGAACTTCCTCTCCCCAAGCTCACCATTTTCTCACAAACGCCTCTCCGTCAAAATGCCTGGTTTCATCCCCAAGAAGTTCCCCGGCAAAATCGGTACGTTGTGCTACGGCCGCCTCTTCTCCAGCCTGGATACTAACATTTGCACTCGCAGCCGAGCCGATGATCCCTTTCTACGCTGCTGGGCTTGTTGTCCTGTACGCCATCAACGCCGGTGCAAATGCCATGATGAACTGTAAGATCCGATTCCTTTCCGGCGAGGCGATGTCGCCGGTTCCGTCCGATCAAGGATACGCGGTGTCAACAGAGTGTGCTAACGGGAGACATGAATAGCGGACGAGTACAAAAACGATCCTCGAAATCCCAACGCAAAGCCCGATGCGCCCGCCTCTCATTAAAGCACGATCTAGGAGTCTGACATGCTGGGTGCTCGGTGCAAGAAAATCCGACTGCGGGATGGATGACGATGAGCTGCTGCGGAGGGGGCGATTGTACATACAACAGTTACAAGCATAGACAATGGCGGGAAAATGGAATGAAATCGCAAAGGACTCAATGCGCTTGATCTCACAACGAATGCTACTTCTCTGGTCTCCGAGCTTATAATACCGTTTTGACGGAAAAGGCAAAGATTCCTTCGCGGAACTCTCTAGTGTCCTTCACATGGCTCAATCTTTTGCTTCGGGCTGTTGAGACAAAGTTTTTGGTCCTTTCTTGATGCGCTTCCTTGTCCTGTCAACCGAGACGAGAGTGCCGCGCCAGAAATCTAATGCAGGAGGAAGTCTCACTTTCTCTTGTCACGCTTTATCATTACCTGAGGACAGAATTGTTGATTGAGTGAAACGTCAGGAGCATGGATTCCGTGGGGCGACGTCGAAGTTCAGCTGAATCGTTTATAGCCGGACTCGATTCCAACCTCGTTAGGCTATCTGCTTTGGGGCGGCCACCCTCGTTATCGATCTCGTGGATACACACACACCTATAACTAACAATAGTGATGAAATTGTTTTTATTCTTAGTACTCTTACTCCCTCCCTGAGATTCGAACCCCTCGCCAGCCAGCTAGCCAGCCTCTCTCTCCGCTCTTTCATCCTCTCTCCTCTGAAGATCTAATCCGCCCATCTGACAATAATATACCGGAGCAAAAAACTCAACTTGTGAGAAAACCCCGCTCAGGAAATTTTTTTTTGGTATTCGCATTCTCTTGGTATCTGTGAGTGATGGCACGCTCCCACCTCTAGCTTACTTTGCTGTGCTGCTGCTGCTGCTGCTTGCTTGCTGTGTAATATACACTACACCACCCATGATGTTTCCAATGTTTGTGTCAGAGCTCCTGCGCATTTTGTGTGGGGGGGAAGAACCACTATGATCCTAGCGAAGTCATCATGTCATCCGAGTTAGGGAGTCACGAGAAGTAAAGTAGAGCTCCTACGTTTCCATGATGCTTGGATAGTCACTTCTGGCTGCGAGTGAGGGAGATGAAAACGAACACGATTTGGAAAAGTGGGTATATAACAAGCGAGCACAGGGTAAGACAATGGACAAGCCTTATTGCTCAAAATGGTTTCACTTCAACCGGTCGAATGTGCTGGATATTCTGCGACTGTGATTGATATGTTATTAAGTGGTTTTGTGGGTGGGTCTTGTGTCGAGGTGCGGTACAACTGGGCGGGCGCTGCGTGAAGTTCTTGAAGATGAGGAAAGGAAGGATATGATGTGATGTGATGTGATGTGAGATGGTGACGAGGCTGAGTCTCTTGGGGAGGAAACCAACACTGCGGCCCCAGCCTTGTTGGTCGGACCTCGGTAAACACCATAGGCCACGGCTTCGGAAACTTACTGTACCTCCTACAAAGGTACTATCCATTGACTATCTACTACTTGACTGTACACTTGCGGTGACCTTATTACCAGGGCGCGCGGAGCGTGAGAGAGACTCTCCATTCGTACCTTTCGTCTTCTTTTCTCCAAGACCATTTGTTTTGTTTTCCAGTTAGCGAGAGTATCAAGTAAAGAAGACTTGAATCTCCAAATATCAACCACTCAAAGGAAAAAACCAGAGGTATAGAGACCAGAACGAACAACAAGAAAGAAAAGAGGTCGATTTTTTTGCTCACTCTCCCGCGCCCACAACCATGAAAGCCATCCAGATCAACCAGTACGTCAAGACGTACTCGGAGCTGCGCGCCCTGGAAGTGCCGGCGCCGACTCCCAAAGCGGACCAAGTCCTGGTGACCATCACGCACAGCGCCCTGAACCACGTCGACCTGCTGTACTGCCGGGGCGCGCACCAGAACAACCACATCGGCCTGGTCAAGCCGCCGTTCGTGCTGGGACTCGAGTTCGCGGGCGTCGTGGCGTCGGCGCCGCCGGCGTGTGGGTTCCAGGCCGGCGATCTCGTCTGGGGTGCCTCCGTTGGTGGGTTCGCCGAGCAGATTGCCGTGCCGCCATCGGCGCTGCAGCATTTGCCCAAGGGGTGGACGCTGCGCGATGCCGCGGGCGTCGGCGCCGCCACCGTGCCCGTCAGCTACGGCGCGCTGGTGCGGACCGCGCAGGTCCAGGCCGGGCAGATCGTGCTGGTCCACGCCGCGGCGGGCGGGCTGGGCGTGACGGCCGTGCAGATTGCGCACGCGCTCGGCGCGAAGGTCATCGGCACCGTGGGCAGCGAGGAGAAAGCCGCCGTCGTGCGCGGCCTCGGCGTGCTGGGTGTTGTCAGATACGACCAGGACGGGTGGGAAAAGGAGGTGCTCAAGCTCACGGGCAACGTGGGCGTCGATTCCGTCTACGACACCGTCGGCCTGGTCGGGAAGAGCATCCGATGTCTCAAGTTTGGCGGGAACATCGTTGTGGCCGGGTTCGCGGGTTTAGGTGGGAAGATGGAGACGCTGGCCATGAATCGCGTCTTGCTCAAGGGTGTCAGGCTATTGGGATATGTGAGTCTCGCTCTCCGCTCTTCCTCTCCCTCCCTATCCCTTTTCTCTTTGATTCCCTTTGTGAAAACAACAACGATGCTGCAAATGGCGAAATTGGGAAATAATGAATGACTGACTGACTGACTGTGTGCCACTGCAGAGATTCGGCGAGACGGGGCGACGAAACCCAGGAGAGAACCAAGAGGTGTGGAGAGGACTGAATGAGATGCTCCAGCGCGGCCAGATCAAGCCCGTCATCTACGGGACATACTCGGGCCTAGAAAGCGTGCCGGGGGCTCTGGACGACCTCGCGGCTCGAAAAGTCTGGGGGAAAGCCATTGTCGAGATCCAGACGCCACCATCGCCCAAGTCACACGCCAAATTATGAGACCTCCTTCCCTCCCTCCCTTCTTTTTGTGAATTCCCCTCTGCAAAACCCTTCTTTTGTCTCTTGTCTTGTCTTGTCTTACTCTAAAATCAGTTCATGACCAAGCCCCCATCCACCACCATCTGTTGACCCGTCACTGCGCCCGCCCAGGGGCTGGCGAAGAACAAGACCGCCCCGGCGAGATCCTCGGGCGTGGTGACCTTTCTCAGCGGTGTGACGGCCTTGATGTGATCAAACACTTCCTTGGGGGTGCTCGCGCTGGCGTCCGTGACCTGCAAGAGCCCGCCGGATACCATGTTGACGGTGACGCCTCTTGGGCCGAGATCGGCGGCGCACGTCCTGGTGAACGCCAGCAACGCCCCTTTCGCCGCCGTGTAGTCGTGGTACGGCACCACGGGGTTCTGGAACAGGTTCGACCCGACGTTGACGATGCGGCCGGAGCCGAGCTTCTCGAACCCAGCGAGAGCGGCTTGTGTCGTGTTCAAGCTCCCCCGGAGAAACCCTTGCAGCTGCGCGTCGAAGTTGGACCACGTCAGATCCGCGACCTTGGGCCTCGCGTCGCCGTTGAAGGCAAAGTCGCCGACCATGGCGTTGTTGACCACCGTGGCTATCGGCTTCCCAAAGTGTCGTTCCGCGGCTGCGAACAGTGCCTGGACCTCGTCGGCGTCGGTGACATCTGCCCGGAAGAACAGGACCTCGTCCTCTGTAGACCCGAACTCCTTCGTGAGCGCCGCGATGCGGTCCTCGGCCGTGTGGAAATAGTTGACCACGACCTTTGCGCCTTCGTCGCGGAATGCTTTGGCAATCGCTAGACCCAGCCCGCGAGACGAGCCTACATCAACCCCTTTCTTTTAGTCGCTGAGTAACATGTATGTATAGCCTCTGTCTGGCGAGAGAGAAAAAGAGGAGAGGCATCACTTGTTTCGTTTGCCGTCGTCGGGACTAGCGAGATTTCGGTCCTTGCAAGCAGTTTGGACTGCCGGCGAGGTCTTTTTCTTTGACTTACCCGTAACAAGGACAACCTGATCGGCTAGCTTCATGGCTTCTTTTATTTCCTAGGGGCGGAGGGTGCCCGTATAACCCTTACCCAACACTTTCGTGAGATGTGAGGCTTGCTGATGCCTGAACTCTGAGTATGCTGTTGAATTTCGGGCGATGAGCAAGATATAAAAGTATGAAGGTACAAAGGGAACAAAAGGTACAAAGCCACGAAAGCAAAAGTGGATGGATGAATGGATGGATGGATGTGTGTGGTCTGACTCGACTCAAAACAAACAAACCCCGCGGGCCTCGAGCAAAAGATTTTTCGGTCACGACTTCACTTCGCCGAAGCGATTCCTTTTGATTACCTCGAGCCCAAACATAGACCATAGATAATGCTCTTGTATGTCAGGGTCTGGGATGCCCTTGATATTTCGTGAAAAGTTAGATATACCTAAATCTGCGGGATTGGTTGATTTCCAGATTTATATGCAAAACCACGCACACCAGACGTTTCTGCTCCTCGAAAGCTAAACCGTCTGTCTGCTCGGGGAGTCTGCTCTAACAAAACTTCACCGTCCACCGAGGTCGCGTTGATGGGAAAAGGCCAATGACGAGGGTTCGAGAGTTCTAAAATAGGCGGGAGAAGGGCATGCACATAGAGGGGCCTCCTTGACTTGTGCGGTGTAGACAAACCGGAACAAAAGCATCAATCAGTCTGATAATTACTCTGCTTCACTCTAGATAATCTGGCCTCAACTCGAAATGAGTGTCCTTTGTCACCTTCTCAAACTCTCCGTCCTCGTAAAAGTTCGCCCGGACCTCAACCATGTCGTGACCACCTGCCTTCATGAAGAAGTTTTGCTGTGACAGAGGCAGGTGGCATCGCATCGTGTAATTCGGGTAGTGTGGGCTCTGTACAACGGTGATGCCACGTTAGCAAGCGGTTGGTAATTACCAGCCATATACCACCAAAGTCCTGCTGCTACGTACCTGATACCCGAGGCCGATCATGATTCTATGCCTATCCGTCCCATTTGGCATCCCGGCATGCCATAACCTAAGATCGCGTATCATGATGTCGCCTGCTGAGCACTCTGGCTGCAGGGGTGGCCGGATCGCCATACGTGCTTCCTTGGCCTCTTCTGTGATGGCGGGAAGCGGTTCGCCCAAGCGGCCGTACTCGACAACTTCCTCCGGTTTGGTGGCGATGACCTGCTCGTGAGGGTGGGCATGGGCGTGCGAGCCGAGCCAGAATTCTGTGGCCCCGTTTTCGATGGTGAAGTCGCACAGCGGGATGTTCGCGATGAAGTAGTACGGATACTGTGGGTGGGCGAACGAGCAGTCCTTGTGCGCTGGTTGGCGCATGCCCGACGTATTCGACAGCGCAACGTTCGACGTTAGCCAGTTCCATATGGGCTTGTGGCCGAGATAGCTGGATTGACGCAATCAGTCGCCTGAAGGACCGACATAGAGGGAGCAAGAGTCAAAGATCGGAGAGCAGACTGACGCGTTCGCAAGTTGCAGGAGGAACGGGTTAAAGTAGACATCGTCGAAGAGATATGACGAGTCGTTGACGGGTGGACGTTGGAGGAAATTGGCTGAATGAAGACATCCTGCATGTCAACGGCTGACTTCCAGATTCTCAGCCCCGAGGGGAAGTACGTACACTTGACGCAGTGATTATACAACTGGCCCGGATCTGCTCTCTTTCGATCCGCATCCTCGCACATTTTCTCATTCACGGCTGCAATATGCGCCGGGTCAATCACGCCTTTGAGTAGAACGAGACCGTCTTGGTGCATTGCCTCGAGTGCTCGCTGAAGCGTGGCTGGTGCATACTTGCAATTGCGCCGTTCGTCGGGTGACAGACTGACAACTTGGACCTCGTCTTTCTGTAAGGTGGCAATCATCGTGCTGCGCGGTCAGGTCGTCTTTTGAGGGAATAAACACGAGTCAAAAAGGAATCCCCGACCTCAAGGCTCTCAGAAGATACAAGGAGAATCAAACTCTTCTTGCACGCTCCATATCGACGACGAACAGCGCTCCAAGATATTCTGTCCCAGGACTTCTTGGCTTCACGGCATCAACTTGATAAGGCGCGCCTCCGACGCCGAATACTTGGTCAAAGCCTCATCCGTCGGCGTCTGAGAGGAGATGTCCGGCTGTCCGAACTGCCGGATAGGTGTTTTGCATTGACTCCATAGATCGAAACGGCCCTTATCGCTTGAGGGGCGCAACGAGTGGCGCTTATCGTGAGGGATCGTCGTCCAGATCGAAAGTTCAAAAGGAGGTTGGCCCTGGACATCACGCACGTGATAGACAAATAGCGCGGCAACTTAACATCGAATCGGGGACTAGCGTCACACTTTTCTTTAAGTATATATTCTACAAACCCCAAAATTGGGGGAAAATTCGTCCCTGGAACGGGTTGAAATTTATCTGCCAATTGCTCCGCTGGCGCAATGGTAGCGCGCCAGACTTCTATTGCTGAAATCTGGAGGGTACGTCTATTCTCTCCACCACCGCGCTTCCTCATCAAAAAATTCTAATATGTTCCGCTTAGCTGTGTGTTCGAGTCCCACGCGGAGTGTTTCTTTTTTTGCCACCCGATAGTTTTTTTCTGCGGTGAGTCGAAAGAGACCTTCCAGGAGGTCTTGGAGTGGAATTTCTGACAAGATCTGTGAGTTTTTGGCCATACAGATACTGCGCTACTTAGGAGTGGTAAGCAAGCAACAAGATTATGGATTATCTGTCTTGAATCCTGGACACACCTCAAACCTCATAAATCATACCTCCATATTCCCACGATAAAATCCGTTATGATGAAATCCATCCGTGGTCGTCTCTCCTGGCTCAATCACTCGTAATGTTGCACTTGTTTTGTGCACCGAAGCCTTGTCCAGTCCTTGACCTCAAGCAGTCACCAGAATAAGCAGCACTCTTCATCTCCCGTCTTTGTTGGGACTTGAGGGTTATCGTCCGAAGAGATATTCCCTGCTAACCTTCCAGGAGTCCTTGATTTCTGACGGTGCAAAGGCCACAACCCACCTTGAAAAAGGTATGGAGCTCGATCCGGGCAGGTGAGGATCAATGGAAGACGGGAAGTCTGAAATCTGCCTCGATAACCTCCCAAAAGTGTTTCAATGTCAGCTGACAAACAATCCCCCATTTCGGTAGCCCGCCTACAAAAGTCGGCCTAGGTTCGTCTCGGAATCTAGGTTGCTGGAAGCGATCAGCTGCAAAGAGGTGGTGGTTTCTGCCCGTTATAGGTTGGATGTGAGCAATGGACGAGCTTCGGCGTCAAACACCGAAACAGAATCTCATCGTTTCCTCTCAGACCGGGTTATTCTTTCTCAACCCAAGTTGCAGACACTTCATCACACCCTTGATTTCTGTAGAGATGGCTGTGTGGACACTCGCTCGGAGAACAAGTCCATATAATGCACCACCCATCCAACTACGCGGGCTGCTCGTCGTCGTCAAAAATCTGGAAGGTGTTGTTGAGAATGGTCTCCACGACCTTCGCCTGCCATCCTGCGTCGGCTATATCGGGGCCGCCAGACGTATTCCCATTCACGCCGCCCTGCTGCCCCATCAATGTGGGAGCGAACACGATGGCTAGGTTACTGTTGGTCATCTTGTTCCTAGCACTGTGCTGTGCAACTTTGTGGAGATGGATTGTCAGTACTCGGAGAGTGGCATAGTTGGGGTCAGGAAGAGCATTGACAAGCGCATGGACCGAATCTCTGCGCACGATTTCGTCTTCAATTCTTGCGGCTTGGATGAACTCTCGGTACTGTGCGGCCGTGAGTAATGGATCTGGCAGATCGCGAAGGAATTGTTTGAGGAGTGTGGTCACGGCAGCAATATCATCGTGGAAAGCCGCCGGGTTGCGAAGATCGACTGCGTTGGCATCTAAACGTTGGTTAGCTAGTGTTCTAATACTCAAGGTCAGTGATCTTACCATGATCGAACTGCTGTCGTAACTCCATAATGAAATTCGTGGATCCAGAAGTTCTGTAGATGCCTTCGACTTCTAATCCAAATAACTCGACAGCTTGAGTGCATTGCATGACAATCATGGGTACAGCGGATCCTTCTCGTTGGAAGAGCTCGTCCAAGGATACCCCGAAGACTGGTCGGATGGGTGGCCCTGACCTCGGAGCCGGCTGAACTCTGGAGGGAAGTGTGTTCGCGCCACCAGGAGGGGCTGGACGAGGTGCGCCGTTCTGAGGTCCTGGCCCAGGGGCTCCACGACCGGCTCCTTGAGGACCATTTTGTGGAGGCTGGCCTCGACCTTGTGGTGGTTGACCGCGACCGACAGCTCCCGGAGGTGCTCCTCGACCCATCCCATTTGGAGGAGGCTGCCCGCGTCCCATAGCACCTTGTGGTGGCTGACCTCGACCAGCACCGTTTGGCGGCGCCTGGCCTCTTCCTACTGGACCTTGCGCTGGTTGACCAGGGCCAGGTGCGCCTTGGGGTGGCTGTCCTCTGCCCATTGCGCCTGGTGGTGCCTGACCTGGGTTGGCTCCAGCCTGGGGTGGTTGTCCCCGTCCTATTGCGCCCGGTGGTGCTTGGCCTGGATTGGCTCCGGCCTGGGGTGGCTGTCCCCGTCCTACTGCTCCCGGTGGTGCTTGCCCACGGCCCATGCCTTGTGGCGGTTGTCCTCGCCCCATGCTTTGCGGCGGTTGTCCTCGACCTTGTGGCGGCTGTCCACGGCCCATCCCTTGCTGGGGTGGGCTACCTTGGCCTTGAGGGCCCATTTGGCCGGGTTGGCCGTTCTGCTGAGTTCCTGGAGCCTGTTGCTGACCAGGAGGTTGCCCTTGGGACACGGTCCGGACATGACCGGGTCCTACACCAGGAGTTTGGCCTGCAACGACGGTTACAGTCTGGGCCGCGGCTCCAGGTGGCTGATTGCCGGCGGCAGGATTCTGGGGAGGCTGTTGCGGACCAGGTGGTCTTTGAACAGCACCTTGAGCACCTGGGGGTGCTCCCATCTGTGGCCGTTGCTGTGGAGCCGTTTGTCCAGGGACCAGGCTTGGTGGATGGTATTGCGACTGAGAGCCATCATCGTAATACTCCTCGCCGGGGTAAGGAGTGACTCCTGAAACTTGCCTTCCGTGACCAGGGGCATAGGGATCTTCGTTGGAATATTGATCGGTAAATCCAGGCTGCTGTTGTTTTGGCGAGAGCGAGGGATGTTGTTCGAATCTGATGTCGTTTGGTCTCATCGGAACCTGGTTGCTAAATCCAAGGACGAAATCGATCAAGTCTTTTTCATTATTGACTCCTGAAGCCAACTCGCGCAGACTCTTGGTGCCTTGACCCGGGATTGGCGATGGCCCTTTGACGGGCGCAATGCATAGTCCGAATCCCACAAGCAGCTTCTCACTGAGGTCAGCGAATTTCTGCACATGCAGACTCAGGCCGGCGTCCGTCTCCCTGATGAGTTCCGAGAGGGCATTGGTCGTTTGCGGTCTCAGAGTGCTGAGTAACTCATTTCGCTGGCTCGAGGCGGCTTCAACTTTGGCAGAATAATCAGCGTCGGCAGCTTCGAGTTTGTGTCGCAACTCTTCTTCCAGCTGAGCAGCGGATCGCTTGAGACCGAACTTGCCAGACTGCCGTTCCCCGGTCCTGGCGCGGTCGTACTGCTCCGCCAGCGAGTTGTATCGGTGTTTGGCCTTCTCCATGGCAGCTTCTGCGTCGGCCACCCGTTTTTCAGCATTCATGCCTGTCTGCTTCCAGTGTTTCCGCGCTCTTTCGGAATTGGATGCCAGCTCGTGCAGTTCCTCCGACATGCCATATAGCGTTGCGACATATTGTAAGGCATGGTCTGCCATTCGCTCATGAATGCTGGTCATCTCCTTGAAATTCTGAGCAAACGTCCCTTGTCTGCTATCAGGTCTTCCTATCGACTCGGACGTGTTCCGGCTCAGTCTCTTCAGGCCCTGCGCATGTTTGTCCTCCAAAATTGATCTTTCTTTCAGGAACGCCGCAAAGTCCTAACACCACGGTCAGCAAAGCCGCATGGAGTGTCGACGGTTAGGGAGACGGTACTTTGGTGGAGCTGATGCTTTGTTTCAATCGGTTCAATAACGTGCTCAGTCCGATCTGGAGGGGTTGGTCAACAGCAGCCACAACGGAAACTCTTGACTCGCGCTTACATCTGAAGAGAGAACCTGTTGCACTCTTTCTCGGGACGCAGGGTCCACATCTGATCCAGCACCCTCCGCCGCAGGAATCGGAGGGAGAGGCTGTCCATTATCTTGAGACACATTGGGTACTCGAGCGCCCACGGCACCGTTCATCGGCGCACCTGGCTGAACGGCAGCAGCCATGTCTGACAGCCTGGTGGGTAGCCAGGTTCAACGGGAATCGGAGGACGCGGGGAGTAGCTGCAAGCAAGGGAAGGAGGACGACATACGGCAGCTCTCAAGGCTCGAGTCAGCTGCTTTGGAGAATGAACGAGAAAAGAGAATGAAGGTTGGAGGAATCCTGCCCAGTTCTGTTTGGAATGATGTGACGAATTCGCTTGGGGTTCCTTGATCTAAGAATCTCCTTGTGCTCTGTCCCGGCACGCGCAGGGTTCCAGGAAACGGGCCGTCAAAAAGCCAACAACCCCAATAACTCGTACTCGTTACATATTACGATCGACCGAGGCCCCATCCTGTGAAGCTTAGACAGACCCCTTCGGCGTCCTAGAGGCGTCATCCTGGTTAGGCTGCGCCTCCCTCCGCCACAGGCATTGCCGTGGCCATCTGGCCATCCCCCCACCCTCACGCCCCAAGCTCTTCGCTTGATACGCGTATTTGCCTTTTATCGCCCGCGGGCAATCCCTATTTTCCGTACCAAGATCGTCATCGCAGGATTTAAAGGGTGCCTCCCGTGGATACTGCGAGTACATATCCTTGGATTTCCCTAGCCTGACAGGGGCCAAAAGCTGGCGCCCAAGGTGTATTATTGGCATCAGCGCACACCATAAGCTGACACACGCATATCTACTACCTACTGCCTACGTACCAGCGCCAACAGCCCCTTGCAAATACTTGTATCGAGATATAATACTGACTGGTGCGCAGTGTGGAGCGCGTCTATGTACTTTCATAACGGTGGAATATGATTACTACCGACTACTACAATCTCCCCTTCCGCCTGTCCTCACCGAGCTTAAGCACAGGCTTGAGGTTTTCCGGCTGCACACGATCCCAAAGACTCCCTAGTCCCAGTTTCTGGCCTCGAGCGTCTTCCTTTCGAAAGAACTCTTCTGCCGATCTGATCCTGGCGGGGTGGATCTCGTCTAGGAGCTTGTAATCTCGACGAATGACACCCTCGTTGCGCCCGGAATACTTCCACATATTGAAGAAACCAGTGAAGTTCTGCTTGAAGGTCATAAAGGCCGGATCGTTGGGGTCCGAATTGTACCCTGCCCCACTGTTGGCAGCCGCCGCCACGTTGCCAGTCGCCCAATAAGTGTCCAGATCGGTGTCGATGTATCGAGCCGGGTGACCGGTGACCTTCTCAAACGCTTTCGCCAGGTCGGCGTAGTGGATGTGATCGATGGCAACTTCGAGATCCATGCCGTTGGATCTCTCCGGATGGTCAAACAGCCAGCGAGCGTAGTACTCGCAGTCATCCAGCGCGACGTGAACCACAGCCCCGTCTCCAATGGGGCATCGCCATGTCACAACACCGTCCTCGACCGTGGGCGTGAAGATGGTATGTTTGGCGATGCTCATTTCGATATAGGGTCCAGTGGTAAAGACGGCGACACCCATGCGGTGGTGGTTGTCCTTGTTCTGGGTGAGGATCCATTCTCCGACCCGGCCTTTGCCATCATAGTGTCCGGTCCGAAATTTGGGATCGTACTGGCTCTTCTTGTAGACGTAGTCGAGGTTCCCATAGACATAGAACTTGATCCCCTCTTCGAGAGCCAGCTCATACGATCTGATTGCCCAGTAGATCTCCGTTTTCTCGCCGCAGTTGAACCCGTCAATGTTGACAAAGGCTCCGTCACAGCCTCGGAACAATTTGCGAAGGTCCCCTTCGCTGGCGAAAGAGCCTTCCATCAACTCCACATTTCCCAATGCAAACAGCTCCTTGGCCCGTCGAGAATTGACGTCCCGCGTCATGATCCGACACCGGTACTTTTTGTCCTTGACCAGACCGCGCACGACGGGGATGCCTTGGGCCCCAGTGCCGCCGATCACGGCGATGTAAGATGTGTGGTGGTGAGCAGACATTGTGTTGTAGGTATACGCAGACGCGATGCAGAGCAGGAAAGATACAGGTGAAGAAAAGACCTACCTGTATCATAACTAGAGCAATTTCAACGTCTTAAGAAGTCCATAATTAGGATTCTTCATTGATTAGTCTTCCAACACGTTTTAGCGTTTCCTCCACCTCTCGTCGATGTGTTTACTAAACTCGACTTTGATGGGGATGTACGAGACCCGTAGGACGCCAATTTGCAGGAAATCGGGAGTTGCATCGAATACATGGTGTGCAGCTGAAGGTATCGCTGTCGCTTCTGGTCGCATGATGGACAGACAAGGGAAGTCTGTAGATGCTTCAAACGCAACATGATGAAGACCAATAATATATTCCAGGGAAGGTACAGGCCTGACATGTCATGGTGGGAACTGTCACGCTTGGCGGCTTCTCTTAGGTACCGAGGCACGTGGTTTTGACTATTCCTTCGTACAGGGCCTCGAGGGCTTGACTGAATTTCTCAAGGTCAAGACAACTCATCTTTCCACGGCAACAAGTCGTGAAGAAACTAATCATAACGACTATACGCGGCTCTTCTAATACATCTCCACCCATCGCGTACTTTCAATCGGGACTCCGGAACATGAAGCATCCACTGGGTCATCGAAGGGACCATTCCGGCGGCGGGAAGTGAAAACGTTCTCGACTCAGCCACCAGCTCCACGCTTTCTCGTTGCAGCAATGGGAGTTTGGAAGTCGTCATTAGCGTCTTGTCGATGCCCATGGTCCATCTATCTACAAGTACGAATGGTGCCATGACCGCCACTTAGTGATTTGCCTCACACGACCGCCGGAGCACTCTTCCTCAACCACTTCGTTCGATGGGGGATGTGTGGGCGGTTACAGAAGCATTGAAGTGACGCCCCGTCGGTGGTTATCAATGGCACAATCACCTCTAGACAGGACCTGAACTATCCGTTCACTCAACTTCTAGAACCCTCTCAAAGTCCAGGGGCTCCTCTCCACGGCTCGTCCGCCATCTGTTCGTGGACAGCTGAACATTGATCGCTCCTTTGAGCAGCCAGGGCCATTTGCGCGCAAATGACTCTGTCACTTCCCATCCCGTCGAATCCCACGGTTCTGCCCACACGATCAATCCGTTCTTTTGCTGAGTGTCGAGGTTCCCCAAGCCCGTGTAGTTGCCATCCCCAACCATGTCGAGACACAGCTGAAGGTCGTCAATGTTTTCTTCCCCGTATCGGAGGATGTTGTCTCTGATTTGCGGATCCGGGAAGATGTCCCACATCGGATGGTGTGCTATGGTCTTTTGCAGCTCCGTCGGCTGCAGCGAGGGTGGCAAGTGCCGTATATTGGATGTGGCACTCTGCGACAGGGGTAGAAACGGGGAAGGGTAGTCGTCGAGGTACATCAAGTTCAGGTCAAGCCCCAGCAAATGGGTGTTTGAGATGAACGCTCGGTACACGTTGTAGTAGACCAGGGAGATCAGGTGGTCGGACGGAAGCGGATACATCCATGCGTTGTCCTGATCTCTCAACAACTTCTCCCCTATATCCTTGACTATGGCTAGCCGGTTTTCCAGCAGCACTTCGTACCATCGCTGGCAGGAGTTCTTGCTCCGGATGGACACAAATGGCGACCGATCTGTCGGGCCGGTCGACTGAAGCGCAGTGTTCCATTCAATGTGATTGAGCCTCTTATTCCTCAGGGCCAACAGGTCGTTGAGATCGGCTCGCTCTGCCAGTGGAACCTCTTTGGGATTTGGAGCTGGAGAAGAGCTAGTGCTCGCAGAGGCGTCCTCCGCAGACTTCTTCAGTGCGGCCTTGCGTCGTCCTATTCGACAGGTCAGCGGCCTACATTGAGATGGGGGATGCAAGCACGCGATCGGGAACGGGGGGGGGGACAGATCCCAAACTTACTCGCCGCCCGCTGGTTCAATCGGTTCTGAAGTTTACGACGAGTGACAGGGTCCGTGACCCCAGACCATTCCTCATCCAACGACTGCACATCAGGGTGCAATTTCAATTCGGCACGCAGACCTTGTGGGAGTGGCATGGTCTCTCTCTCTTGTTCGCTTTTGCTATCTTTATATCCTGCACTCGTTTCAAGGTTTGAGAAGACGATGCTAATGGGTAGCAGCCGGGACGAACCCTCCGTTTTTAACTGCAGCTTGCTGACATGGAAACCAATACCCCATACTGCAAGGGACAGTTGTGGTAACTCAGGTCTAGGTTGAAGCCAGGCAACCAGCAAAAAGCACACAGGTTGTCAAATGTGGTGTGTCAGCATTCGACGAAATGCGTGCAATATGTGATTGGACGGTTCAGATCCACCTCATGCAGGTCGCTGACAGGTGGAACCTCGGCCTTTCCCTAAAAGCCAATTGGAATCAAACGGATCGGATCAACGTGTTTCCAATATTCCCCTTCATATGGTGAGCAATGTCAGCAACGAGGCTGGACTCCTAAGAGATGCTTCCTGTTCATTCAATTTCACCCACATACGTCACCGAGAACAGTCCCTCCGCGAAGAATTACTTGGAAACGCACGCAAATCTGTTTGAGGGCGGAATGAGCCCATGCAGACCGGAATGGAAACGACGTATAAATACAACCGGGCTTCAGGACGTCCAGAAGGATGGACCGCAATTCACTCCCGGGCGCAAACAACTACCACAATAACACAAAGCACCATCTAAAAAAGCAGCATTGACAGACGCTCATCATATTACAACTCCCCACATCTAAACCAATCTCGGATCTCCAACTATGTCCCCGAAGCTCAACTGGACGCCAGACTCTCTTCCGTCTTTGGAAGGACGCACGTACGTGGTGACGGGAGGGAACGCCGGGATAGGGAGCTGGACGGTGCACCACCTGGCCCTGCGTGGGGCGACCGTGTACCTGACGTCGCGATCGGCCGAGAGAGGGGCGGCTGCGATCTCGTCGATAGCAGCGGCCATCAACAAGACGCACCCCGAGGTAGAGGCAGGCCATGTCGCGGGGCGGATCCACCTGGTGGTGATGGACCTGATGTCGCTGCGGTCGGTGGTCGCGGGGGCGAGACGCATCCGCGCCGAATGCACGCGGCTGCACGGCGTGGTCAACTCGGCGGGCATCATGGCCACGCCGTACCTGCTCAGCGAGGACGGCTACGAGTCGCAGTGGCAGACCAACTACCTTGCGCACTGGCTCCTGACGTGGCACCTGCTGCCGCTGCTGGAGTCCACGGCTCGAGCGTCACCGGAGGGTTCCGTCCGCGTCGTCAACGTCAGTTCGATGGGCCACGCCGCGACCTTCAAGGAAGGGATCCGCTTCGCCGACACGGGGCTCAAAGACGCCTTCACATTCCGGCGCTACGCCCAGAGCAAGCTGGCCAACATCCTCCACGCCAACGCCTTGCATGCGCGATATAATAACAACACCAGTGACAACGCAGCCACCTCACCGCCAGCACGCATCTGGTCACTCTCCCTCCACCCCGGCAACATCGACACGCAACTCAACTCGCGCGCATGGGGCGGCTCGGCCCTGACGCCCATCCTGCGCTGCATGGGCGCCTACATCACCCCCGAGCAAGGCAGCTACAACTCGCTGTGGGCCGTCGCGGGCAGTCCCGGCGTCCAAGTCACCCGCGCCATGTCGGGACACTACTTTGTGCCTGTGGGCGAGCAGAAGACGCCGAGCAAACAGGCGCAGGACCCTGAAGGGGCGCTGGCGCGGAGGCTGTGGGACTGGACCGAGCGGGAGATGAGGGCTAAGGGGTTCTTGGATGCTATTTGATCTGGTTCATCCATTTTAGTGGATGGATTGATGGATGGAGTGGCAGAGACGTATGTATGTGCTGTTCGACAAAGCGATAAAGAAATGGGCATGGCAGAAAGAGGAAGGGGAGGAGGAAGACGAAACGAAGAGCCACTAAGAAAAGTATGCTTTAGATGGCGCAGTATGGACTTTTGAGGGCATGGAAAAGTAAGAGTATCATTGACGAGCGACTCCGGCACATTCCAAGGGAGGGATGTTTTGATTACTTTCATATCGAGAAAAGAATAATTGTAATATATCGTTGAGATCATGGTACCTGGGTAGGTAGGTAGGTAGGTACCTCGTATACACCATGCAAAACGCCCTCGGACCTAATTTCGTTTCCAGTTCTATATATCCTTCGAACTTTCCTTCAGAGACTTCCCGTTGTTCCTTTCATATCCTTCCCGTATTAAAACATAATGGAGACATCACATCCCAGTTTTGAGATGCCAGATGCATGGCCACTGGCAGGAATCGTTCTCTCAAGCAGCAACATACGGCTTCTCAGGGGGACGTCTATCTTGAGCGTCCCACATTTTCAGTCCACATGCACAGCATCACCCAGTCAGAAGGACTTGGTGATTTCATAACCCTGGTTATTTCAGCACGAGAACCTCGCGCTTCCATTGCCGATGACTGCAACCTCGACCTTTCTCCCCTGGGTAGCCCCTCTGTACCCGTACAATTCACGGCTGCTTTCTCTTCGGACCTCCAGCCCAGATCCGCTGGCGCCGATGCTCCCGTGTCCGTGGGCCGCAAGATGAACCATACCCTCCCACTGAAGTGGATACGAGACGACCGCACTCCCACTACCACGAACCGTGTGGCTCGCTTCGATGGCACGAATCGCTTCGGTCGAGCCCAAGTCCGGGACAATCTTGATGTGCTGGCTACCATGGTTAGAGGTAGTAGTGATGTTCGATTGCGGATCCATCTCAGAGACACCGACTGTAAATAAAGTGACCGAGATAGAACCCGCATTAGTGGAAACGGAAGTAGATCCTCCGTTGCCATGCACCAAGTTGCCGTTGACACTGCCAGCAGTGGTAGAAATCTCCGTCACCAGTGTCCTCGATTTCGCGACGTCCGAGACGTAGGGTTTCTTGAAGAAACCACCTCCAGAGGTCATTTTCACATTGACACTGCCAGCTGTTGTGGAAAGACGAAGCACTGCTGGTTTCTCTCCAGGCTGAACTTCAACGGTAACCGTAATGCTACCTGCTGTGGTCGAAAGATCGAGCAGATCATAGAGCTGGTAGGTGCCGGTGATCGAGCGGAAGGTCTCGCGTTCACGATGTTCACGCTTCGGCGGTGGCCATGGTGTCTGCGAGGGTTGTGAGCCAAAGCTCGGAAGCTGATACCGTCCGTCCTGTGCAATGAAGAAACGTATTAGCAGCAGTTCGAAATTTCAGACATTGATCGCCCAAGGAGAACTGATTGGAAAGAAAAGGTCCAAGTACATTCTTGAGCGACCGACATAAGCCCGGAATCATAAGCCATAGGCAGGCAATAAGTGCAAGGAAGATAAAGCATAGCCGTTTGCATCGGCGGGCTCGATGTTTGTGGCGATCACATTGCCGTATAGCCTGCCGGCGCCCGCGGCAGCCTCGTGCCTTACCACGGCCGCGGAACCATATCCGGGCCCGTTGTGGATTATGTTGTAGGAAAACAGGCAGGCCCTCGAAGTCTGTATCTTCTTCTTGCTCGCGACAATCGTGGCTGTGGTGACGATTGTGCGCGTCGGATTCGGATGCCAATGGACCCTCCTCTTCATCATTGCTTCGAGATGGGCATGGGCATGATTGCGAACTGGAAGAAGAGGACGTTGTAGCAGGAGCGCTTACTGGCTCAGGGACTGAAGAGGGGTTCGACCTTGCAGCAACAGGAGACGCAGGTGCTGCAGGCGATTGAGACCCAACTTGAGTGCTGGCAGAAGGAGTGTAGATTGGAGGTGGATCCGAGGGATCCTCGTCCGACGAGAGGTGCGAGTACCCGGTATCCCTCACTTCATCACCGTCTACTGTTGACGCTTCTGGGGTTCTGTTGGTGGTGGGAGTGCCACCTGTGAAGTTGTCAGCCCATGAGCCTTGGGACCCAAGTCGTTGAGCCTCCGCTGCAGCAGATCGGGACTTGTCTGCGTCCCCTCCTTGGTGGTAGGATGTAGGAGACTGCCTGATGCTGTCGTCAGGGTCGTCTTGGAATGTCTCGTAACTGCGAGAGGGGTTTTTTTTGCGGATAGTCATGGCGGGAAACTCTGAATGCTGGCTGGGTAATTGATGCAAGAAGCGGGGAATTGGCTCAGCGCATTGAGTCTGGAGATGGAACTTTCAGAGAAGAATGCTTTTGAGCGTGAAGAAGGAATAAGAGAAAACAGTCAGAAGGCCGTTAGTCTGATATCAGAATTACCTTGTACCATCATCCACCTCTCCGTGGACTTGCCATGGGGTGATTGTAAGGTGTGTTTCGGTTGTCGCCGCAGGCAGACACCAAAGAAACCTGGAACGGCGCCTAGCTGCGCCGCCCCCTCTTGTCTATCAGGTACCGCATGCTCCCCAAAGTGGTTACCGACTTCCTGCAAGTCGCTGGGCCGCGGGGGAGGAGATGGGCATTGATAGGTCCCAAGGGCCTAAGGTTGTGGTGTTCTTGGTGCTGTTTGGGTGGCTCCCGTTCCCACAGGGCAGGTTAAGGCCCCCTGCCGATGCCTGGAGCTCCCCACTAACGTCATAAGCCACCGATATCGTATTCGTACTGCCCGTTAACTTCGCTAATTCGCTGGACTGTGATGGAGGGATATACCTACTCTTCAGCATCGAGTTCAAAGGAGCTGAAACCCAACACAAAAGTCCAAAATGACCAGATGAAAGCGATATTGTATTCACGAAGAGCCCCAAGGTGGATTTATCCATCCAGAAGGATAAGGGATATTAACTCACGTACTACATCGATCGAGCAACCAAACCTCAAGGCTGAGCTTTCATTATCCAACAACGATACTAGTGGGGGATATCTGCATTTGAATGAATGTACAGTTCCAAGATCCAATCTGAACTCCCTCGCTGATGCATTTGGAACTCGACTCGCTAATCTCGCTCAATCGATCTTCGCTGATAACTCTCAAGTTTCACCGACCGAAGCAAATCCAACACTGTGCAGAGAGCTTTTGGACGAAATCACAACATGCACGCTCGTCAAATCAATCGATGTCTCTCTTTCACAGCCGACATTCCCGTCTTCCCCTGCCGGCGACGACTGGCAACCCATCAGCTTCGGTTTACCAATCGTCCAGGCTCTAGATAAACCCAAGGTTCTCTAGAATCGCCTTCGCTTCGTTCATCGGCAGTCCAGCGACGCCCAGGGCACGCACTTGCGTTCCCCTCCTCAATCGCTGAAGACCAACAGCAACTTTCCAGCCCTCGGATTGGGACAAGATGAAAACATATTTCTTGCCTTCTTGATCGCGGATGCTCGCGCGAAGAACGTGGAGACCGGAGAGTTCGCAGCTCTGTGTAAGTGAAGAGTCAGTAAAGGTTGAAGTGGTTGACCTGGGGGTCGCGGTAATAGTAGTCGACGAAGAAAAACGCGGGACACCACTTGGACATCGAGATCGGGTTTCTTTCTTACACCCGCTTTCGCAAACATCCAATAGCTTACTGAGAAAAGCGACAGATTCTTTCTGCGAAGGTGACTGGGAGGAGTCCTTCCTCGAGTCGATGCTCAACCCGAAACCAAGGGAAATTTTCCGTTTAGGGGGACCCGTATCCATGCCTTTAGGGGAAAGAAAATGGGGACACCATACCTCTGCCAGCTTCATCGTCCAAGCCTTTACATCCCACTCACGTTGCGGCACTCCTCGTACGTCGTCGTCGATGAATAGGCCTTCGGTCGTGATACGCAAGATCAATCCGTCGGTGACATTACCTTGTCCAGATATCAGTTGGGAAATTGGGGTTCGCATAAATGCATTGTTGAAGGAGAAGACGCCCTTGATGATGATCTTATCAGGGTCTTTGGTCGAATACGGTCCGCGCATCGAGGGAGGTGGCGTGGTTTTGGCGGTGCTCTCTGACGGGGCGTAAGATGACTCGGAGTACATCGAAGCCGCAGAATTGGCTTTGTGCGTTCGTTTGGGTCGGTCATATGGTCTGAATGAGTATGCATCATCGTCTCGTTCCGTGGTCGCGGTCGGCATGGGTGGACGCTTGGGAAGACTTCGAGCAGCCTGCTCCTTTTTCGCCTTTTCAGCAGCAGCAGCTTCAGCGGCAGCGGCAGCTTTTGCGGCCGCCTCCTTCTCCTCACGCTCTTTCTTCTCCCTGCGTTCGCGTTCAAGTCTCTCAAGCAGTTCCTTTTCTCTCAGCTTCAGTCGCTCCCTTTCTAGCTGATCTTTCTGTCTCTGGAGCTCCTTCTCGAGCTCTTCTTTCTCCCTCTGCCGGTCCTTTTCTAGTTGTTCCTGCCTCTGTCGTTCCTTCTCCAGCTCGTCTTTCTGTTTCTGCCTTTCCTTCTCCAATTCCTCCCTGCGCTTTTTCAGTTCCTCGGCCCGTTTGCGATCCTCTTCTCTTTTCCTTGTCTCTTCTCGCGCTTTCTCCCAGCTTGACTTAGCGCTGGTGGTATTGGCTTTGGTATTGGCTTGGGGGGGTGGCCTCTGCCAGGATGATTGTGGAGGAGGGCTGCTCGTGCCATGATTAGGCGGAGGGGGAGGATGAGGGTGAGGGGGAGGGGGAGGAGGGGATTGAGCACTCGGTTGAGGCCCTGGTTGCGTGTAAGATCCAGTGTTGCCGTAGCCATTATGGCCTGGACCACTTGGACCACCTGAACTCGCATTAGACCCTCCACGATTAAATCCAGTGTAGTTTTGCCATTCACTTTGGGTCTTGCCAAATGCCCACGCTACAATCGCGACACCACAGATGAGCGTGAAAACGCCAGTCCCGCCACTGTTGATGGTGCTCACTAGCCATTCTTTGACAACGGGTACGGCGGTGTAGTAGATGAAAAAGGAGGCTGCGGTACACAAGGCTCCAGCCAAAAAGGAGTTGCGGTGTGTCTGCAGCGAAGGGAGGTAGAGGAAGCCCGAGCCCGAGGAATGTGGAGGGATGACAAAAATGTCGTATTTGCCATCAGGGAGACCTCCAGACCTGCCACCGCTTTGTGGATTTGTGCCATGCGGCGGTGGCGGCGGCGGAGGGGGCTCCATGAGAGCAGAGCCCTCTGATGATTCGAATTTTTGTCTACCTTTCCAAGCACAATTGCGTCGTCCGTGGTAACTGTGCTAGGGCCTTCTTTTTCATATTAACAGCTGGACTGCGCGGGCTGCAGGTCCAGTGACAGGGGAACGGGATCGACGTGTGGTGAGAGACCGAAGAGGCGCCGATGCGTGAGAAAACAGGCTCGTTATTGACGGTATCGTTACTGTCAAGACTCGGGAGGAGTGACAGTCGAGGGTGGTTAAAAAAAGAATCCGAGAATTGACTTGATGGAGTAGAATGGTAGGTGTGAGAAAGAGTCTGGAAGAAAAGTATGACAGGAGGCAGCAGTACAGAAACAGAGCAGTGACTGGCCCTGGCACTGGATGTGGTTTGACTTTGGGCCCTCGAGAAGACTCGACAGGGCCAGGGAAGTTTGAACAAGGTGGACTGGTCGAGGTGTGATGGCGCTAAGACGGGAGGGAAGGCCCTCGAGGGTGTCGGGGTCAACTTTCCGGCGGGCACCCAGGATCCTGGAGTATAAGCCCAAAGGGGAGGTGGTCCAATTAATCGGTGGTGGACGGGAGGGGGAGAAAGAGATTGATGTGGCAATCAATCGGCGAATTTCTCTCCTTTGTCTGAGAGGAGGGCTTCTTTTTTTTTCAATGGAGGGGATGAGATCTGTGAAACAGCGCAGGACTACCAGAAGGTGGGTAGACGGTGGTGAGGCAGGGCGCAGGAACAGAAATCCCAGAGATGCAGCGAGCAACTTTTTAATCACTCTGGGACCATGTAACCTGCTTGCCCACCATTTTTTCCACTCCCCATCAAAGAGGCGCCTACTGCACACTACGAGACACGGAGCACGAGCATGAGCACGCGCACGAAATAAATATGGATTTCTACTCGCGTGCATGTTCGACATCTCGCACTGTCCGAAGCCCCAGAGGGGGATTTTCAAAACAACAAAGTCGACCGATATCCAATGGAACTGAAGGTCAGCAGCGGTATGATGCTGGGGCCTGCACTCGAATTTTGCTAACTGGGCAAATCAGGGTTGCAGCTCGAGTGTCCAAGGCGGTGATAGGCAGATTTTCCTGCAGAAATCAACGCACCTCTCCCCAAGTCCGAGGCCTACCTTCCACCAGGCATCCAAGACAGCATCCTTCGCTTAGCCAGCATCAGCAATGAGCGACGGTGTTGGTCACGGACGCATGCGAGAGGACCACGTTGGACGTTGGGTCAGGCGGTGTGTTCGTCTGATGGAGATTTCCCGGGTGACGAGAACAACTTGGCTACGCGAAGATGTGATGCGCGATTACAAGGCTTTGAAGCGAGTGATAAACAATGCGGCCCGTTGAAGGGTTGACGGGGGAACAACAACGCGGGCTTGAAGCTAACCGATAGCTAACACGACCCAGCACCGGGGGCCAACGGCTCTTGCAGGCTGCCTAATCCCTGCTTCCCTGCCTAATCACATCTCAGTCACCGCCTAGTGCGCCCCCTAGAAGCCGCCCGGCGGAAAGTTTGAGCTCCTCCCGCCAGGCTCACCCAACCACTCGTCGCCTAAAACCTCCGAGCGGTTCCCTCGTGGTCGATGTTCCTCCATGCAGCATGCATGATGACTTCATCTCGAATTCGATCCAAGATCGCTGTGTCCAAGGCTTCGGTCAAAATGTGATCTGAAACTTTTCCCTTACCCGCCCACCGAAATAATAAAACAATAACGGACTCGGCGCTATCATCACCGCAAGGAATCCGAAGCAGCTGATCCCCCATCCATAGCCCAGCTTTTCAAACAGAAGCGGCGCAAACAGGGGGACTATACCGCCTACCAGACTCCGGAATACAGACCCTCCTGCAATGGCTGAGGCGGCGTACGTCGAGAACGAATCGATGTAATAATTCTGAACGGCATTGAAGACCACCACTTGACCCACCCCGTAGAAATATGTCGCCGCAATGCTCGCAAGCCAGTGAACACGGAATTGGACAGTCCATGCGAACCAGAAGAGACTCACAGGGATCAGAACGCTGCCGATATTTGCGAGTGGCAAGCGGTACTCAGGGAGCGGCTTCCCACCATGCTTCTTTGTCAGTCTGTTGAAGACGGTGTCGATGCGAGGAACGAGGAATCGGACCGAGGTTAGGAATCCCAGTCCTGGTCCTAGATACAAGAGGCCAATTTTCTCTGAGCTGAAACTGTAGGGTGGTTGGGAGTAGATGCTCTGCATGTTGGTGTAGATGCTATACGTGGTGCCAAAGATCAGGGCTTGGTACATGCTCATGATCAGCACCATCGGCTGGACGAAAATAACGAACGGCCGTTTCATGCTCTCCTGGAGCTTCTTGGAGAGTGGTCGCTCGTCCTCGCCATCGAAGTAGTACTTCGTCTTCTTCCCCAGTCCTTGAGAATCTTGTTGGGCCAGATCGGCTTTGCGACGACCTAGGAGGACCGGTGCGTACGTTTCTTTGAGGAAGAGGTAACCAATTGCGGTATTGATGGCACAGACGATGGTGAGAATCTGTAACGAGACCACCTATTAGCCCCTGTGCTGTTCGACTTCTTGTTCATTCTCCAATCTTACCCAATATATCCATCTCCATCCCAAGCGACTGACAATGACGCCTCCAAACAGAGGTCCAAGTGTCGGTCCTGGGGCGTGCTGTCAGCGATGTCCACTGACTTCAGAGGCTGATTTCTGTATATTCACCTAGAAGGGGTCCGAGAAGGTACCAGCCAAAGATGCCCGCTCGTTCAGACGGATCATACATGTCCGATATCGTCCCGCCTCCGTTGGCTATCCCGACACCTGCAGCACCCTCATCAGTATCAAATACACTTCTGTTCTCGCATTTCCCTCGCCTTCAACGCTGCTAGTGCTGCTTGCGATGGTTACTCACTGCCGAAGAAGCCCGACACGGTGCGCATGGCAATGAGCGTCTGGATGTTTGGGCTCAACGCCGACGCCGCCTGGAGGAGGGTAAAGACGGCGAAACAGAAGATGTACAGGGCCCTGCGGCCAAAGTCCTCGGACAGGGGAGCCCAGACCAGAGGGCCCAGGCCGAGGGTGATGACGAACCCCGTCGTCGTGGCGATGACGCTCTGCTCGCTCGTGTCCAGATCTTTGGCGATCTGGTTGATGCCCGGGGTGAACATGGACGAGGCCAGCGGGCTCAGCACGGCCATCAGCGAGATGATGCCCACGTTGAGGATCTTCTTGCGCCCGTTCCAGGCTTTGGGGTTCTCTTCGTCGTCCACACCGAACTGGATCCGGTGCGTCTCATGGCTGTGTTGGCTGCTGCTGGCGCTGTCGACGTCCCCGTCCGGACGGAGGAGTGGTTGTCGTTCCTCGTCATCTTCGCGATCGCGAGGGGAATGGGGAGGCATCTGTTCCTGTCTCAAGGGCCGGTGGCATTAGAAATATGTACAGGGGCAACAATTAGCTCAGGCGGATGCTGGCCTTTCAATGAAAAGCAAGATATGAATGAACGTTGCAGGCATTGTGTCAGGGTTTTCCGTTCTTCCAGGAGAAAATAGACTTCTGCGATGGTATAGTATATGCCAGATCTGTCCGTCACCTGCATCGATGACGCCTACAGGTTCGAGGGGGGCCCTGGCCATCCACCATCCAAAACGGACATCGAATCCGCTCGCCTCTCGGTGCTCGCTGTTCCTACTTGTAGACACGAGTTCCCATGTAGGTAGTTACTTGGTTTTTCGATCACCGAAGAATGAGATGCATCTTACTTATCCCCCACAAAAATCCCCACTCCAAAGAAACATGCCCTGCATGCCCAAGATTGAAGATTCCACTGGTTTTATTATTTCATATCCGAACAACTACCCGGCGACCAAAATCGCCATTGCCCGCGCAATCTATCCAAAAAAAAAACTGGAAGCTTGCTTCTTTGGACAGGCTGGCCCAAGTCCACTGGAATCAAATGGGGCTTAATCTGTGCTGGAGTGGATGTCTAGTCCATATCTTCTGCTGACAAGCAGTTTTCTGGGCCGGGTGTCTATATACATGCCTCGTACATATGTACAGTATCTACATTTCCTCGAGCTATGAGGCATAAAAGGAGGTCATATGAGTGAGGTTGCTGAATACTTTTTGGAGATTTGAAAATACACAGGTTGAATCAAAGCTGGGTGATTATACATTCGTCGGTTACTGTACCCGCTTGGTGGGAACTGTCACCGCCGCAAAAGATTGTATCTTGTGGCCGTGGACACCTCTGCTCGAGGAGCTCTTGGATAGGGCAAATTTGGCACTGTATGAGTCTTCGGGATCGTCGTGATTCGGTCCGTGTCTTTCCTCGTTTCCTAGCGCCAGGGAACATCCTGTCGCAGTGTTGCGGGTGAGGATGTGAGGCGGCGCTTCGTTATTGCCCGCAGATTTGGTCGAGCTCTCACAAGTCCTGTCCATTATGATCTTGTGGTAATGCTTTTTCCATATATGTCTGATCACCTCTCCTGGCCTCGTTCATTCGTCTGCGAAGGTCGTGGTCCTTTCGCTTCCTTGCGCGCTAGCACGGTCGCCATCCACTCCTCAAACTCCTCCTCAGCTTCCTTCTCCGACTTGCCCGTCCCATCGACGCCCAGCCCACCTCTTATCTTCCTGCGCGCCTCTGCCAGACTGTTGATATCGAAATACCACATAGCTCCTCCCGTGACCATCATCGACAGACTGAGGACGTTGATCGTCGCAATGTTCAATGCTTCGACAGCTTCCATGGCACCGTTGACTTTTTTCGCTTGTTCCGCCTGGTGTGCCGGGGCATTGGCGTAGAAAGCCGGATTGGAGGCCAGCCGTTTTCGCGCAAGGCTTCTTCGAGTGACGAGGAGGGAGAAGGCGAAAAATACGGCGCCAGCATTAAAAATGAGTTTGTTTCTGTTCAAACGTTCGGTTTGTGTCTGCTGCAGCGTCACGGGTTTGGCTGCTTCAATGGCGGGTTCGGCCGGCTTCACAGGTTCTTCGAGGACGCGCTTCTCGGCAGCTACAGGCTGGCCAGCTGCTGAAGGCACTGGGTTCTTTGACGATGTGAACCATGATGTAAACCACGACATTCTGGCAGATTTGTGGCTGAATATTCGTGATGAGGGAAGTCTTGGGCCGTTGCCAACCACAAAAAAATTACAGTGGAGGGCAGAAGATCAAGGCACATGCGCAGTCTAGGAAGTCGATCACGTGAGAGACTTTGGACCCCAAATGTATTGTACTTCTAGTTGTAGGTGGGAAGGAGACAGGCTATTGGCTCAGCATCGAAGAGACCCCAAGCCACATCTACCGAGTACATTATCATTCAACCTGTTCAATCCAAATCGTGCCCTACGCACCCGTCTTGATCACGGCAGCTACCCGTTCGCAGGGCTGGATTGCCCTCTCAGAATGATATACCACACAAGCGGTGAACCTATTCCTTTGTATTTTGCTGGGCTTCGACATGCTCAACAGAAGTCCTGGGAACAGCACCTTGCTTTTCCACGTCTCCACCTGTGGAACTTCGTGGCACACCAGCCTCAGTGGCGACTTTGTGTATATCGTGGTGACCGTGTTCATCGACAATGAGTTCATGGGTGCGATGATCGACGTGAAGGTCCTCGGCGTAGACAGCAACTTCGTCTCCAAACAGTTTCGCCATTTCTTCAAGCGGAATATTCTTCGTCTCTGGAAGATAGAAGTACGCGAAGAACGTGCCCAGGCCTGAAATGATGATGAAGACCAGATAAAACTTCCAGCCGATGTTGGTAAAAGCCTACAACGACCAAGTCAGTGAGGATCAAAACCCAAGCACGAAATGAATACTCACCGTCGCTGCAACTTGTAGATAGACCAAGTCGGTGAGTGCAATGACGCAAATACTAAGAGACAACCCCTTTGCTCTCAGATGGTTGGGGAAGAGTTCGGAATAAAAGACCACGCCAGCCACGTCGATGCCGATGCTGTATACGAGCAAGAACAGGTATGCAGCCGCAACACCCATTCGAAGACCGGCTTTGTTGGTTGCTTCCTCTGCGAAAGAGCTAACCATTGCAGCTTCAAGAATGAGGGACACGCAGCAGCCAGCAACTCCCATGACAAGTAGCGGTTTGCGGCCTGTCCAGTCCATAATGAGAGCCCCCACCAAGTTGCCAATAATGCCAACAGTGATCCAGCCACACTGGAAGATTAGTTGGTACAAGGTATCATAACCCAGGGCGGCGTAAATGGTTGGACCTGTTGCTTCTTAGCCCTTGGCCCGAGGCGCATCCCAAACACAAGCTTACCATAGTTATTCAAAACCAAGACCCCAGTCGACTGACCAATGAATGCGAAGCCCATGGCCATGATCGTGCGCTTGCGGTAGCTGGGTCGACGTATTATTTCCATCTGTCAAGGTCAGCGCCCTTCTGCCGAACGAAAGTATGTGGCACGGTACCCAGCCCGGTTCCATCGTCCGATCCAACTCCGCTTGCTTTGACATCTGGTAGAATTCCCCACGAGCAAATTCTTGATCAGGATCATTCTTCGACGCATGCAACTTGAAGACAACGTCCCTCGCTTCGTCAATCTTCCCCTTCATGAGAAGATAACGCGGGGATTCCGGAATGACGAAACAGACCAGAACCATCATCACCGGCCAAACAAGTGCTATGCCCAAAGGAGCTCGCCACTGTGTCTGCGGGTCATCCACATAGTAAAAGGCGAGACCCATGTAGCTGGCAAGAGCGTAGCCCAGTGCAATGTTAACGCCGTTCATGCCCACCATGAGGCCACGCAGGCCTGGCGGTGCTAATTCTGCAGAGTAATACGGCGCTTGGTCTGGTCAGCTGGGAAGACGAGGATAGGATGAACGCAAATACATACTGACTGCTAGGTAGCCCCAGCTCCCAGCCCCTGCAAAGAGGCGAGCGACAATAAACATGGTGGCATTTCTGCTACCGCAAAGCAGCGCCCCTCCGAGCAGCGACAGGAACCCACACCAGTGAAATCCTGCTTTACGTCCCCATCTGCTCGTTGTCGTCAGCAATCTAGGCGTACACCGAGGGACTAAGGTGGCTCCTAACGTACTTGTCTGAGACATAACCGGCGATAAAAACGTTGATGGCGGCGCCAGCTTGGAAGACCTAAAAAGAGTCAGCCAAATCGTGCAAGCGGCATATAAATCACCAAGGCATGCGGTGGTAAATATGAAGAATGGAGCACATTTCTATGAGATCTAGCTGCTTCCAAGGAGCCACAGGCTTCCTTATAACTGATCATACTCTGCGCAAGTAATCATGCAATGCTTTCGTGGACATGGCAGGGGCTCAGGGGGTGTTGGGGTCTCATTTATGGGAAAGATCTGACACATATTGGAAGGATCAACCTACTCCTGACATTGCGCCGATTTTCTGGTCCGCTCCTGTTTGATTGTTAGCTGGCCAAGATGCTCTGCTAGCATGTTCTCATTACCTGGAGTCATGGCTGGAGGGTCTTGTGTGACATCAAGGAGGCCCATGTACACCAAAAAGGACGGTTGTGCAAGAGTGACCCCAATGATTGAAGCAGGGTACCCAAAAGCAATCTGGCCCAGGGAGACCATCCAGCAGATGAAGAAATTCCATGCGCTCCAGTGACGCTCGGTGCCAAAAGCCATGATGGGCGCGGTACGATCTTGGAGTATGCAGGTGTCCAGCCAAAGTGAGAGGTTGACTCGAATGAAGCGAACTGTTTGGGGAGAGGAACCAGGGGAGAACGGCCAGGAACCAGCCCTCCCTTTAGTACTTTTGGGGAATTGTCAGTCCATTCGAGTCGATTTTGTTCAATCTTACAGATTGCCGTCTACTCTCCTCCAGAGGAAGTGCCGCGGCTGTCCTCTTGGAGTCTTCGTTCCCCTCGCCCAGATTATCCAGATCGTAACCAAAGTATAAGTGGACCAGGGACCCATGCATTTGGTGAGATAGCAAGTCCCAAGTGTTGTGTAGATAAACCTTCTCCACGGCTTGGAAGGAGAATGCCCACCCTCAAATTTGATCGGGGTGGATTTGGCCAAGTCGACTTCTCGAGAGACCGCATGGTGGTTGTTCTTAAACACTGACCAGCCATGGCATTAGTGACAGTGTATTGGCGCATTGGCGCATTTCGATAGTGGATGGCCTAAGACCACCTCTTTCGCTGTACTCTGAGGCCGCCCCTTAGGACATGCGAGATTCAGGGCAACATAACGTGGCAACCTGTGAACTGTCGGCTCGCAAAACGTGGAGAGACTTCGGGGAAGCTTTTGAGTTTGTGGGGGATGCGCCATACCTGGGGCTAGTTCCTAGAAGGGAATTCCAAGACGTTCGAGGCGTCGGCCATTCTGCGCGAACTTCCAGTCAATGACGGCAGATTCGATCGATAGTCTCTTGGAACCCAGGCCAACTACCCAGTAGAGACATCGTATGATCGTCAAGAAAGCGCCGTCACACCAGCGAGACTAGCCGCAGACTAGGCGAGGGCTGGGCCTGGAACGCAGGTGTAAGATATAACCTGGAGGGAAGAGTTCAGTGAGTCAGTCAACCATGACTCTGTTTTGCCGGCGCCTTTGAGAAACAGGCGTAAGCTCCTGCCTCGTATTCAGTGGGAAACGACCGCAGATTGTCCTCGAGGTCTCGCTCGCTTCATCAGGAGGATGATTTATGGTCGGTCTTCCAGCTTGAGGTGCAACAATACCATGATAACTCCCACCGATACCTTGCCAAAGTGTCGTGTTTCTAGGAGTGGGACATCATCTTCGAAATGAGAGTGGTAGGATAAGCTGTGATTGACTTCTAAGCCCAGAGTATTCGATTCGATCGAACAGAGAGACGGACTGGGGAAAAAGAGCGGAACCGCTCGTGAGCTGCTCTGAGTAGTCCGCGCTTGGGTTCTGTAATATTTCATTATACCTTTTACCGGCCGGGTAAACCGTATTCGGCGTGCATATTACCTAGGCTTGCTGTTAAAAGGATTACCGGACCCTCCTTGTCCTCATCGGATAACCAAGAGAAGCTTGGTCACAAACCCTGTCTGCGTATATTGCCACGCCTCGTACTCGGTATACTTTTGCGTGGAATCGCTTTCGGTCTCAATCCCGTAGTATAAGAACAGCTTCGGAAGGACGGTGTCAAGAAAGAGATTCTGAGGTGTTCTGTTCAGGGATGAATCGTCAAAATAATCGACGCTCGTGTTCAATCTTGTTGTTCTCATCCGAGACGAGGTATCAAGACGAATGATTTTGGGAGTAGTTAGTCTTCAAAATCACCAAGACCTACACCTCACGATAGCATAATCCCATCTGCTTGATCCAGACTGACGGCTCCATCTGAAGAGTTCGGGTTCGCGAGGGCTGCTCAGATGCACGTCATGAAGCGCCAAAGAGCAAACATTTCTTTATTATGGATATCATTCTCATGACGCTGAGAAAGTAGTCTCTCAAGTGATCCCATGCATAGCTTAACGCGGATGTTGGCGACGAGCTGTGTGACCGTGTGTATGGGAGGTTCAAGTTGATGAAAGGGTTCAGATCCGAGGCGTCCTGGGCGTCCAGGTGTTTGAAGGGCGAAGTTGCCAAGACTCCCACAATTGGCGCAGTTTTGTTCCCTGCGGAGATTGTAGGGGCCATTCAAGCAAGCACGGCAAGTCACCAAGTTTACCCACAAGACACAGTTCAATGGTACTTCTCGCTGCTGTACTCTATCTGCTCGTCGCTCGGTTTGGTACGGTGCATATTGTCATTACCTGCCACTTCTCGAACGAAGCCATGCGAAGAATATCCGATCGCCGCGTCGATCACTAGCACGACAACGAAAGTCGGCTCGATGATGCTCTGTCATTTAAAGCATACAGATTCAAAAGGAGGAAGCCAAGCCTTGGTTTACTTATGCAACCTCTCGCATACCCGCACACCGGAGCCTCGCTTAGCAGGCCTTCGCTCAAGCGTAAACCCACATGGCTCGAATTCAATTCCAAACCTGGACATAGCAGGGCCAAAAGAAGAAAACAGCCCCCTACCTCCATTTCCCAGCAAATGTATGTCAGAACTTTTATTTCGAGGCTTATTCTTCCTTCGGGCACGGCTGCCGCAACCTTTGGGGGGAACGGCTCAAAGAGGGGGATTCAGCACGCCAATAATACGTGTGATGGGAGCAAGGGCGGAGTTAAATCTGTGTCAGACATTGGAGAACTAGGCCATAAGGGCATGATCAATTGTGATACTATAAAGCGCATGAGTCCGACAAATATTTCGTGTCCCATGGCGCGTTAATGTGGTGTATTCTGACCAAATCAATCTCTTCCGACACCAGAAAGTCGAGATGGGAGTCCTCCCTGCTTGCTGAGATTATCAAGGCATGGAGAGTTTCGCCTGCACCTCAGGTTGTCCATATTCTTTGATTGAAAGATAATGGTGCGTACAGATTATGGCCGTCACCCTGAATATCGCAGAACGGCTTCAGGATGCACTTCCAGTCATGCTCGCTTGGGCTACCGTCTGTTGGAAACAAATAGATCTTCCGGACGCGCTCCATTTGGACCCGGATCCAGGCAGTCTGGCCCTTTCTGAGCTTTCCTAGCAATGAACCTGGTTGCGAACTCGAGAAATGTAGGGCTCGTGCCTTCAGAAACCCTGCGAGGGGCAACATGATGAACCAGCCACCTATAGCCGCGGCGGCACGTACATGGTCGTCCATGGTCATCTCGACTTCATTACCAAACGGGTCGACATAAGCCGCCATCTGACGAAGCTCCGCAGGCACATGAGGGTATTCTCTGTGCTCGTCAGGGAATGAGGGTGTTGTTCTGTTACCCATATGGAATGGCACCGAGGCACAGTAGCGGTCCACAATCTCTTGGATTCGGAAGCCAATGTACGGCTCGATGGCCGGGTCGACATCAATGCCGATGTCCTTCAAACGTTCCGAACATATTGTAATCAGACGGAGTGTCCCAATCTGGGAACTCCGAGCGGCATTATTGACATGAGAGACTGCGAGCGAGGAATATACATCACACATGTCTTCATAAACCCCGGCATCGCGTATGGATTGATGCAGCTCGGATACCGGGACAGATACTGGCCGCCACGACTGGGGGAGGGCGTCCCTCCATGCTTGCAGTTTCCTCTCAAGGTCAAGCGCCCTCTCCAAAATGACCTTGTAGAAGTCGGCTAGGCTGAGGCCTGCGGCCTCAGGACCGTCGCGAGACAACTCAAGCAACTCTGCTAGTTGGACGTTCAAAAGATCAAGCTTCGCAGAAGGGAGAACTGCAGTATCGTCGGCAAGGAGTTCTGGATCCAGCTCCACCTTTTTCCCGAACTGCAAGGCATAATTGATATGACGGCTTCTCATGGCATTGAAGAGGCGTTGAGAGAGCGGAGTCTTGAAGCCATCTCGGCCTCTATGCTTGAGTAGGGCCACCGCACCTTGCTGATGGACGCCCGTGTCCACCAAGTGTACAAAGCGCCGATTGAGGGAGTCGTAAAACTCCAGCATGAAGACGGTGACGAGCGTCTCGTCCGTTTTGGATTCGACTGGGTGTTGCAGTAAAGATTTCAGGCCTGTCACGGCCTTCGCATATGCCTCCCGGGCATGATAAGAGTCGACGTATCGCGTCATCCACATTGACGTGATGTTGATGGCGACGGCGTTGGTCGCCTCGGCCAGCGCCGAATGAGGTGCCGTGTTCAAGTATATGGGGAGGATGTGTTCGATGAACATGTTGGTACTTGGATCCCGGGGAATGTTGACGTAGTTTGTAAAGAAATAACACAACGACTCCATCTCAACATTTCGAGACGGTGGAGTGAAGAGAGCGAGTTCATACTCGTTGGGATGACCAACATCATCATTTGCCCACGATGGGCTTTGGAGGTGACTGGGAGCATTGCCCGAGACATCGCGAGCAGGAGTGTATCTTCTCTTGTGCCGTTTCGGGCCAGTTTTATGGGAGACGAGGAGAGTCTCGTCCTTGTGCACAGCTTCAAAGAAGTCTCGATATCCCGGACATTGCTGCTTCCTTTTGATGCAGATGCCGCACTGAGGCCGTCCCTCATCACACTGGAATCAATCAATGAATCGATCAGTAAAATATAGAGCACAACCAGGCACCGACGACGGTCCTCAGATGTTATGTATGGGTACTTGGGTATAACCTACCTTGACACGACGTTTCCTACATGCATAACATCCTTTACTGGGGCCTTTATAAACCATCTCGTTGCCCCCTTTTCAGCAGTAAAGTACCGTTCTGTGATGACACAGACAGTGCACAATGGTGATATTGATAGAACAGCCCAAACCTCTGGAGTGCTGGAGTGCGTTGCGGGTTTGCCTCAATCAATGCTGGGATGTGGGATGTGGGACGTTTAAGCCAAATCGCCACAGCCATAAACCCATCTGATATGTATGTATACCGAGTACGGAGTAACTCGAATCGTAAGGCCTACCCACAGCGGTCACATCCAGGCAGCATTATTACCGATCACTTCACCCAAGGACTTACCCAGTGCGAGGTACATTCATTTTCACACCAGCAGCAGAGCGAGCAAATAATTTCCTCTGGGGGGGGCTTGTGCCGTATCTCTACTGGGGCGGCACGGCGGGTAGGGATACTTTGCAATGGAAGATACCGATACCGACTGGTCAAGCCAAAGCTGGTTGCTTGCCTCACCCGCCCGGCGCCGAGAATGGCTTCTTCGCTCCGGGGAGGAGGACCATGAGATAAAAATCGTGGCTGTGCTTTTCTTATACCCACCCTTTGTGAAAACCCACATCCTTTTCTAACTGGTGATTAGTGGGGAGCTCGGTTATGGTTATTGGTTTTTTACGCTTGACGATCAAAGAAAGGAGGAAAGGAGGGGGCACACGGGCACCAGCGAGTACATCCCGAGTAGTAGTAGTAGAGGTTGTGTCAGGGTGTGTGTTTGGATAGGCGCTCGTACACTAACGAAACGGGCAATGACCCTCACGCGTGTTCATTGTGGCTGGGGCTGCTGTGAATGACGACAATCGACAGTTCCAGGACGGGACAATAATTGCTTGGATATTCCCGTAGCGTTAGTACGAGGATAATCGGAACATTGTTAGGTGCGTCCGTATCCCTAAGTCCGTACCATCCCCCGCTCGAGACTTGTTTCGCGAATACGCTGTACGAGTACGAGGAAACAACTCCCCGCCCAAGCCTTGGACGCGGCGCTCAGGAGGAGAGGGGGGGATCAGGAGATAATCCCCCTTTCTTTCCCTGTATAGGGAAATCTAGGCAGCAATATTCAGGTTTGCAGGTGTGTCCATCTGTTCGGCTCTATGCCCTGAGACCGCATGGCTTACCCGTGATCTACATGTTCAAGATGAGAGTGCAATGGACGACGGCTGTGAACTCAGCATAGACGAGTGTATTAATGGAATCATCATTCAGCTACTTGGACAACTACACGGTATCTATACCAGACACTCAAGCGAACGAGCTCACCAAGGCATTTGCACACCATTCTGATCCCAGAACTTGCCGCTGTGCGTGGCCTTGTCTGCCTTGTCGAATACGGATATCAGCCCACTGACAGAGTCCTCCAACTTGACTGGAACCTCTTCTGCCTTCATGCCCGCAAATTCGGCGGCGGTGTTACCCATGGCTGTTTCAATCCAAAGGTCAGCGTCGTTGCTAGAAGAGTGTTGTTGTGGAAGATACGTACCTGTCTGAACCCAACCCGGCTGCATGGCAACCACGGCAATCCTGTCCTCTTCGCGGTGAATTCGGCTTACCGCCCAGTTCACGGCCGCCTTGGACATACCGTACGCAATCATCGGTAGGGGGTAGCTGTCTTGGAGACCGTTGCTGCCTATATTGGAAGAGATGATGAAGAACTTTGGCGTCTGCTTGGAGGCATTCAACAGTTCTTGCGTGGCCTGGTAGAGCAATATTGGCGCCAGCGTGTTGACTTGCAGGTGCTCCATGATGGTCTCTGCGGACGCTTCTTTGGCAGGGCCGAAGTGCTTCAGAATGCCCGCATTGGCCACCACGACATCCAGGGCCGTGATGTTGTGGACTGACTTGAGGTGATCGACAAGTTCAATCGCCGCTGTCTTCGATGAGGCGTCGTACTTGGCAACCACAATCTTGCTGCCAGATCCGACCGGTAAGGAAGTGAGGGCTCTGGCCGCTCCAGAATCCGGCCCATCTCGAATGGCGGCGATGGCCAGTGTGTTGGGCCGCGCAGCGTAGGTGGACAGCAGCCCCTTGCCGATGCCGGATTTGCTTCCAGTCACCAGAACGGTGTTGGCGAATGACATGATGGCTTTGTGGTCGTGATTTGTTGGCTTGGTCGAGGACGAAGGTATGAATTGTGCTCAGGAGATTGCTATGGTATCTTTGCTGGAGTTGGCTTGCGACGCTGAACAGACAGTTCTTGAGACATGAGAATCGCTACATTATATAGTTGCCCGACTCTGGCCTTCAGTATCTGCATGCCCTCACGCTCATCTGGTCAGTTCTGTCTCTTTCCACATTATCTCAGCAATCGCGCATTTCATGCAAGAAGCTCATTCTTTCCCAATGGAGAGCTTGGTCTACTGCAACGGTGGTGTCGGTCCGTCGAGGAGAACAACAGCCACAACATGCCAGATGGAAAGTCTTCTGCTGAGAAGCCCATGGTTCTCTTACGGTCTTCGAATGGCTTTGGTGTCCAGACCTCTCGCAATGGGCTGACCAACCAATGACGTCGGCCTTGTTTGATTGGTCGTGTTTTCCTTTCCAGATCGAGACAGTGGTCGCGTCTTGTCCAGTAGGCAGTAGACTGCGCTGGGAAGAAGTCTAACTGTGATTGTGACAATGCGTACCCTACCTGTTTTGCTAGTCACGGCTGTTTTTGCGCTCCAAGAGATTGTTCAGCAGTCTCCACCAGAGTCTGGGGCGGCAACTTGTTGCTGTTCGCGAGGCCACTCACATCCTAGGCAATGGGTTAGTTTCTAAATATCAAAGCTCAGGCTGGAGGAGTATTGGTCATGGACGTTTGCGCTATTTTTGAGTAGAAGGCATGATTTTTGTTACAGTGTCTGCCGGATTGAACACCGTCCCACTAATTTTTCAATTCAGCGACTTGGTAGGAAACTGCAGCCTTATGGAGCCTTGCGCAGCCCCGAGAGGTTACGAGACACTCGGCTGAGTTGCCAGACGCAACAAATGAATTAAAGCATCCTGGCAGGGAGATATTTAGCCTTGGACTTTGGCCACAGATGCATTCTGATGACAATGACAAGCACATTGTGGTCGAGTTGGATGACCTTGATGCTCACATATCACTCAATATGATCCCAAGATAACCGAAAGGGGCGCAACATGGCGCCACAATCCTCGTCCACTCCCAACACCTCGAGCGCAGCGTCGACCCCAACGCCATCGCCTGCGCCCTCACCTATACCTCCCCCCGTCCCTGTCGAAACTCACCCCAACCGAGGCAAACCGCAGGTCAATCGGATTGCTCTTGATCCGGGTCGTCTTGCTCCTGAAGATGCGTACAAGACTTTCTCGCCGCCGCGACTGCGACCAGTCCCTGAGATCAGCGGTTCCGCCGCCGCAAATGCCGCCGCTGCTGCTCTCCGACCGGCAGTTGCGTCTCTACGAGCACCGCCAGCAATTCCCCCGGTCGCTGCTAGAATAGCCGAAGAAAGACGCCGGGCAGCGAGCAAGAGACGGAAACCACCGCACGTTTGGAAGAAATTACTTTGGATAAAGCAACATGGGTTCCCGGACAACTATACAGACACGGAGACCTTTCTGGACCACCTACAGAGAAATCCCCGGCTGCGGCCCTACGACTTCTGGCCGTTGGTGGCAGACTCGGCCGTCATTGTGCAGCACGTGTGCTCCGTGGCCATCTTCATCTGCGCATATGCCGGGATCTACCAGGGCCGCCTGTCCCCGGTCTCGGTGGTGACCTGCGGCACTATTTTGACGGTCGGCGGATGGATCATGTGGGACTACTGGATAGGTCAGCAGGAAGCAGAAGAGTTCGCGGCGCTGCAAAAGGCCAATCGGCTTTCGGTCGATGTCGACGATGGTGCGAGTACCAGCTCGGGAGGCTCTTCCAAGGTCCAGATGAACGGCAATGGGCATGTTGGTAATGGACATGCGAACGGCCCTCTAGGGGGAAGAGGCGTGGGCCTGAAACTATCGACCACAAACCTCGGGGTCAAGGATCACGAATCGAAGTTCCCTGGGAAACATACCCAGTCCCTGTCCAAGTCATCCTTCCAGTCGATTTCCCCTATCGACCCACTGGGTGATGGCTCCATTGAACCATTCCCCGACCTGCGACCGACCACGTCTCGGCCACAAGTGCCTCAGTCGCCGAGCATAGTATGTAGTCCGACGACGTTACCGGCCACCATATCCCCTCGGAACCAGGCGCGGCTCAAAACACTGAAATCCGCCTCCTTGATCTACTTTGCATTATTGGGACTCTCGCCGATCCTCAAGTCTCTCACAAGATCGACATCATCAGATTCCATCTGGGCGCTGGCGACATGGCTTCTAATAATCAACATATTCTTCTTCGACTATGGGAGTCTTTATCTACCCAAAAAGCCTGAGAATGCTCCGCAAGGCCCCGGAATATCCAACGCCACACCCACAGATGCAGCACCACCTCAATTGAGTAATGCTTTCCGGGCGCCTCCATTTCCCTCGTCGCTGTCGACTAACGCAGCCTTGATGGCTAGTACGGTGCTTGCTTCGCGCCTCATGACTACCACAGCGGTCTTTAGCTTGACTCTGTTTTCCATTCAGGTGTTTGGTCTGTTTCCGGTGTTCCGGCGGCATCTCCACTACAAATCGTTCAAGTTACATCTGCTACTGACCTTCGCCCTGGTCACAATGTCCACCTGCGGCCTAGGCTTGATCTTATCCAAATCCTACACCCACACATATGGCAACTGCGGGCTCTGCTGGGGTTGGATCTGGCATGTGATTCTGCGGAGCACGATCGGGTTTATGGTCGGGGGACTTAGCACGGCATTTGTCATGGGCGGATGTTCGTGGTGGCTAATTGGGCTGCAGCGATATAAGAACGTGGTGATTGGGCCCTGGGATCCAGCCAAACCTGTGCTTGCAGGCGGCGTTTATGGAAGAAGTAGAACTGGGACCGACTGAATCATAAAGCCGTCTTCCTTCCAAGGGGGAGGGGGAATTCAAACAGATGTGGTACATTCCGACACCCGGTATCGGAATCCGCAGTTCTGTCCACATCTCGGAGTTGGAGAAACTCTAGTTTGCCACCAAACCAGCGTTCGCATTGTGCCCGAGCGGCTTCGAGAAGCGTGGTTCCGAGATGCTTGGACGAAGATGTTTCGGTTTGATGCCGTCCATTCCTCCATTTCGGGGGATCTCGAGATGGCTGCTCGTCAGACCTGCTTCTCCAACATCGGAAGAGGGGTTTTTTTTCGTCCCTGCGCCCTGCGCCCTCCACCCAAACAATAATGGGCTGAGATAGACTCGAAGACCACAGAGGTACCACCACACCAAATCAGCAACAACTGCGGGGTCGAAGCTCTAATGACGAGGCGGTTGGGCCGTGGGAAAAACTCATCCATATCTCCTGGCCCTCGGGTTCCTGCTGATGAGACATTCTTACAAAACAACCTCATCCCTCACCAACTTCAGTTCCTTTCCCCTTCCTTGTGAGTTGTGTGTGCTCCCAACGACATTGACGTGGACCTTCATCGTCACCAATCCATCTCGGTCATCCTCTTCCAAGAACTAAAACAATGGCACCCAGTCTCCCCTTTGAACTAAACGACCCCGATCTGCTGCGCCAGGACTCGTACGTGCACGGCGAATGGGTCCAAGCAAAGAGCGGCAAGCGCTTCGACATCATTGACCCCGGCTCGGACAAGACCTTTGCCTCTTGCCCAGATAATGCTGTTGAAGATGTCGATGCCGCCATCCAATCCTCGTACAAGGCCTTCCAGGAATACCGCGTCCTGAACCCGCGTAAACGGGCCCAACTGCTGATGAAATGGCATGAACTCATCACCGCAGCCAAAGACGACCTCGCCAAGATCCTTACCTATGAAACTGGCAAACCCCTGGCCGAGTCTATCGGCGAGCTTGACTATTCCCTCGGCTTCACCTGGTGGTTTGCCGGCGAGGCAGAACGCATCCAGGGCTCCGTCTTTACCCCTTCCGCACCAAACCGGCGTACCTTTGTTATCAAGCAGCCCATCGGTGTTGCCGTCGCCCTGGTGCCATGGAATTTCCCCATCGCCATGATTCTGCGGAAAGCCGGCGCGGCATTCGCTGCGGGCTGCACCATGGTGGTCAAACCCAGCCCAGAGACTCCCTTGACCTGTTTGAGCCTTGCATACCTGGCCACCAAAGCTGGCTTTGCTCCGGGTGTCTTCAACGTGCTCACCACGAGTCTCGCCAACACCCCGTCCCTCAGTGAGGCCATGTGCGTCCACCCGCTAGTCAAGAAGGTCACCTTCACGGGTTCGACCCGCGTGGGCAAGATCGTGGCCGGCCTGTGCGCCAAAAACCTCAAGAAATGCACGCTCGAGCTGGGCGGCAACTGCCCCTTCATTATCTTTGACGATGCCGACCTGGAGCAAGCCCTCGGCCAGTTCATGGCTCTGAAGTGGCGGCACGCTGGCCAAGCCTGTATCTCCGCCAACCGCCTGTACGTGCAGGCCGGTGTGTACGAGAAGTTTACGCAGATGCTAGTCGAGAGAACCAAGACTCTCAAGGTCGGTCACGGCGCCGAGAAGGGCACCACCATGGGACCTGTGACGACACCAAGGGGCCTTGCAAAGGCTGAAGAGCAGGCTGCCGATGCCATCAAGCACGGCGCAAAGCTCCTGCTTGGATCTGGCAAGGCACACAAGGGCTCCACCGTGGACGAGGGCTCCGGTGAAGGTAAGGGCGTGGGCGGCTACTTCATGGACCCGACCATCCTGGCGGACATGAACGAGAATATGCTGCTCGCCAAGGAGGAGACGTTTGCACCTGTCACGGGTATCTTCAAATTCGAGAAAGAGGAGGAGGCCGTCAAGTGGGCCAACGATACGTCCATGGGTCTCGCCAGCTACGCCTTTACGAAGAACGTGGACCGCCTGTGGAGGATGCTGGAGAACTTGGAGGCTGGCATGATTGGATTGGTGAGTCTTTCCCTGCTTCATTCTACTTTCCACCTCGTCGCTGGATCCGCTTTGTTCGTGTCTTGTCTCCCAAAGATGAGGATTGGTGAGAAGTGGATCCAAAGAGGGAAACCAAGGCAAGAAAGAAGACAACGAAAGAGAAGGGCGAAACACCAAGTGGACTTTTATCATACACCCTGTGTTGTAGCTGGACTCTTGCTAACCTCTACAAATAATTTAGAACACCGGTAACTCGTCAGCCGCGGAGTCACCCTTCGGCGGTATCAAGGAAAGCGGCTACGGCAAAGAGTCCGGCAAGGATGTCGCCGTCAACGAATACCTGATCTCCAAGACGGGCACATTCACCATCGACGGACAATATTAGGCTGAGAAGTCGTTGCTTCCTTGCCTTCGCTTCGACCTCGCTCTATGTGCTTGAACAAGGATCGAGTTTCGAGAGATGGGCACGGTTGTGAGTAGTGGAGTGGTGATCACTTCTGTGTAGTCAGTTTGAGCTGTACGCCTGGATTACTTGATAGCAGGGAGAAAGGAAAGGGACGATGGGAACTCAAGGGCCCAAGAAGAACGACAATCAGTGGAATCAACCGGTCCACCGACCTTTTGCAAGTTGTAACAGCGGCTCAAGGTGACCATGTTGACAATGATCCATCTCATTCAGTGGCACAATGCACAATAATGGCATCACTTACATACCACGGACGAAAAGTCCAAAGGCACCGAGTACTGAGTACTGACTGACTGACGTACTATGCATTCATATTCCATGTTCTATGCTCCATGTTCTATGCTCTGTACTGTGGTGTAGTGTAGTGTAGTGTAAGCAAAGGTGATGCGACAATCTTCCTTGAAGCTGTGGATAGATAGATAGAGAGATAGGTAGGGAGGTAGGTTATCAGTTTGCCTAGGAGTAGTACACAGTAAGCACTGTCCTGACTGTGTAGATCCAGATCTGTCTGCCTGGCTGTCTCTCCCTCTCTCGCTACATACCTACGGTACCTACCTACCTACAGCACCTCCTCACAATTCCCACAAAAGCTACAAAAGCTACAAGAGGCCCTGATCAACCAACAAAAGACTCGCTCGCCACGCCCGCTCTTCCATACGTACCGAATACAAGTATATATCGAATACCAATCCAAAGAAACCAACCCTACCTAGCCCAGCCCTCGGAGCCTGAGCCTCGTTGCCCCTCCTCTCCCTCCAAAAGACTCCCAACAGCCCCCCTCCACCATAACCAATCATTCGAAACCCTCCCAAACATACAAACGTGGGTGGTTCGGTGGGCGACAGTGCAGTAGTTTCACACCGCCACGCCATATCCGCCAGGAGCAGGAGCAGCGATAGGACAGTATAGGGACGGTTGGGCATCGATCGATCAATCGGTCGGAGATAGGCCAGGCCAGGCAGAAAGGCCAGTCCTGTATATTAGCAGGCAAAGCAGTATTGTTTCCTTGGCTGTTGCGACAACGACGCTTGGCCCTTTAGCCCTGGCCGGATCGTTCGCAAGAGCAAATTAACCAGTGGTCTAGCAATCCTCGCCACCAAGCTCAGTTCAGATCCATTCGCCAGTTGCTGCATCATATCAATACCGCGCCATCAACCACAATCGTCTTTTCTCGTCACCAAAGTCTCTCAACTTGGTCATCACACTCTCCGACACAGCAAGATAATCATCGACAACCGCATATCCGAGCGTCCGTCGCAGGACCTTATCCCGGTCCAAGGCTTTCAGACTCTTCTCCAGCGTGTTGGGTAGTTGCGTCGTGATGCCTAGCTTCTGCCTCTCCTCCTCGCCAATCAACGTCGGATCACCCGTGCAATCCTTGTGCTCGAGTTTGAGGTCTTGACGAAGCCCGTGGAGCCCCGAGGCCAAAACAGCGGCCATGGAGAGATAAGAGTTGCCCATACCGTCCACGGTCTTGATTTCAAAGTGTCCTGGTCCACATTTTCTCAACGGCACTTCCTTGTTCTGCGTTCCCCAGCACACATACTCTCCACCTGACCAGATCCCAGCGTTGACGCGTTGATACGACTCTTCAAAGGGTAAAAAGAACGCTATCAGTGCTGGCAGATGTTCCAAAACACCGGCGAGGAAGGCCGATTCATACTTTTCAACAGTGTCACCGGGTCCGTTGATGCTGAAATGGGCATGGTTGGCGCTGCCAGGGCTGGTCGCAAAGGGGCGCGGATAACACGTCGCCTTTAGACCGTGCTTTTTGGCGACATTGCGAATCACGTCTTTGGCCTTGAACAGAACGTCGACGGATTTCACAGGCTCATATGCCGGCAAAGGAAACTCCCATTGCCCTGGGGCGGCCTCTGAATGAAATTGCGACAGGTGGATGTCCAGGTCCGCCAGATCATCCACAATCTCTTCAATGATAGGTAGCATATCGATCTGTTGATACGTCATGTTTGACCACGAATGAACCATGTGCAATGGCTGGAATTCTACAAAGTCGGACCCGATTTCGTTCAGGACCGGCCTCATGAAGATGATTTCCAGCTCGAACCCTATCAACATGGAGATATTGAACTCGGACTTGAGAGCGTCCGCTTGAGATTGAAGCAGCCAGCGAGGACAGCGATCAAAATGCTCTACGAGGGGCATTTGCTCCGAGTCAGCCATCCACCATGTTTGAACAGTGGCCGAGGGTGACGAGATACCCTTATTCAGTGATAGGGTTGACAGGTCGGGGATCATGAGAAATTGACCAGTAGCTGTGCATCCGCTTGCGGGATGGTCGTCCTGCATCAACCTTGGCAGAGCAGTCGTGCAACAGAGAGGTTTTCCCGCGGAGAGCTGCTTTTTGAATTGTTGCACGGTCATCATGCGATTACGGAGTGTGCCAGTGTAGTCCAGATATTGAACCCACATATACTTGATGCCCGGATTTGTTTGCATAAAAGCGTCAAAAATTGTCACATTCTGCGCAAAGACAGCCGTGGAATTCTGGCCGGATGGCGCACTCGCACTCCCAGCGCGGAGGGGGATTGAAAGGTGTGTCGATGCTGCTGTGGTCAAAACCGCTCCAGCTCGTGATGCGGCGGCGGCGGAAGATGAGGCGCCACCGGCAGAAGTTGCAACAGCCGTACTCGCGTATGACTTGAAAGAGGGAGCTTTCGAACCACCATTCACAAGAGTGCGCATGCTGTCTACAGCCTCTCGGCCACAAGCTCGGAGCAACTCGGGGTATTTGCGCTCTTCGTCAAGCTTGTAGAGTAAATTTGAGTTCCAGAACATGATATCGACAGCGATATCGATGGCCTGGGCAACGGTAACGTCGCCCGCTGCAATATATGAAGTAAGCAGTCTCTCAAGCGCTTCTCTGAAGTGCCTGTTGGCGAGCCAATATGTTTCGGGATAGAAGTGTCCATCTGTGCTCCAGAGGATTTTGGAGCTTGGAGTCAGCTCGAGGGCCTGTCGCAGCACAGACTCTTCGCCTTCACGAGAGAGCATGGGAAACGCTTCTCCGATATCGAGCCAAGCATTGGAATAGTTTGCTGCTAGGTAACCTGCTTCCCTCGTATAGGGATACGAAGAATGGAGGATGACAAAGTCGACCTGGGGGAAAGCCTCGATCAAGGGCTGCATATATGCTGGGTTTGCCTTGACCAGATTGATATCCGTGTCACCGAGACCGGTGTGAAACTGAAAGGGCAAATTCTCACCGTCTGTGTCTACCAGCTTTTCCAATACGTCGCAGACAGCGACAACCAAGTAGTCATTGACCTCCTTTTGCTGAATCCGATACTTGTGGTCGCGAACGGCCTTTTGAAGGAAGTCGTGAAAAGACTGGAGAAGAGCCGACTCGGTCAGAGACTGATGGGGGCGGAAGTTCTTCCTGCTCTCGAGGCCAATGTCAAGCCCCGAACGATAGCAAATGACTGACTTGAAGCCCCGGACGTCTGGATCGTTGGCCAGTGTGCGGATTTGGTTTCTGAAGACAGTGTTGAAGCGGACCAGGAAGCTCTCAGTCTGGCTAATGTCCCAGTCGGCATCGAGGCCAACCCTCATGAAGCCCGCTGCGTGAGCGAGATGTTCAAGCAGCTCGGCTGCCACAGCTTCGATCCTCACGATCCTTGATACCGTGGGCACAAATTGTCTATGCCACTTGAAAGGATGTATGATCTCAGGGGACAGCCCGTCATCCATCATGATCGCGTGTGTTCCTTCAAAGCATTTCTTGATCAGGCCAGGATAGTCCCTGCGCACCCACTCGTATCGGGCAGCCTTGACGTCCTGCAGTGTTTCCGGGCACTGATAAAACTCGGCCAAGTGTTTGATTGCGCGCATGTGGGCAAGGCTGGTGTGGACATGATCCGTCAGAGCATGCCCTTGTGCTTCTGAAGTGATGCTCTCAAAAGGGTATTCTGCACTGCCATAGACATGTTCTTCGGTGAGCATGTTGTGGGCATGGTTGTCAATGACGGGGAACGATTGAACAATCTGTTGGAGGTCCTCGATGCCTGCATTTTCAAGGTCACGTATTCGGTGGAGGGTAGGATAGAGCTCTGGTTGAGGGGCCATGGCTGATAAGGTGGTGGTAGGTAAACAGAGTGATTTGGAGGCAGCACCAGTGGCCGATGGGCTCAAGATATGAGAAAGTCTGGACAGATTAGAACACTACTGGATCCCGAAGAGGCATGTAACTGACCTAGGGAAACACCAGTATAGGTAGGAGAGACTGTTCAACTGATAGGAAACCTGCCACAGGTGCTCAACTCCGATAGAGCCAGCCTGGTTAGACTTTCAATGGCAGCCGATATACGTGCGTGGTGCACGCGTGGCGCGTCTGCACTTTTGAGCTCAGGGCACTCTTGACTTCTCACGTCAGATATCACAAATGATTGTGCTCGCGTAATCAAGGAGAGCAGGACGACAGTGAGAAGCTTCTCAGCGACAATACGACTGAGGCAGAGTTGAGCTGGAATACACTCACTGAGAAATGCTTTGACCTTAGACCGTTTGGGGATCCTTGGAGCCTCGAGACCGCGCCTCCTTTTCCCCCTTCGACCACGTCCATCACTCGCCCACCAACCCACCCCACCACGAACCGACCGCCTAGAGACCCATCCTGAACCCCAAGCTGGCGACTCGGAGCTTTGCCGTAAGAAGGCTGCCGTCTCTCTCCTGCCTAAACGAGATGTTAACCTTGCAGATCAACTGTCAAGCGCCATTGGGGAGTTGACGGGGCCGGCCTCTGAGGCCTCCCCAAAGGGTCAGTGAGTGGAGGGCCTGAACCCCGAAGCAGCTCACTCACCACTCAAATCTCCTAGTCACAGTGATGAATCCATCCCTGACGGTTCGGTCCGCACATGGTGAGGGCACCCAAGTTTGCTACCCAGAGAACAGAAGGGGTGCCGAGACGCCTATTTGGCCCTATTGGAAACGAGATAATACTAACTGTGGGTTTTGCGCCAGTCGTATCACCTCCTTCATGACGTCCGTCGCTTTGTACCAGCAAACATGGCCTGTCAGTTCACACCTGCGTCTGTGGCACCGAGTATTTCACGGAAGATTCAGGACGACCTTACCATATCGGCGCGGGATGGGAAGCTATCAAGAGAACCACTCCAATGACCATGTCGGCCACTGCGAAGAGATCCCTCAGTAGCGCCAGCCGATCCATCAGTCCGCCAGCGTTGAGAAGGAAAGTTTCACACGTAACTGAAGACACACACGTGGCCTGCACATGGCCTGCACACCCAGACCACGTTCGAATTTTCAGTTGGAATGTCAATGGCGTCGGTCCATTACTGCAGAAACCCTTGTCTTTCGGCGGTGCGTGTCTGTCGCCGCTCCGATCGTTCTTGAAACGCCACCAGTGGCCTCAAGTGCTTTGTTTGCAAGAAGTCAAGGTCAGCTCCAGAGACGTCGCGACCCAAAGACAGCTGCAACAAGCTGCCAATCACGGTCACGCGGGCGGAGAACCTACGTACACGGCTCATTTTTCTCTTCCGAGAGATAAGTACAATGCTACCGGGTTTGGTGGCAGAGTTCACGGTGTTGCCTCTTTTCTGAGAGATGACTTCGCCCCAGGCGTTCGTGTCACCCGGCGGCCAGACTGGGACCTCGAAGGTCGGGTCTTGATACACGAACACGAGGTCGGTCTAGTCATCATCAACGGCTACTGGGTCAACGGGACACCTAATCCCTACCGAGATCCTACAACTGGTCAGATCTCCGGTACCCGACATGACCACAAGTTGCGTTTTCATCGGCACATGCTGGAAGTGGTTCTGGAGTACGAAGCAGCTGGCCGCCATGTCATTTTGATCGGAGACATGAACATTGCTAGGTCTCGAATTGACGGCCACCCTCATCTACGAACGTCCCCGCCGCAGCATGTCAAGAATCGGGCTGACTTCAATTCCAAGTTTTTCGACGAACCCAATGGCATGCGTGGAACCGATGTATTCAGGCATTTTCACGGTAACACCAAGAAGTTTACGTATCACCCGCGTGGAAGCGCGTGGGGTGCGAGCTGTGATCGAGTAGACTTGATCATCACCAGCCACGCCTTGGTGGACAAGCTGGATGCTGTCACCAACACTGATATTCTGGATTCTGCATCAGAACGTGGACATAGCGACCATGTCCCGCTCTGGATCTCTGTTGATCTAGCAAAACTCGTTGAGAAAACCCAAGTCGCTGTGGACGCTCCTTGAGGCTGAATCGTTGATCATGTCACTGACCGCCTTTGTGGCAACAAACAGTGCAAACCCCGCGATACGGAGAAAGGATAATCCGACACATTCCCCCTCCTCCCTTGCATGACCTCTCAGCCTTCCAACCTCCATCCAAACCCTCTCGGAGAGATTCTATTCACTCTTTGACCAAGATCCTTCCTCAAGTTGGATCTTGGCCATCAGATATACGAATCTCCCAAAAGCCTGCCGTCACCAAACATGTTGGCACTCAAGTCCATGAGGCCCCCCTTTTCAAGCCCAGACTCACGGCACGCGACCAAAGCAAAGGTCCAACTCCCGTCGGAGGTTTTAGATGCGATTGCTGAGCAGCTCTACGAGAGTGATTTTCGGCGATTGAGCTCACTTTTGCCTTTTTCTCTCGTTTCACACCAATTCCGACGGTCAGCGTTACCCTTCTTTTTCAGAACGGTGTCCCATATTGTCCGTGAGCACTTGAATGAACCGGAACATGGGCTTCTGCGTTACCTACTCAACAATTGCCATCTCCTTGGCAATGTTCGCACACTACACGTAAAACGGCCGTTAGGAATACCTCCATTTAGCCCATTCGAAAACCCCGTTGTTGTTGGCAGTTGCGATCATCATTACATGGATCTCGAGATGATCCGTGAGAGCCTGCCTCTCATGCATCGGCTCCGTCGCATCACGTATGTACTTTGGAGAGAGTTTTATTTGTCCAAAAACGAGCAAACGTGAATGCGGCGGCTTTCTTGCTTCGATTCGAACCTATGTAACTAATGTTGTCCAGGTTGGAATGCTCCGCAATTGCAGCATACCACGTGCTTCAAATGCTGCCGAGTGACCGCCAGTATGAAATTGTCATGGACCACCTCCGCACGTGTTGGCCATGGGCAGACTCGATTCAAGCAGTCACTGCTCTGCTTCCTCTTGCTGCACGCCACCAGGTTGCAATAGGGGCGTTTCGTTCACCTCCTTATGACAATTCTACACCTGATCAATCCATGTACGACGCACTTGCGAACGCCACGGCCGTAGAGGTACACCACCACTGGCTAACTCGTCGGCCTGATGCTACTGATTCGGAGAGGCGACATTTGAAAGAAGGTTCTTCGTGGACCGAATTGCGGCTGATGGTCTCGCTAGCCTTACGTTCCACACCGCGGCCCTCGATATGCGATTTGGATCCATCAATGATACCGTGGGCGAATCTTCGGCGACTTGCCATTGAATGGACCATTTACCCATCCATAAATGACTTCATCTATTCGTGTGCTCCTCGGCTCAGCCATCTTCAGGCCTTGCGCCTGGATGCATGTCGTATGTGGCACTATCACGAAGCATGTAGCTACGTATCAGATGGGGAGGAAGACTCCCTAGGAAGACTCGCAGAGCACCCTTTTGCGATCGATTTCACAAATATGCCAGAACTGCAAGAGCTGGAAATCAATGGAATATGTAACCACATCCCTATCACGGATCTTGTGGGCCCAAATCTACGCCGGCTCCGGCTGCATCGCGAGAATCCCAGGTTTTCGGTCTACGGCAAAGAGAGCCAGCGCAGCCACACTGACATCCTCGCGACGGCGAATCTCGCACCAAATCTTGAGTGGTTGGAGTTGGATATAGGCAACATCGAGAATTTGTGGCATCCCACCGCTATCCCTGGCGTGGATGTGGACGTCGAACAATATGCGTTTCTGAAAGCTCTCACTAAGTTTGGGCATTTGCGATTCCTCCGCCTATTCCCTCCATTCGCACCCATGACCTCTCAGCCTGCGGACCACTGGGTGCCACATGTTGTACCGGTCACGGATGACCAGGCTGTCCGCATCTTCGAGCAACTGCACCGAGAGCGCCCCTCCTTACAAATACTGTCCATCGCTGCAGCTCCATCCTTCAGTGACGTTGACACGATGCATTGGGAAGTCACGCAACAAGGAGATCAAACTGTCCTGACGACCGGCCACAGGAACCGACATTATAACCACTGTCAAACCTGGATTGGCCAGCGGAGGGTACGAAGCGAAATCAAACGCTTCAGCACGCCGCAGACATACCTGCCCGACTCTGGTGGCTGGATGCTCGAGCGAAATGATTTTCGTGTAAACCGTCCGTTTCCCTTTGCTGATGAGGTCTACAGATGATCCACGACTGCATCGCCACAGTCTGAGTCCTCTATCCCACACATAATGACATTTGCTTTCCAAACAGAATATTTCAGACCTTTCGGCTTGAGAGTCCCTTAAAAGTACCCACGAGGATCACGTTTTGGCCAGTGGAAGCTGGAATGAACATGTCCACTCTCGCTATTCTGCGGGCCATCCCACGCGACGTATACACTTTACGTCTCCATTGAGAACAGGCATTGGAATAGCAGCTCAGCTTCTTCTCCCAGACCAACGGAGTGCAAGATTGTGCCTTGTTCTAGCAATGTTCACGCACTTGCTTGCCAGACAAGTCAGAGATCTAGTTATTGGTTTTACTGGTGACATCAGATTTGCGCGGCCAACTAGCTGGCTACCCTGTCTCAGTCAGGGCAATTCGAAGACGTATGGCTTGCACACGGTGATTGTTCACTGATCCTCTACCCAAGGCCTTCTATGCAAGACTGACAGAAGGGATTCCTCAAATTGCGAGCAACAACAAAATCTATCAATCCCATGCCCCAGGCATTGCTCTGGATATTACCCCAGTAGCTATGCAACCCTCACAGAAACGGCCAGTGTGGTCAAGATGACCCTCATTATCTCGACTCTGTGCCCCTGACTCCTCGCTCCTCACCCACCAATCAGACAAGTCCATACCACATCTCTCGCACGCACGATCCAGGATCGTCTTATCAGGTGTGCTGCTTCCGCTCTCGGTAGCTTTCGTGCTATCAAGGCTGACGCGGCGTTGAAGGATGACTTTCCCAGCCTTTGAACGCGATGTAAAGAAAGCCGAAAGCTCTTTGAAGAAGGGAGATCTCGCAGGGGCAATATCTTGTGACGGCAGTGGCGTATGCATTTTGGTTGGACCGCATGATCCGGCAGGAGGGAGAAATGACTTGGCGGTCGAAGTCCTTCGGAAGGGATTTAGCGCTTTCGTGGTTGAGAAGCTGCGTCGGATACGACCCAAGGAGCCAGTTTGTAACGAATGGGGCTCATCTGATGGTGACGTGATTAAGTGCTGGGAAGGCGATGTGCTTGACCTTGTTGAGGCTGAGAATTGGAGCCCCTGACTCTTCGAGGAGTCTACAGACATATGGGTACCCGGACGAACCCATGAGGCAGTTACTGTCCCCATTTGCGGCATGGACGGCTGTTCCGCCAAGTCTAACGGAAGCTGGTGCGGAATGTTTGGACAAGAGGACCGTTCAGCAGCCTTGGGAGACTGCGGAGGTGTGGCGAATGGTGTGGAAGATGCTGTGGACTGCTTCTGCCGTGGAGTCTGGTGTTGCTGTGGGCCTGACTGATATGGAGGCATGAATTCTGCATGTCGTTTTGAAGACTGAAGGATCAACCATGGAGGACGCATTGTATGTTTTTGGTTTGCGGCCCCGAGTTTGTTGGCATCCGGATTCAAAGGATCCGTCAACGATAATCTGGAGGAAGCTCCGTCCAACAAACCCTTTGGATGTATGACTTTGCCTGGACGATTTCTCGGCGCTCTAACATGCTGCTCCAGCTTTGCAAGGGACTCTGGCAAGTCGACACACCGGGAGCAGACTGGCGGGTCCTCGACAATCATGCCATGTTTGTGCGGCTTGCAATTGCAATCAAGATAGGGAGGGGGGAGCAGAGGAGACTGGTTGACCGTCAGTAGATTCTGGCTATAGTGGTGAGCGTGTGTTCCAGCATTAAGCCAGCCATACTGCGCAAATGAGGCAAGAAAAGCAACTCCAATGCCACTAGCACCATCCAAAACTGACAGCGTCGGTCTCTCTGAACACTACCTCTCCGCAGCGCCAGCAGATGCTCATGTGGTATATCCATCGCCAACAGTCGGCGCACACAATGCGGCCATCCAGACCAAAAGTATGTGGCAACGATTTTTGCTCGATCCAGCAGACGGTGCAGAGGAAGGGATGGGACTCGAACGATGTGGGCTCAAAGTCTTTGCGCGGCTCGGGGTGCCTGGGTGGCGCGGGAAGTGGTGGGGGTGACGCGATGGCGAGGGCGCCGGAGATGGATCGAAAGGACGATAGCGATATGTCGGGACTCGATAGGGACCTCGAAGGAGCGAACGTGTTCTGCGGGTATGCCATGGAGTGGAAGACATGCGGTTGGAGTGAGAAGAGTAACTAACGAGTGGATGAACCGAAAGGAAGGAGAGACGAGGGTGAGGTGAAGTGAAATGAAATGTCCTTTTCATCTACCAAAGTGCGGAATCACAGGCGAAGTTGCTCTTTCCAATCTTCTAACTAGGCAAACCACCATAACAACCGAGAAAGACGGTCCCTCCCAGCCAAACACGATCGATTGAAAGACTCTCTCTACGAGGTATGTTTATGCCCTCCAGAAACCGCTCGCCAACCAAGCCGCATAAGAACTCATGCCAACAACAAAGCCGAGCGTGCCAAAGTATCCCACCGGTCTGCCCCAGCCCATCGAGTCGTTGGCTCTCAACCCGAACTCGACGTGCGCGATCCTGAAGAACAGCAGCACAGCCAACGAGCCGGTCAGGGCCCATTTGTTACCACCGTTCAACTCGACAAAGGTCGCTACGAGGAGAGCAATGGGGACATTCTCGACGAAGTTGGCGTGGCACCGGGCGCTGACGAGGAGGCTGTAGCTAGGGTCGGGGGTGGTTGTGGACGTATTCGAAGATTGACTCTTGTTGGTTGTCGTCGCGGTGGTGGTGTTGGCGGCGGCATCAGTGCCTATCATGGTGTTACACGACACCCGCACCAAGCTGACACGCAGGTTGAGGAGGGCGTAGTAGGCGGCGAATGCTAATGTTTCCCACCCAGTCAGCATGACCGCTCAAAGAATGGATGAAGAAGGGTCATCATACGTACCTGGAGCAAAGGTGGCTGTTACGGGGAGCATTTGAGGCACGAGATTTGCAGCGGCTATATCGGCCGGCCATGTCAGCTGAGATGGCAATTGAACAAGAGTCTTGGAATCTTACCAGACATGTCGAATCGAGTGCGATTGTCGTGGTGTTACGATGAGACTGATTCAAAGAGGATATTGCTTGGTGGAGGGTGGGGAGACGAGATCTGATGAATGCTTTGAGGGTGCTTCTACAACAACTCAGGATGAACAGAATCCAAATGCCCACGTATTTATATTCTTCGACCTCCAAGACATTGTGAGCAGCGCCATCCCATCCCTCGCATCGCGCATCACAGGGGCCTTGAAGAGCTCTGTACCTCTCTACATCGCTGAACCAATCCAACCATCGGTCCCCGTCGTGCCCGTGTAATATGCTAGCGCGAGGGGTTTTCTCTACAGGTTCCCGATCGGGTTCAAGCGCAGTTGCCGCATTGGGCATGTGTATTTCTCAGATAGAGTTACGAGACCCGAAAGGGCCCAAAAGCCCAGGAACCAAGCCCGGACCCAAGACCCTACCAAGCCCAAGCCAGACCAGATCCGCACTAATTTGATTTGGAACCGATTAATTATTTGGAAGAAAAGCTGAGTGAGGCTGGTGATGATGAGGTGTGAGGATACGAAACGAGGTTTTGCCGGAACTCTGTCCGTACGTGTGCGTACGTCCGTCCGTCGCTCGCGGATACGCTATACATACATACACGTCCCTCGTACATACATATATACACCTGCCATATATCGAGGCTTTGTGACTTCCGGATTCTGATTCACTCGCATTCACACCGCGCACGTTTGGGCTGGGCTGAGTTAGGCTGGGATGGGCTGAGTTGGGCTGAAGTCGTGTAACCCCAAATCTCACCTGCCGGTCCGTACATACGCACGCATATACGCAGGGAGTGAGAATATGTGTGTGTGAGGGGGGGAGAGGGAGGGAGGTCGGGGGTGTTGTTGCGTAGTAGACTCTTCGAGGAATTACACAAGTCAAAGAACCCGAATACAAGACTCATAGAGCAGATTGAACCGGTAGTCAGTATATACTCCAATACCAGTCCACTCCAACTTCTTAATTTTCCTCGGCCATGCGAGTTTTGAAGGTGGTCACTCAAGAGTTAGTTAGTTTAGCCATATATCGCCCGCGGGTCCAAATCACAATTATGAGCGAACAGTGAAACCATTGGTTTTTCTGGAGAATAACCCGATGTTTTTCAAATATAAAAAAAATACTATCTAATGCCCGAGGATGCTATTGCTACTATTGCTTTGTAAAACCCGCCGTGCCGCTATGCTTAAAAAAAAGGATTGACAACCCACCAACTCTTCCCGCTCATATTAGATACCCGAGGGGGAAACCCCCGTATCTCTTCTTTCCCTATGCCATGCCATGTCATGCTGTGCCATCACATCATCATCATCATCATCCCTTTGTCTCTTCTCGGGTTCCGCCCACTTGTCGTTCCGTGGGGAAAAAGGGGTGACGAGAAAAGGAAGGGCGATCCGCTTAGTACTTGATGTGGCAGCGGATCAGGCACTCCTCGACACCGAGGGCCAAGGGGGGAGGGATGTTGGCCTTGAACTGGGCAAAGTTGTTGGCGTCGATCTGCTTGGGGAAGCCGAGCGAGGCGTCGACAATGTCCGGGTTGGTGTTGATGATGTAGTTCTGGGCGATGGAGCTGGCACCGGGGTCCTCGGAGTTGAGGCCGGCGATGGCCACGGCCGGGTAGCAGTCGTTGTTCTGTTGCCAGTGGATCGAGCCCATGGGGAAGACGGTGCCCTGGAACTGGGTCAGTGACGTGGTGAACTCGGTCGCCAGGCCGTTCTCGAGCACGAAGCCCGTGGTGAAGTTGCTGTCGGTGGCCACGGTGAAGAACTCGCTGGCGTCAGGGTGGATGTGCGGGGTGTTGAGACCGCAGGGGTTGAAGAAGATGCCCGCGGCCGAGATGCCCAGGCCCGTCAGGACGGGGAAGTTGGCCCGGTTGGCCAAGTCGACCTGGCCACCCTTGCCGGGTGTGACACCGGGGTTGGCGGCCGGGTTGAAGTCGAACTTGAGCGCAATGTTGCCGTCCTGGATCTCGGACTGGATCTCCTTGAAGCGAGCCACGCGGGAGTCCTCGGTGAGGAGCTTGGCGATGGTGCCCTCGGTCGGGACTGGGTTGGGGCTGGCGGTCGGGTTGCCGTAGCTGGTGCTGTACGAGCCCTGGCCCCAGTTGCCACCGGCCGAGTACTTGTTGTCGGCGCTGGAGTAGCTAGACGCGCTGGAGTAGCTGCTGGAGTAGCTGGTTGGCGCAGCGCTGTAGTAGCTGGTGGTCATCGAGTAGTCTCCGCTGCTGGAGTAAGCAGCAGAGCTGGCTCCCATGGGAGTAGCGGTGGCGGCGGCCGCAAAAGCAGCAACGAGAAGCGACTTAGAATGCATTTTTTTTTTTTGGTTTGGGTTGACTGGATATTTGATTGGATCGGGGGTTTTGTTAAAAAGTGATTTGGATTAGAATGTAGTTGGTATTGATAGCTTTGTATGCTAAAGAATGTGTCTTCAACAGCAAGGAAAGAAGAAGTAGGAAATAAAGAGAAAAAAGGAAAAGACTTGATTGGGTTTGTTTGATTGTTTTTTGTTGTGAATGGGAGAAAAAAAATCCAGTCGAAGGTGAGAGGGTTGTTGGTCTTTTATGTGTCTTCGTTATCGTGTGTGTTGGGGTTGCGATGCGGAATCTGGCATCGACCATTCACACCCTTGCGTACCTGACGAGCAAGCAGCCTTCGGCAAGTCGTCCCTGCGGCCATTCCATCGCATCTAAGCTCTGCTTACTGTGGATATCAGACGAACGATTATTCCAAAGTAGGTATCTAAGTGGTGTACAGGGATTCGGGAAGCAAAAAGACAATATCCATTATCAGCAGGTCCGACAATGGCGGAGATAGACATGGGAGGGGGAAAAGGGCAGCCACAGACTGCGCATTATTCTCGGATAGGCTTCACCCATGATCCTTCGCCGCGCGCAAACTAAACAAGCCCTCATTCTACAGAAGGGTTTAGTGCTCACGCTTCCTGTGTGGTTGCCATGGCCCATGGGACGGGACCGCGGCCTTTGTCCAGGCACGGGGTACTGTACCAAACCCCTCACCCTGTTTGTAGGATAAGCCAGGTGCCAGATCAGGGAGAGCGTGACTAATGCAGGCTGGGAGGGAGGCTGGAGAGCAGGCGAGCACGCAAGGCGGAGGCGAAGGAACCACGAGGAAGGCGATGAAATGGATTGGCCTTGGAATATTCTATTTTCGTGAGAGGCCGTTGATAAGCATTTTGTCCTGCCTACCCCTAGCCGTAAAAGGAAAGGCTAGCGCCATGTGTATGTATAGTCATTGGCCACTTTGGGTAAGCGGAACGTTGTCGAGCCGACATTGGACGCCGTGGGGTAAAAGTGGGGTCACCGCTGACCGTGGATAGCGTCCCTCTCATCAGCGACTGCCACATGCCTAACTTGGACCATGTCCCAATATCATTCACCGTGACCGCTGTCGTTCTGATCAATTTCACTGCTTCCCTCAGGAGCCTGCTATCTCAGCTGTGGACTCATGCTGACCTGTGTCTGACCGACATTTCCAGACGAGCACAGCTCGACAGTACGAGTATGAATCCAACAATCTCTTTTTACCAACCGCTCGAGGTCCCTCTGCAAGCACTCGCGCACGTTGTCAGCCGCCTAACACCAGTTTAAACCACACCGACACCCGCCTGACCGCCTGATCGGGTCAGGCTCTCCGACTCGATAACCGCAAACGATCTTGGGATAATTGGAGTAGTTCCCCATCTAACACCTGCCTCCTATTCTAGTATCAAGATCGTACCGTCACGGTCGGTGAACCCGGCATACAATGCCCGTGATCAGGGTCAGGCTGCAGAAATTACCAGGCTGCAAAGTCATGTATTTGGAGTTCCGATATTGAACGCGGACGAGGCCCCTGACTGTCTAAAACTGGCCACACGCATCGCCCAATTTTCCCAGATGCAAGATACGTAGGTAGGTTTAATTGATGTTCGGGACAGATATACAGGGGGGGTTTCGGCCACGCCGCGAGAGTGAAAAATTTCAAGTTCCTGCCTGGTGCAGGGTAAGACTCTGCCGCTCCAAGTTGGGTGGTATGGTGGCTATTGATATCGACCACTGATCCAATGCCACCAGATATACTTTTGGGCACAGGGCAACCCTGTAAAAAAAACCATATCACCCCAACAATCAACATGCTGCCAGATTCAACCGGGCGGACTCTATTTTTGCAAGTTCTGCACGAAGGAATCGAGGTTGAATTCCTCTTCGTACTGTCTCTCGTCCCAGAGTTCGCCAACGTCGTCGAGCCACCCCTTTTCCCCTTTCTTCCGAACTTCACCTGTCTCAAGATCGACCATGTCTTCATCTTTGGTGCCTCCCGAGTCACCTGCATTATCCGCTGTTTCGCCAAGATTAAAGAGGTCCAGAATCTGATCAGTTTCCATGCTCCCTAAGCCTGCATTCTGTTGATTGACAACAGTGGATGCAACGTCAATCTTGAACCGTTGAAGGCTCAGGATCTTTTCCTCCAAGGTCCCGCGCGTTATCAGGCGATAGACGTTGACAACCTTCTTCTGGCCAATTCGGTGTGCACGATCCATGGCCTGGATGTCTTTCTGTGGGTTCCAGTCATGTTCGACAAAGATGACGGTGTCGGCACCAGTGAGGTTCAGTCCAAGACCACCCACACTAGTCGTCAGCAAAAGACAGTCATAACTGGGGTCGTTGTTGAACTGGTTGACAATATTTTGACGTTTGGTGGCTTCCACGCTCCCATCGAGTCGCAGGAACTGCACACTAGGAAGCAGCTTGCCCAGAACTTCCGTTTGTACCATATCAAGCATCTCTTTCATTTGGCAGAAGATCAGTGCCCGATGTTGCGATACATAATTCGAAGCTGACATGTCATTGGCATCATTGGTGACGCCGATGCCGCAATCAATCAGCAAGTCGCGCAAGGCACTCAGTTTGGGTGCATGGGCAATATCGCGCAGACTGGATTTGGATGCTGCAAGTTGTTTTTGGATCGCCTCGTATTGCTTGTTTCCCTCCTTGACGACAAGGGCAGGTGAGTTGCACAGTTTGCGCATGTACTGTAAGGCTTGGAAGATGTGCTGCTTGGCCTCCTTATCCGCGGATCCGATGCTGTTCTCCACTGTCTTGCGCTCCTTCTTGAAGAAGTCTTCGAATAGACGCTTCTGCAGATCACTGAGATCACAATAGTAGTTCTGCAGAATCTTGGGCGGTAGATCGTTGAGAACCTCCTCTTTCAAACGCCGCAACAAAAATGGCAAAACCTGCTTGTGAAGAGCTTCAATCGCCAATGCACCCGCCTCTTGTTCTTTGGAAGAAGACTTTGCATTCCGGCTAGCCGCAATCGGTTTCGCAAATCGATCCTGGAAGACCTTCTCTGTACCAAGGAAACCAGGCATAAGAAAGTCGAACAGCGACCAGAGCTCCAAGACGTTGTTCTGGATTGGCGTCCCCGAAAGAATCAGTCTGTGGTTGCTGACCAGCCTTTTCACGGCCTGGGTAATCTTGGCCTTTGGGTTTTTAATCAGATGACCTTCATCCAATACACAGTAATTCCAAGTGATGGGTGTGAGAATATCGTTGTCGTTTCGGCACACATCGTAGGAAGTTATGACCACGTCTGCCGTTTCGAGTAAAGGACGCCGGCTGATCCGGTCCGCTGGAGGTCCCACGTATGCAACACAGCTCAAAAATGGTGCGTATTGCTTGATCTCCTGCTGCCAATGGCCCGACAGCGTTGGTGGACAGACAATAAGGGATGGCAAACGCTTCATATCGGGTGCTTTGGTCTTGGCGTATTCCTCGGCCCGGATGTGATGATCGCTTGCCACGATACACAGAGTCTGGAGAGTCTTGCCGAGACCCATGTCGTCGCACAGGACGCCATGAAGGTTGTACTTGTTGAGAAAAGCCAGCCAGTTCACCCCGTCTTGCTGATACGGTCGCAATTCCGCTTTGATTGCCACAGGGATCTGGAAAGGCTCAACCTTTTTCGGATCGAGCATTTGCGCCATGAATTTGCGCTCTCGTTCACGTCCTTGGAGCAATGACTCCGGCATTCCTGGCGGGTCAGGGATGCCCGCTTCCAGAGGCACCAGCTTCACCAATGTTGCAAAGGATGTAGTCGCAAGGAGACGGATATCGTTGTTGGCATCACTCATCCGGCCGAGAACAGGGACAATCAAGAAAATTACATATGGCAGGATCCTGTCGCCCATAGCCTGGATGAGGTGATAGACGCATTCGGTTATCCCTTGTCTGTCCCTCAGATCCAGGGGGTTGCTGATGTTAGGCAAAACATCCTGCACAAGCCTCGTCATGCCCTCAACGGGGATGACACTGCATATCGTTGCGAAACATTTGGCGGCGCTATATCTTATGACAGAGAGCCTGCTTCTCATTGCTTTCCCAATGAGAGGGCTTAACGACAAAACCCACTTATGCAAACCGGCGTCCAGAGTAGGTGACATCGTTCGCAACGCTGACATGGAGTCAACTAATGACTGGCCTTGCTCTTCGTCGACTTGTAGAGTAGCCGGATCAGATGGCTCGATGAGCTCGTGGATCGGGCCCTCAATAAGAGTTCTCAGTACAGGGAGTTTTTCCAGGAGCTGAGCGCCGTATGATTGCGCCAACTCATCAAGAGCACGTTTGGCACCTCGCCGCATGACACGAGCCTCCCTGGCCTCTTGCTCAAATCGGGCGGCATCGGGATGGTCCTTCCTGTCTTCTTCTTTTCGTAGTGACAGAACAATGTCCTCAAAAGTGGCGTTGGGGCCGAATTCTGGGGTCTCTGATGTATCCACGCAGGTAAATTTGACCAAGTTGGAAACCAGCTTGTCCACAGGGCCACGTTTGGGACTGGTGGTGTAGTAATCAATAAGCCCAGCAACGGCCGATGCAGATCGAGCTTGTAAGTCGTCATACTCTTCTGATTTGATGCTGTCCATAATGCATTTTATCAATTGACCTGGTTTCTTTGGGATTTCCTTGAGTCGAACCAGGATCGACGCAACCGCTGCCTTTATCGCAATGTCTCGACCTTCTTTGATCTTTTTGGCTTCGTCGACGGCCGTCTTAGCGTTTGTACGGGCATCGTTCAGATATTGTGTTCCTGAAACGCGCTGTGCCGGCGTAAGGCCTTTTAGAAGTCGATCAAAGTCTGTTGTCACGATTCTTTCGGCATCCGCAAGTGAGAAGGCTTTTGGGCCAGCACCGATATCTCCTTGACAGACTACGGCTATCGCTGGTAACCTGTCTCGAGAGACATGCGCCTGATTCTGGAACGCGCTAATCAAGGATTGGCATTGGCCTCGAGCAGCCTGCAGCGAAGACACTATATCTGCATACCAGTTGTTGCCGTCGTCATCAAGAATATGTTGCAGTTGTGACACAATACCTGACGTATCCGATGGGGGCCGGGATTGGTGCTTTGCAAGCTCCTCCAGAATCATTGCTGCAAATAACCTTGAACTTGAATAAGGTGAAGTGATGAACGACATCAGGTGGCTCCAGTTCTTTTCAATTAGAGATGGATTTTGCTTGCTGAGAAGGAGACCTAGTGCCATTGAGCAGACAATTCTAGTCCTCAGCATGACATCTAGTCCGACAAGGTCCACTTCGCCATGCAACATGTGTCCATCGGTATTGTGAGAAAGGCGCTGATTTGTCTCGGGTTTCTCAACCTTTCGTCGTTTCTTGGGTTGCTGGTCAGATTCAGGAGTATTCCCATGCTTCACCGAAATAGGTGCCATTGCCTGACCCGACGGCTTGATAAGGAAAATTGTTTCCATTGGAATAGGGCTCCTTGCCTGACCGATAGGCTGAACAGCGACCCCGACCATTGGTGAGATGTGTGGCTCCAAGTCTGCTGCGAAGGCAGAAAACCCTCGGCATTCCATAAAGGAGATGAGGGCTTTCCACACCTCAAAGGACATCCAGAGCACTCCTTCGTTTCGCTCGAGTAGCATGTTTTGGAATATCAAGCGGACCACGCGGCCACCTACCCACTCCATGTTGCTCGTGTTTGAGAGGTTTAGGAATGTGATCAAAGCCTTCAATACCGCCAATCGAACGCTGGTGATTGTGTGTCGCAGGAAAGGATACAGGCGAGGAACAAGCTTCTCAAACGACTGTTCCGGGTCTTCAGCGGCGTTGGTGCGCATTGCGTCCAAGATTTCAGGATGCGAGCAGAGAGTTGCAAGAAGGTCCATAACAGCGCCAGTACTGGCACTCAGGTCGTCTTGCATATCCAGGAGACAGTCCCACACCACGCTGATAAGTTGACCTAAAGCACCTGGGCGCATAGTTGTCAATTCGCCAGCGATAGGTACTAAGGTTGCTGCGCTGACCGACTTGACATCGTCGTCAGGATGGGCAAGCCCGTGCATAACGGCTGCGACAACTCCGTCGAGGAGGTGACTGTGACGGAGGAGCAGATCTTTGCGGACGGCGACAAAATAGCGCAAACCAATCATGCCTCCATGACATACTTCCCAAATTGGTTGTTTCAGACCAACGTTCTGCTGATTGACCATTTCCTGCAAGCAATTGTAAACAGAAATGGCCAGGTCGTCCGGTAATTGTGTGAGCAAAGCACCAAGAGTCTGACCGATCGTTTCACGGATCGGGGCAACAACTGTATCCGAGACGTAGTCGCCGAAGCGATCCAGCATCAAAACACACAGCAAGCGGCACGCAAGGTCATCAAGCCAGCGGCGATTCGCAAGGTCATTCTCAGCTCTGGATTTGCCATATCGACGACCGGCACCGCGTCCGTGCACCCGGAGGACTTCTCGCAAACCCATGGCTGCGCCGTGTCGGATCTCCCAATTGGGGTCAAAAAGATCCACGGACAGGAAATCGCACATCACATCAAATGGCCAGTCGTGGGCGTGCTCTTCATCGGGTTGGATGAGCGGCTTTTCTGGGACAGCTTCACCCTTGAACTCGGACACGAGTGCGCTGGTGTCATCGGAACCTTCTCTCTTGATAGAGAAGTAATCCACTTTGGCATCTCCGTTGGAGTCTTCATGGCCGTTGAGCTTAACAGGATGTGGAGTCGCTGAAACCGGTGTCTGGCCAGGCTCTGCCTGACGTCGACCTGAAAGGTCAACGACGCGCATCTTGCTTACGCCAGCTTTTGCCGCTGATTTATTCTTCCTCTTTAACTGGTTCAGCTGTCGTTTACTTAAGCCAGACTCATCATGCAGGGACTGGCCATTGTTGTCGGACGGGGATACAGCACTGTACGGTGCAGCAGAACCGAAGCTGTCCAGGCGTTGCAGTCCGGATTTTGTATCTACTCGAGTTACGCCAGGGGTTGTAGCAGATTTCTGCTGGGAGCTGGCTGCAAAGTCGTACTCGTTGACCAAGTCATCCTCCATATATTCGCCGCCGAGACCAAGTCGACTGGTGAGGCTCTGCTTCTGATGCGCCAGACGTTGGGCAGGTGTCATACCTGCCATCGAGTATTCATACTCTTTGCCGGCACTGCCTAGAAGCTTTTTCCCATGAGTGAGAATCAATTTGATGTCAAGGGTGCTGAGCTGGAGAAGGTCGTCGTCCTCGGGGGTTTTCTCTTCAATCTTGGAGGCGACCTCCTCAACCTTGAGAGGCTCTTCTGACTTTGGGTCCGCATCGTCAGCATTGGGATCGAACTTTTCGGCATTGGAGACGATACCGCCTATAGCTTTGGCGGCAGCGGTGCGAGTGTCCCATGATTTAGATTGTAGGTAAGGAAGAACTCTGCCTAGAAGGGGAAAAAGGCTGTCGGAGTTCTGTTTCTGGACATCGGCGAGTTGTTGTGCGGCAGTATTTCGAATGAGCTGGGTGCTCCCCTTGTCCAGCAAGCTGTAATGCGAGTTAGTATTAGGGATGATAGCAATGGTGATGCTCGCCAGCAGGAAGCGGAGGCCGCAAATACTCACGTGACGAGACGATCCAGTCTGTACGAAACAAGTTAGTCCACGCTTGGCAGATGCTGATGGTGAGGGTTCCAACCTTGAAGTTCCGGTAGTGGCCATTATTATTATTATTGTTCGCCAGTGTTGTAGTGTGGTTTCGTCTTTTCAACCACTCGCCTGCCAGGTCGCAACCCGCAAGCCATCAAATGAACGACGTGACCGCCGAGAATGGAATCAAGTGACTTGATAAAGCCGACCAGATCCGCCAAGAAGAAATTAGTTCTCAAGAAAAAGATGATGAGTAGACAGACGCGTCGAGGGTGAATTATCACAGGCCGGACTGGTCACGGTGTCATGAGTTGTCGGAGTGGAAAAATGATGATGCTGGTGGTGATGCAGTGGTGCCGGGGGAGGGCACTGGCAGATCAGAGAGTTGGAATCGGGGGCGCAGCGTGGGCTTAAGAGGGTCTGGAATGGCATTTAAATCCTCGCTTGCTGCGCCTGCAGCCTGCATCAGCCCCTGGCCTCTGATTGCTCTTTCCGCATACCCTGGGTGCCCGCCTTGTGCAAGATTCGGCCACTTAGGCGGCACTAACACCCCATTTGCGCACCCAAGCTTTTCGCAAGCGCGTCTTGGCAATTTTATCACCCGTCAAAGGCCGTCCACTGCCAGCCTGTCCTCCCTCCAGCCAGGCACGCCAGATATAACCTCGTACTCCAGTCACTGTTGAGAAAGGGCCTGGGATGTGCTGGGCAGAAGTACAGCACTTCTAGGTGGCAACGTTCAGAGAGTCCCGGGAGAGGATGAGAGCTCTCATATGGCACTCATCGAATTCCCTTCGTAGTTTAATGCGGTGTTGTACCGGGCATGTCTCAACGACAGAAGCAGTATCTGCATGGTTTATGTTTTGGAGGCGTTTGAAATACCCCACTGTGGCAGTTCAGGAGCAATTCAACCATCGCTTTTGGGACAAATAATCTAAACAACCATGGAGCAGGCAAAGGGTATCGGATGCGCAAAGGACACCGCAGCCCTGGTCACCAAAGCCAAGCTCCAACAACCTGAACAATCCCCCGTTTATTGTCTTCAAACTTTGTGCGAATAGTTTGAGCACCGATGCGACGACATTCCGTGTATAACAAAGGATGTATGAGTTTTCTTTTGACCTAATGAATTTGACGCGCCGCCCGTCTGTTCAATGGAGGTCGCTTAATGGCTTGATGATATGTACAGCGGTGCAAACGGCATCCCGCGAGGTTCGATGATCACTCCAGTCCTTGCCAAACCCATCTGTTTTCAAGCATAGGTAGTCTGTGTCGTGCCCAGTAGCGACTTGGTCTCCTCCTCCTTGCCTATCAGACCCAGACTTCGTATTTGGCCCAGCTTGGGCGCATTCTCGCGAGGGTGTGCTGCTTCTGCTTTTCGGAGAGCTTTCTGTATCGCCACCGTTCTCGCATACTAGATCATATGATCAGTTTCCAAGCTTCCCTTTGTTCATATGGCCAGGACGATCTCTACCTCTTTCTTGTGATGTAGGCATTCGTAGTAGTCTTCTAATCGTGGGGCACAGACGCCTTTGGCTCTGGCTTCAGGGTCGTGTTGATTGATGACATAGCAAGACATGTACTCTTGCCAAAAAGGAAAGCATCGGGAGACACCTGTAGGTGAGAAAATCAGTCAGGATAAAGCTCCAGTTGATTGTGAGATCTCAAGCTTGCGGAGGTTGTGCACCGCGAGCGGGATGACTCGCCTCCATTTAAACCGTAGCCGGACGCCATCGTCAATAATGAAACTTATGAGGGACAGCAAACCCGCGAATCGCAAAGTCGAGTGGTGACAATGTTGTCGGCGCTGCGCTGTGTGGGTGTCGGGCAGCAGGTGAAGAGGGACAAGTCGAGGTTGGAGCAAAGCCAAGGTTCGGACTGGTCCGAATCTCCGACTCTGACGCAGTTGTTTGGTGGACACTTGCCGGTGCTTGCGAACTTTCCACGCTGTCTACACATAAACAACCCCTTCACGTTCTCTCAGCGAGGGCGCCTATCTGCAACATGCTCTCCGATCTTGCGGTATGAAGTCTCCGAATCGGCTAACGGACGCTCACGTCGTCCTTTCCGCCGTTCAGGCTACTTCTGACGGCGATCTGGACTCACTGCGCAACATCGTCCGCTGGCGGCCCGACATCTTTTCAACTACGTTCGTATATCGACTGCTACTATCTTTCTATCCTGCAGAAATTTCTGAACAATCTGCTCTGGTCAAACTTCTACATGACCTACGGAATCGATCCGATGATGCCAGAGAGTCCGAACCTCCGAGTATTGAGCCCTCCATAGCCAATCTCACCAACGACGATGCATTACGTCGATGCCACGCTTTGAGCTTGCGGCAGATTTCTGGAAATGAAACTATACGCACAGAAAGCGAGCTGGCTAATGTCGTTATTGAATGGGCAAAAAGATTGGAACAACTTCATGGATCTGCTCAGCCAGCTGGGGAATTTGTCCAACATTTCATCGACCAGGATGCTGATCTGCGACTGTGGTATGAAACATGTCTTGTCCCGGTAATTCGGCTGCAATATGAGTTCTACCCGGACAGTGAAGAGGTGATCGGCCTACAGGATATTGAGAAACTGTCGGATACCGAAGGTGTACGGACACTTCTTCAGTATGCGGTGAATACGCACAATCCTTCTGAGGTGGCAAGAGATCTCGACTGTGTGGTATCACCATGGGTTCGAGGGGCAAGTGAAGCAAAGAGGAGAAGAGTGGACTATTCTACTGAAGACACCCCGGTTCAGGAGGGACCGTGGGAATCTGTGTATGACTGGCTGATCTCCACAAGCATGACCGATTTTAGTGTTGCAGCAAAAGCCTACGCTGACTGGAAAGGCCCTATGGAGGACCATAAAACGACGAATGACTGTGTGGCACGGTTTGCTCAGACTGGCATGGCTATTATTTATGGATGCTCGGAGGCGTCACCAGAGGCCAAGAATGTCTGCAGACAGGTGCTTGTCAAGGTTGCAAAGCTTCTCGACTTAGGAATCACCGACCTCTTGCAGCCAGAACCAGATATATCACTACCTGAAGGTTTTACCAAAGACCTCGAAGAGACAGATTTGCTGATCAACGCTCTGCTAAAGAAATCAAACAAGTTCACACGAGTGAATGAGTCTTCCGTTCAGTTACTGACTGGGATTTTGGCCACGGCAGAGATATTGTCAGGTTTTGGTCTACCACGCACTACAAGGGACCTGGCACATGTTGCCATCTTCGGCTCAGACCGCCGTCACAAGGATGAACTTCGTCAATTGCTCCAACACGTTTCAATGCAGACTCGGCAAGAAATTGATTGGCGTTCTGTACGACAGCAGCTCCTTTGGCTCCAATCTTGGAGCAAAACTCGGCCAGTGAAGCCAGGACAGCAGCGGACAGCCTTTATCTCCCGCTTGCCCGTCAGCTATGTGGAAACTCAAATCCTCGACGCATTGCTGAAGGCTGCCCAATATGGTATCGTCAAAGAGGTGTACCTGGACAACCCGTTGCCGTCTCTTTCCGTATCCGAAGTCGAAGCCCGTGTTGTCGCCGCGATCCTCGAGGCCTATGATAATGCCAGCAACGGGAACAGAGATCGTGGCGGTATGAAGCGGGCAAGCGAGATTTTGAAAGCCTTCCGACCAAACTTCCCCCAGTCCCCTGGTCTTTCGGACATCGATCACTTGATCAAAGCCACTCACAGTCTGTCGTTCTACCAGCTCACCCTGCAGCATGGTGTTCCTTTCAAGCCCGTCTCCATTCGAGTGCAGAAAGATCCGCTAAACCTGGTAGAAAAGGTCTTGGAACAGGACGTGAGAGCATACACCAAGCTGGACGACCTGCTAGAGATAGGTCGTAATCTCATCCGTGCTCATCTGCCAAACCGAGGGAATGTGATAACAGAGGAATCGGAGCCTCTTCAGTCACGTCTCTTGGACGCTGAACACAGAATAACATACCAAGCGGTCATGGCAGCTCTGGGTGCGAATGATTTCGACACGGCATATGCATATATCACAACCCGGCTCAACACACCTGTGGAGCAGTCTGCGTCTTCTGGGTTTGTCGATGATGTCTCCTGGCGCGCAGCCTATGCGGCTGGCAAATATCGGCCCAGCACGTCGCCGAAGAGTTTGAATTCACGGATAGACAGTTTGACACAGAGGATGGAGCTCCTCTCACGAGCCTTGATGTTGGCACCTTCTGGGGAAGCTTTGTCGGGAATACTGGCTACTTGGCGCCGCTACGAAGAAGAGCTAGATGGGCTCAAGATGCAAGCTGTGGAGGAAGAGCGAGCTTTTGAAGCCAGAGCCGATGCCACTGTGCCTGGAGCATTTGGTCTCGACCATCGGGATGCAGATGTAGCGGAAACGAAGCGCGTCATGGCGCGTCGGTCCGGGCCGAATGGGGCAGGGCCTTCTTATGAGGAAGAAGCGCCGCTGGGTCTGTTCGATGTTGCCAGAGGAGCTGCATTGGCGCTACGGAAAAGTGCTGCTTTCCCACTGGGTTCCGGAGGGTTGGGAGATCTCAAGATACACTCAGACACAGCGAAACAACGCGATGCACAAAGGGAGCAAGCCGGCTCTCCAGTGTCGGACGATGGAGGAAGGGTACGAAAGAGAGATATGGTTGCGAATATGGTAACAAGTGGCCTGGTGAGTGGAATGGGCTGGGTTCTTGGTGCTCAACCCCGGGACAGGCCGGGTGGACAAGGGGAGTAAAGGCCAATATCGAGTGAGTGGAATGACTTGGTGGAATGTTCTTGATGTGTTCTTGATGCTCTCAGGCTCGACAATATCAGCGATTCGTTTCTGCCAACTTCATGTCAGGGTGTGAGAAGCGATCTCCTAGTGGGTCGCAGCCTCGTTACCTCCCACATGGACGACTTTGTTAGTGACACACAGTGAATAGAAGCAGGTCAATGGCTTCATGAGGAAAGAGTTCCGATCGTCAACTCTAGGAGTGCAGGTGCTTCAAGATGTGCCTCTGTTGTGCCTCGCTGTTCCTTCCGTCTTGGGTCGCTATCGCACAATTGTCGTGGTCGTCATTGTCATCGCCGTCGTCGCAAATTCACGCTGTCTGTCTGCTCATTCACGTCAACCATCACCCTCTCCAACCAATTCCATGCTCCCTCCACACTTCCGACCGATGTCTTTCGATCAGTTCCTCTAGTTGTCAGTCGTCTATTGTTGACCTCTGTCACAAATCATGGCTGTCATTCCTCGAAAAGTCCTGCGCCCTCGTGGTGACGATTCGGGTCGGACATTCTCCATCATTTTTGCCATCATCGCCTTTCTTGTTGTCCTTGGGTGTGTGATCTGGGGCATTATCCTCCCGAAATATCGAAAGAAACGGGGCACTCGTCTGGGTCGATATTCAGTGACGCGCCGTTATCCAGCTTTCAGCTCTCCTCCTCGATTTCCGAGCCATCCAGCCCTGCTGCGTGGGTTTCACAAACAACCTCCCATTCCTGTCCAACGATATGACCCGAGAGTTGAAAGTCCTTTCCCCAACAGTCCAGCACCCGTTCACACAGCCCATGGTACTGTCCAAGCAGACTCAGTCAAGCCAGCCGTCCATACCTATGAGCTTTTGACTCCACCTCAATGCTGGCCTTCAACAAGAAATCACATGCAAACCATGCCACAAAGCCACTTGCGAGCAGCAAGAGAAGGCGTAGGGGTTGACCCGCGGGACTTCACCACATTCGGAGGGAAGCATGATTACATCCTACCGGTTCCGGAACCTCTTGTCTTGAAACCAAGACCTGCAGGAAGACCACCTCCCCTGACGAGGCAACTGGACCGATTTCCTTTGCCTTTCAGCTCCAGCCGAAAAGGAGGACTTGTCCATCCTGCCAAACTTTTTCAAGAGTTGGAATTGAGAAACTCAGAGTCTACTACAGACACGTTCGGAACACCTTCTCCAGCACCTCAACATTCTGGTCATCCGACTGCAGTAGAAATGTTAGTGATGAGACCATCCGCAAACTGCCGGACCGCTCCTGGAAATATTCCGCGCGAGTTGCACAAACCTGAGGGATGCAGAGGACACGATGCGCAACATATTGGCCCGGTGTCAGTAACAAATCTCCAATCCAAGAAGTGTGACGCGACAGGAACACCAAAGGCGAAGTACCCGCGCAAGCAGGAGGGGTTGGAAAGGATGGGTACATTGACAAGACCAAAGACTCCTGTGTCGGAAATCAGAGATTGGTTCGATCGAGCAGCGAGCAATGCCAACAAGGAGAAAGATCCATCCAAGCCTTACACACCGTCCACCAATCCCTTCACAACGCCTGGACGTACATCGACGCCTCTGACTTCACCAACGCAGTCTGCGAAGAAGTCACAGGTTCTGGCAACACCGTCGCGGCCAAAAGGTTTTGCCCCTCGCATCAACGCGCCATCACACAGCCACCGGAGAACCCCCAGTTCTGTGATCCTCCCGTCCCCCGAAAAACTCCATGTGTTGCAGCAGGCGGCACCGAGCAAACACAAGGTAGCCAAAGGGTCTCCTGCGAAAGTTTTCAAACGGCGCTCAAATTCGGTACGTGCCAAAATCGTGTCATGGTCCCAGCTACGACCCACCAAGCGAATCTCGCGGCGTTACTCTGCTTCGTCGCTATCGACCATTTTCAAACCGATCTTGAACACGACGAGCAAGCACAGCCGGGGCACGTCTAGCATATATAGCCGTGACGTGAGAGAATTGAGTTTCACAGGAGGGCTAGATCGTCAAGGAGGAGACGTCGAGAACAACGGTCAACTTGTATCCGGGTTGCCGGCAGGGAAGGGCAGTCACTTGCCACACAAACCATCGGCATCTATTGACCATCTGAAGTCCAAGATTGACAACTGGGACCTTCACACAGGCGACCTGGATGTGTCCATGATGCCTCGATCAACCATCAAACGGTCGGTTTCGGATTCTGGGCTTCGTTGTTCGACTTCGCGCAATTGCGATGAACTTCACACAAGCGGGCAGGTCGCTGGCGAGATACCACATGAAGGTCCCCGCAAATCCATTCCGCTCATTCAGATTGGGCGATCCAGCGACGACGTCTTTGGGATCGAAGCAGATGGATTCCAACCTCACCAAGTGAGTAGATTGATGAACAAAATTGGACAATTCGAGGCAGCCCCAATCGTTCTTGGTGGCCTGGGCCACGGCACCGCGCCAGGAGGTGGAGAGTGGATTTGAAGAGAAACCTAATGAGGTAGTGGGTCTGTGCAAGCGACGGGCAAACAAGGACAAGGATACCACGATATGACCTGGTGTTAATGGCTGAACGAGAAAAAGATGAAAAATGTGCTCAATATGTGTCGCGCCAGAGCTGAGCCAAATGAGTGACAGCATACCGTGTGATAGGAGATGGGCATATCACGAAGAACTTCCCTGGAGGGATAGTATGGGAGATACGGAAATCCGCGTACCATCAATACCCGGTACCATCAATACCTGGATAGTAACTAGGTAGCCAATGAAGAAAAAGTTCTCTGCAGCATTGTTGGTCAAAGGCCTTGTAAGGCACAAGGCTGTGTTTCGTGGTGATCCTTCTCGTGCCCTTGGGATTCGTCGTTACTCAAAGGGCTGGGCGGTGGCGGTGGCTAAGGAGGCTGGGAGGCTGAAAAGAGCCAATAATGCCACCACACCACGTAACTTGGTGGTACGAGGCACCAAGCAAGCGATTGGGACCTGCATTGGCGAACGCCGCCGAGAGGCAATATCTACTACATCTGAAAATTTCAGGAAGTGTTGAAGTCGTCGTGGTGGGAGAATAGGTCCATGCGCGCGAGTGTGAGCAGCCCTGTACTTGTATCAGTATTCGAACCAGCCCTTCCTCAGAGGTGACGTATCCCACGCAGTCATCTGCTCAGTTATATGTACGGAAGTTGAGTCAGACTGGTGATATTACTCCTTGTCGGCCCCTGTTTTGTCAGGATGGTGGCCACGGCGGACCGAAAGTGTGGATTTTGTTCAACTGCTACCAACGCAACGGGCATCCACCGCGGTCCCACATCGTTGCAGACAAATGAAGAGCCTTTTTTTCCCCTGCGTTCGCACACAAAAACGACGAAGGATTTTCCTCAAGACTCCGAAGGCATGGCCAACGCTCTCCGTGTCAGGATATCGTGGATGTTGAAGATACGACCGCCCCATGCCACGCCACAAGCCTCGATGGGAAAAGCCACAACCTGCGATCGATCCAGGACAACAACCACGCGCATTTCCTCGGTGGGTATCAGGCCCAGTCTGAACAGCCTCTCATTGTTCCCGATTGTGCCCTACGGAGTAACTATGGGGTGGCCTCAGGCGCCTGATAGCATCATAGCCTGACCTCCTCTTCGATGGCGGTGGAGAGCGCTTGAACCTTTCTGAAACATCCCTGGCTGGCTATGCAACTGCGACACCACCAGTGATGATCCTCCATCTGGACTGGTCATTACATGTCGATGGACTACCTCGTACATTGTCGGGCCCCATGTCTCTCCACTGTCTCTGCACATCATAATATCTAGTAAGAAAGATTTTCGATTCCTTTCATCTGTTCATACAAACTCTGGCATTTTGACATTTCCCCCGCGTCTCTGTCCCTCTTTCCACTGCAGGTCGACCTGATATCCATTCGAAAACTTGTGTGAATCGTCTCTTTTGTTTTTTTTTTTTTCGTACTACTCAAGCTGGGAGGTTGTAGCACTGGGTGCATAATGGCTCTATCAAGGCTGGTATGTTTTGAGTTTCTGATGCGCTCGGACCATGGAGGAGGAACTCGAGTGCTGACAAGTCATCGCAGGTCCTTTTCACATCGCTCCTCGCCGCCTATACTTCGGCTGTCCCTCTGATAAAACGCGCCACCGACGTAGTTCAAGGGAAACTTGGGAGTGACGGGTTCTGGAATGACTACGACGGTACGCAGTGTTGACTGGAAGAGCAAGGAGAGAAGGCTAACGGGTGGGGGCTTGTCAAAATAGGTGGTCAGAACAGTTATACACTGTACACGGGCAACGGCTCGATAGCGTCAGGATGGCCGTCGAGTCTGTCGTGGATCTCGTTCAATGACATGTGGGTGGCCAACCAGAAGATCATATCTCGAAGTTGTAACAACCTCTACAAACAACCCAACAACTCGGACCGGGAAATCCAAGACCTCTACGACGCAATCAAACAGGTGTCCCAACAGACACGGGTGGACCACCGCTTTATTCTGGCCGCCGTGATGCAGGAGACGGGAGGTTGTGTGCGTGCTAAGACGACCGTGTCGCCCGACGGCACCGTGAGGAACCCAGGACTTTTGCAGTCCTTCAGGGGGACGCACTCCTGCAACGACGACGGCAAAGTGCAGAATCCATGCCCGAAGGATCAGATTCTGGGCATGATTCAGGATGGAGGTGAGATGCGAATCCCCAAGTCTCCCATTTTAGTCGTTGGTTGAGCAAATGTTTTGGCTAACACTTCTTTATTTGCAGTGGCTGGCACGGCTAGCGGCCACGGTTACGCAAGCGACATCAATGCCCAGGCTGACATTGCCGGTATCGACTACGCGGAGGCATACTATCGCGGAGCACGACTGTACAACTCTGGCATTATCGACGATTCGGGGGATCTGGGCAAGGGCCCAGCCACGCATTGCTACGCCAGCGACATCGCCAATCGGCTGACAGGCTGGACGGACGCCCCATCCACATGTACATTGGATTCCAGCAGTTAAACCTATTTTTGTGTCAACCAACCAGAGAGGAACGTGTGAAGAGCTATATGTCATTGAGCAGAAGCAAAGTCGCTGTTGTGAACAGGGTGCTTTTTCCGGCTTAGGGAAGGGCAAAGGGCGAAAAAGGGGTTATCAGGTACGTCGTCTCCGAAAGCCGACACAAAGTGAGTATCCTCGACGACGACAAGAAAATCTTTTTTGCGTGGCGTTTGATATGATGCTCAGGGCTGGCTGGCGCTCTGCTTTTTGGGGCGATGGAATGAACAACAGACTGTGTACGTACGTATGGAAAAGGTTCGTCGTACACCGGCGGCGGCCGTGGAGGCCATTTGTCCAACTGGCACAATGTGCTTCGGGAAGGAATCGGACTCGAATCCAGCGAGTGAGGCGAGGCCGCACATGAAATATAAGATTAATTTTTTTTACTGGACACGATTCTCTGTTGATGTTCATCACATGTTTTTACACCACCGCGACCGCGAAGAAGGGACTCTTCCAATCCAGTTCCCACTCAAGAACCAGAGTGGAGGGGAGGGTACGGTACATCATAACAATGGCATATCAACGTGAAACCACGAGGAGATGAGATACATTGTTCGGAAGATGAGGGAAGTCAAAAATTCACGTTTGTCACTTCACATGCACATACACAACCCACACACTGTCTCCCGGGGGTCGGGTCTCTTTGTTCTTGAAACACTCTCTGGATTCTGGTTTCTGATTTCCGGGAGACTTTAGAAACCACTTTCACTTACAGCCTTGATCCAGATCATCTGTCTCACTTGATCTCGCATCTTCCCTTTCTGCCCCTCTTTGTTTTGCTGACACGGATTCAATGGCGTCCGAGACAGGTCTCAAGGCTGAGACTGAGACTGAGACAGAGGTGGACGCGGTGGTCATGGGTCCTAGAGAGACAATCGCCGTCGGGCAACGTGTCAGCGAGGAAGGTCTCCAAAAGGATGGTGAGTATGGGAGTGGGAGTCAGTCGACGCGGCGAAGGGAAAAGGAGGGGACCTATCTAACTTGTGCCTTCGCAGGTTCTGTGTCAGGAAACCAGAATCTAAGCGTCGAGTCTGACGTCGACATCGACGCTGGCGCCACTGCCACAGCCAAGACAACCACAACCACTCCGGCCACCACCACTGCCGCCACCGCCGCCGCGACCGACCAAGAGAAACGCGATCTCATCGGGCACTACGCGGACCTCTTCTTCCACCACTTCCGCCGGCACCGCGACCCTTTGGAGCGAATGGACGTCGTCAATCACGAGATCTGGGGGCGCGCGAAGCTGGACCGGCGGTACCTGAGCATCTGCGCCCTGCACGCCGAGTACTTCCTCATGATGTCGCAGTACCTGCGGCACACGCCGGACGTGCTGGAGAGCGCGTGCCGCGAGCTGTCCAAGTTCCTCGACGTCCAGCAGTACTGGTGGCCGCTGTGCGTGAACCTACCGACATCATCGCAGGCCAGGAGGCTCGCGCTGGTCGATGCCGTGTTTGAGCGCGTCCGGGATCCAAATTTCGACGTCGCTGCGTTTCAGGCCGAGTATGCCGCGTCGCACTCGGAGGACTTTGACGAGGGCGTCGTCGATATCCTCCACGCGTGGCTCAATGTCGCCGCGGCGGCGGGGGGTGAGGCGAGGAATATCCACTGAAGGGCCAAGTGAAGTGGTTCGGCGGAGGTGAAGGCGGAAACGAGCCTGGAGAGAGCAGGACTCCATCACAAGAGGCGATTGCGTGCCTAGAAAGCGAACAGGGAAAGGTGGAGAGGGGAGAGAAAGGCAGAGTGGGCTTTTGCTTGTGATGATAGGCAGCAGCGTTCAAAGACAGAGAGTGTTCTAAGCATCCTTTTGCGCTGTCAGGTAGTCATTCCGTCGTGCTCGGCTCAATTACACAGAAAGGGGCAGGAAAGGAAAACATATGCTGGTCCTTGATCGAGTTTCATGGACGAGAGGGACGCAATACCAGCATAGGATGGACGGGGAAGGATGAAACACGCACGACCGAGGTCGCTCTGCTTGGAGTCGTCAGAAGTCAGAAGTAAGAAGTCAGAAGTCGTGTTTGGGCTGCGTGGCAATGGCTAAACCTGTGCATGGGATGGATGGACGGATGGATCTCTTACCAGAGGGAGAAAAGATACTTCTGCGAGCTGAGCTTACGGAACACATCTTCTTGGTCCCCCTCTCTCCTCCCTTTTCCCTGCATTTCTGCGTCGGTTGTCTTCTGTCCTATACACCTCCATAAATCTGAGGGCGGTGTTCTATAAGACGTCCCAAGCACTTCCAAATGGGCTGGGGTCCGAAGCGGGCGTCTTTGTATAGTTTCGGACATTATCAGAAACCGACTTCATTTGCTAGTGGATAGCCGCGTCCCAGTCCAAGTCGTTCCAATAACGAACGCACTGTTGAGGCTAGAGGCAACAATGTATTTCATCATGTCAAGATGGGCCAGCCATGCTCGAGCCGAGCCATGTCCTGGTTTGCGCACGTCGGCAGGACCTAGAGCCTCGAAAGCTGAAACGAGATCATTCGAGTTGTCGGGCTGTTCTGGGATAGTGATTTCTAGACCGGTTTGCGCTGCAGCGGCCAGCAACCCTCAAGTCTAAAAGCAGCGTGGCGGAAATGCCAGGTCGGTATGGGTCCTAGGCCTCGGCTCCACTTGAGCTCCAAAACGGCAGAGACGGAGATAAGCATTTCAATTGTCCCGCATTCGACGAACTTAGTAAACCGCTTCGCAGGCGGTCGCCCGATCAGAGTCAATACCTCATCACTATCCGCAGTCTGCGGCCTGGTCTCTTTCCCTTAACTCTTTGACTACCTTCACTTATCTCAATTAAGCCATGGCCAATTCCCCAGATTCCCGCGAAGGATTGAGTCCCTCGCCGTCCAACATCCTCGATATCTTTTCCGTTGACGATGACGATGATGACGGCGAAAGTTACCACCCCACCGAGGAACATAGTACCGACGCAGGTGGCACGCAGGATGAAGACAGCGACGCTGATTTCACTGGTACATACCAGCCATATTCTGAGAGATGTATGGCTTTTGACTGGCTACAGATGCCCAGGAGACTTTACACGGCATTGAAATAATCTACGAAGGCGGAGATGATGACGAGGAAGATGAAGATGAAGATGAGGGAAATCACACCGAAACTGAAAATGATGGTGGTGCTACGGGCTCGCGGACAGCCACCCGACCTTCCCCAGGTTGGTTTTAACTACCACCTGCCGGCCTGTTTCTTCCACTAAACTATTTGCAACAGTGACTGTTAATGACATCCGAGGCCTACTTAATGCCAGTGCGCCTCTTCGGCAACTTATTCTTAGTCGGTACCGCCTGTTAGGCCCGAACGGTCGAGACCTCTTCGCCGACGATGATGATGACGACGATGACGAGCCGTACGGATATGGCGGTTTCAGTCGCCGTCGGCGGGTTCAACGACAAAAGCCAAAGGGTGACCGCTTCCCCAAAATCCCGAGCGAAGCTGGAAAGGCGCTGATGAACTCGGGTGCTTATGGTTGTCGAGACACATACTTGGACATCCGACGCAAGAGACGACGTACAGTCAGTGAACGCCTACTATGGAGACGTCTGGGGTTAGAGGCACGATCCACCATGAGACGGCAGAACAATCTCATCGCCCAAGATCAAGTACCCAACTCCAACACTGCCGACAAGATCATCCACTATGACTCGCGAGCCTACTCGGGTCAGTTTTCCGACGACGGGAATTTCTTCTTTAGCTGCACACAGAACTTCAAGGTTCGGATGTACGATACATCCAACCCTTATGAGTGGAAATACTACAAGACAGTCGATTACCCCTTTGGACAATGGACGATCACAGATGCGACACTGAGCCCGGATAACAAGTGGCTGGCATATTCCTCGATCAGGCATACGGTGTGCCTCGCCCCGACCGACCCAACGGACCACTCGGACCATACTTTGTTGGATTTCACCAACTTTGCTCCTGGATCAGGAATGGGCCGACCGACCTACGGGTACATGGGCCGGCATGGTTTTGGTATCTGGTCCTTGCGTTTCAGTGGTGACGGAAGGGAGATTGTCGCCGGAACATCAGATCACTCGGTCGTGGTGTATGACTTGGAGCGTGGTCAGTCGACTGTTCGTCTTTCGAACCACGAAGACGATGTAAATGCGGTCTGTTTTGGTGACAAATCCTCACCCCACATCCTTTACTCGGGTAGTGACGACCAAACGTTGCGAGTTTGGGACAGACGATCAATGGCGGATGGCCGTCCCGCCGGCATTTTCGTCGGCCATACAGAGGGTCTCACGTACGTTGACTCAAAGGGCGACGGTCGCTACGTCCTCTCCAACGGCAAGGAACAGATGATGAAGCTTTGGGACCTTCGGAAAATGATTTCTCCAAACGAATTCTCCAAGATCGACATCCGTTCGTACACCACAAACTTTGACTATCGATTCTCTTCGTACGATGAAGACGACTACGTTCCCAATCCCAAAGATTGCAGTGTAGTAACATTCCGGGGCCACTCCGTCCTCAAGACACTGATCCGGTGTCACTTTTCGCCTCCAGGGTCTTCCAACTCTCGGTATGTGTACAGTGGCAGTGAGGATGGAAAGGTATACATCTGGAATATGGATGGTACCCAGAAGGCCACAATCGACGTCTATGCAGCAACGAGGCACACGAGACCGAGAAATGATGGAAGTGACGGCTTCGGCGGTGGAGGCTATGGGTACGAACTACACGGACATCACAACAGTGTGTGGAAGACATGCGTCAGGGATGCAAGCTGGAGTCCCACTGCGCCAGTTCTGGCTGGTAAGTTCAAATCTCCATGTACACAGCTTCTGCGGCTTTGCAGACTACTTTTCTGCCAATCGGGCTTGAAAGACATGTGCTAATATTATCGGTTAGCCACGTCTTGGAACGGCTGGGGTATGGCTACGGGCACAGTCTCCGTACATTCCTGGAACGACGGCGCCGAGGACGACGAGGCTCTTCCGGCCATGTCTTCGAACTACAACGCCCGCCTCGATCCCCGAGAGGACTTTGACAACGCCATGCGCCGCGCTAGAGGTGGAAACCGGGGCGACCCGACCAACAGCAGTCCCTCTACGACGCGGAGTCGCGCCGAGGGCAGAGGTCTGAGGAGCAACGTCGTCCGGCCTGCCAGGTTTGGTGACGACGAGGGCGGTGGAGGCAACATCTGGTGACAATCACTGGCGGATACGGCGAGGATGGTAGGGAGACGGCTGAGTCTGAGAAGCGGCCTGCGGCACCACGACGAGACGGAAGGCAACGGGAGGGGATAGAGATGTTTTGTCTCCTCGTTGTTCCATCGCGACCGTCGAGAGCTATCGCCGTGCCTGTGCTGCAAACCCAATCCATCCAAGCGGTATCCTGGGACTTTCCCAACAAGGCGTTGCGTCTGTATATGCCCTCGTCTATGTGTGTGAGCGTGAGTGTGAGTGTGGTTGTACATACGAGGGAGAAGAAACCCTTCCTTTGCTCTGAGCGAACGCTCTTGAAAAGCAAGCGCGACACGAAGCCGACCGAAAGGAGGAGATGGCCGAACCACTACTAGGTAGCGAAACAGCCAGCCAGGCCCCGACCCGTCTTTTCCACGGCCCCGAGTCACTCATTCCCATTCCCACTCCCGTCCCCATCGCCATGACCATTGCCATGAAACCCCTTTCGAGGTTTCGACGCTAAAAAAGAGCCCGCCATTTTATACACATACGCATACGCATGAACTGATGAAAACACATACCTTGGGGAACACTCCAAAAGCCACACACTCACTCAGACTAGACGAATAGATGAATTGAGATTCGGGGTGCCATTCTGGTTTTTGGTAGGGTCAGGACTAGGCCTAGGACTAGGACTTCAAGGTCAACGGTACATAAAAAAATACTCTAAAGTAAATAAATACTTCTCACAAGTATATGATGGATGTCACGAGAATACGATATAGTCTTGGATGTGCTGGGCTGGACTGGGCTGGGGTCAGCTAGGCTGGTTGATCTGGGTGGATGAAAGCTGGGCCTGGACCTGGACCTGGATCTGGATCTGGACAGTAGAGAGTGCATAGCATAGCCTAACATAGCATAGCGTATACACAGACACAGACATACAGACCACATACACACACACACACACACACACACACACACACACACTCTCTCTCTCTCTCTCTCTCTCTCTCTCTCTCTCTCTCTCTCCAGAACGTCGAGGAGATAGGCATCGGTGCTTGTCCAGAACAGACGGTCTTGTGTGCAGTATGACAGGCTCTCGAGATCGTCGAACTAGATTTTTCACAACGACATTATGAATTTGGAAGAAAGATGCATGCACTGCTCGTCGAGATCAATTCGATTCAGCTTTTTCCCCTGCGCACCCCCGTTTTTCCCCTGCTCGACGGTCCCCTATATCTCTTCTCCAGGAACCCCCGGGGGTGAATGAAATAGTAATACAAAAACGCTCAGGTAGGTAGGTGTTTGGTGTGGCAATGACGGTGCAGTCGTCATGCATTGGAAGATTCGAGGGGGGATGATTTATGCGACCATCCGAATTGTCTTGTTTTCTTGTCTCCCCTCCAGGTTCTGTCGTCGCTTGTGTATGTGAACTATCCCACTAATACGTTGTTGACGGGTATGTGTACTGCACGCAAGGAAAGCCCATGCGGGTTATGCTATTAGCATTTTGCCTCTTGTGTCTATGTCCGGAGCTTTTTGTTCTTCTGGTCCACGCCTCGAATCCGGCGAAGAGAGGAAAAGGGGGAGGTACGCACTCAGCTTGATGAAGTAACCGATCGCGCCCATGATCAGGAATCCCATGCCCACGGCCTGCGAGATTTTGATGAATTCCCTGCGGTCCGCTGTTTACCGTGAAACAAAAATAAGTCAGCACCTGCGGTATTGAGCGAGCGAGGTTGGGGCACTGCCGGTATAACACATGGAGGGCCAATGCGCAGCTTTGCGAAAGTTGCGGAGAACGCAGTAAATACAGAAATACGATTTTGCACTCTGCTCCTGCTCCTCATTGTATTCCCTCCGCCACTGCTACCATGTGTACTGCATTCGGGGTCCTTTCCAACAAGCAGCGCAAGAGGGAGAAACGTACGCTTTGTGCATCTGTTAATGAACTGTGTTCCGTCCTTGAAGAATTCCTTGGGCACGTCGGCAATCTCTTGCAGTATGTCAGACATCTTTTCTATCGAGTTTTTCTTTTCCCCGGAGGGCAATTGACGCGACCTCGTGGTGTAGAAGGTAGAAGGTGATAGAGGTGGCTCGATTTCGGGATGGGCGTTGTATCAGTCGGTCAATGCCGGAGACCACTTTTCGCGAGGGTAATTAAAATGCGGCTTGGGAAGAAAGGTGTTCAAAATTCGATGTTGTCCGTGATCACCAGAAAACAGGCAGGAAACTTGTGAGAATAAATTAATTGGTTGGATGGATGTTTTGTCTGAGAAAGTTGTATCAAGTCGCCATGTGCCGCAGAGCAATAGGTGGCTTCAGCGAATTGTTAACTGCGCCGCCCAGGATCAGGGGAGCGAGACAGGGTCGATTGCTTGGCGGGATTCTGGGATATTAAAGCGGCACGGCCATCATGCCCTCCTTGGGCCGTCACCACGAGGACAAATTTCCCGTTTGGTTAGATGGCTTCTACAATAGGAATGGCCCAAAGCTATCTTCCCCTGCGCAAGCATAGAACCAGATGCAATAGAACTATAGCCCTGATGAGACTGCTATCTCAAGTGGCAATACGGCTGGCAAACCGTGTGCTGTCAGCCCTTCCCCGAAAACTAATAGTACAGTAACTTTTCGCTCCGGTTTGCCTGACCCAATACCCAGCGGTCAATATAGACTGATTCGTCCGAGGCTTTTGCATTACCGAAAGGTTCCACAGCACAGCCAACTTTGCCTGATATCCCGTCAAAATCCCAGATGGTAACGGCCAGGCTGCTGGCAAATTGTACCATCAAGAGCAGGCTTCGTGGTTAGAAGCCAAATCCATTGCCGACTTCGAGATCTTCGGTCGCGGCTGACCGCTCCGTCATCTCCGTTCCTACACGGCCCAACCGACGCGAATATCGAGGCCCTCCTCGCCTGGACGAATCCATTGACGACATCGGTTGCCGGCCTGTTTGGACGTGAGCTGGTACCATGGTCGGTGGCTGCATGTTCTTATGCTGGACTCCGCTGAGGTTCGTACGGCGTCTCGCCCATGTCTGCTCAACGACCCGCTCTTTATAATCATCCAGACGGCCCGGAGCCCCGTAACCCAACGTGGGCAGCACGGCGCCAGAGTCTTGGTAGTGCGAGGGTGCGACTCGCCTGCGCCTCCGGATGAATCTATTGGTCCAGCTAGCGGGGCTGTTTTTCTCGACAATAACATCGGATTCAGTGTCTGGGTGAGATATGCGCCTCCTATCGTGCTTCCCTTTTCTCCGACGATGCTTCCGTGGCTCTCTCTTGAGCCACCAAGTTTTGATGTCCCCAACGACAAAGGCCACTCCAATCAACGGCACGCTGAGAGCCAGACCTATGCCGATGATATACTGGAGTACCCAGTTCAAGTGTAGTAATCCAGAACCAGTTCCGGCAGGGCGAGGAAACTCAATGATATCGATCGCAAAAAAGCTCGCGAGAAAGCTTAGTGGGAGGAAAACAATCGTAACAATGGTGAAGACCATGATGGTCTGTCCCTGTCTTGCCGCCTCTTCGGCCTGCTTTCGCTGAGCCCTCGCCTCAACAGCATTAGCGTGCTTCTGCTTGAGGTCCAGGACTTGGGTCAAATTGTCGTTGACACTTCTGGCTTGCCGGGCCATGCGATCGAGATCCTGAAGATCCAGATCAACCAGTCGTTGCTGCTCGCCAACTTTGTTGAAGAGGTCGAATTGATTAGACTCGGACACATTCTTGGAGGCACGGAGAGTCGCGTCCAGGTCACCTAGCACTTGCCTTTGCTGTCGAAGAACGCTCGTGAGGATTTCCAATTCGTCTTCAACGTCCTTACATTCCACCAGAAGAGACGCTTCTTTGTCTATGTTCAACAGATCATTCACGAAGGAGTCGGATGCCTGGCGGTGATCATGTAACGTATCCAGGCTGTCATTCGTAGTATCGCCGGCTTCTTGGTGCTCATCGGATGACCAGCCCGAGGAGTAGTCATTCTCGAGCATCCCCTGTTGAGACTCCCAGGGGATGTTGCCACTATCATAACCTCTGAGCCAGAGAGAAGACGCTTCTCGAAAGCACCGGAAGAGCTTGGTCTCTTTCCTCGTCAGCCGTCCAATGCTCAGTTGAAACATCTCAGCGAACAACAGATCATCGCTGTGCTGCATATCGTTACTGTCCGGTCGGTCGCCATTGTCCCAGTACTGTCGATCAAAAAGGCCTGTACATCGCTCTGTGATGACGGTGGCCAGTTCAAAGACATTCCTGACAGGAGGGCGGGTAGTGGAGTTGATATCCTCGACAACGCCCTCGAATAGATTTAGAGGATCCCGGTGTGGTTGGCGCCATCGCTCTGGAAAGCACGAAATGAGTAGATTGCCAAAGGTGATCAGCCACAACTGGTCGACCATGAAAATCTTAAGTTTTGTCCCTTTTTTCTTGCAGAATCGATACACAACCTGGTCAGCGTCTTGATGATCGGTCCGCGAGCTGTGATGCTTGAATTGATCTAGTGTCCGACGAGGATGAAGATCCGTCGAGTCTCCCATGTAGCCGTGGATAAGAAGTCTGTCCTTGACAACACTGGATAACTCCGAGTCGTCAAGAGCATGCGTGCTCTCCGCCGGCTCGCGTATGGTCTGGGTCAGTGATGCTCTGTTTTTGTCTGTCTCCCAATGAAGATATGGCATCAGCAAGACCATCACCTCTTCGTCTTGTCGGACAGGGAGTACCACCGACGGCTCTGCGGGTTTGCACGATGCTGGGTGTCCTGCTTCCGTCGCTCGTTTCGGAGGCACCCACAAACGCTTGCAAGTCGGTCGCATGAACCGTGAATGGACCTCAGCGCCTCGATGTTGTTGTCGTCCAAGTAGCTGAAGCAGAGTCTTCAACGCGGTCACATCTCTGCAATCTCCTTCTAAGTACCATTTTGTAAGCAGAGCCTCAAGCCACGAGAGGTTATTGGCTGGCAGATGGATCCAGCGAAACAGTGGCTTCTTCGCCCCCTTCGTATCCAAGTTGGTGGGGATAGCAAACTTTTCCGGGTCTCTATCGTCGCGAGCGTAGAGGATTTGCCAAACGGTATTCTTATTGACCTTGTTCTTGATACCACTGTGAGAATCCTTGTCTTCGAAGAAATTGACCACTGCGGCTCGGAAGCGCTCGCAAGCCTTTTTGGCGATGCGGTTTGCGGGGGCTTCCAGCACATACGGTCGAAGTTCCTTCACAATATCCCAATGGCCATTCTGCGCTGCACGGATGAGAGGGGTGCTGTCGAAGCTATCCTTACTGTTCTTGTGGGCGTTACGCTCCCTCAAGATGCGCTTGACGGCACTCAGCTTCCCGCTCTCTGCCGCCCAGTGGAGGGAGGTCATCCCGGACGACGTTCGAGCATTGACATTGGCATTGGAGGTTAGCAGGGCGTCAATAGCACTTTCGTTTCCTTCTTTTGCCGCCCAAAGTAGAGGAGTCCAATCACCGTCACCTCTCGCTTCGATCTTTGCCCCAGAAAAGACGAGGAGTTTGATCATTTCAGGCTCATCATGCCTAGCCGCCAGGTGGAGGGCCGAATGCCCCTGATCGTTGGTTTGGTTGACGTCGACCACACCGACGCCTATGCGCAGCAATGCTCCGACCAAGGCCAATTGGCCTTTTGCCGCTGCCCAAAGAAGAGGCGTCCGACCTTCTCGACCTTGGCTATCTCTTTTGTTGAGGTTTTTGATCTTGGACAGAAGCGTCGACAAGGCTTTGGCACTCCATGCGGTGTTTCGCTTCGACTCTGAGGCCATGATTTGCAATGTATTCTTGCCGGCATGGTCTTCGATATTTGGATCCGCTCCGCGCTCAAGCAGAGTAATCATGACATCGTTGTGCCCGCGTAGACAAGCGTAGACAAGCGGCGTTCTCCCATCCGCATCCTTGGCCTCGAGTTCGCATCCGTGATTAAGGAGCAGATTGATGATGGCATTCCTGGTTTTGTCATTGGTATTGGCAATAGCGCTGTGCAGCGGACCTCTGCTGCCACCCGCATCGAACCTGGCGCCAGCTTCTAGCAACAGCCTGACACCAGTCTCGTAGCCGATGCTGATAGCTTTGGCAAGGATCGTGTGCAGGTCATTTTCGTGTCCGATGCCACTGGAGACGCTATCATGCAGAAGTCTTTGTACCTCTGCATCTCGCTTTTGCGCGACAGCTTTGGTGAGCTTGATGCGCAATTCTTGGGTGTCCACTATCGGCGTAGCCATCCCGCTGGTAATAGATTGCACATTTCTGATGGCCACGAGTCTGACCGATCACCAGGTATCGCTGGCGAGAAAACAATCCAGGAAGAAGTCAGGCTGAGTGGCGTTTAGTGTTCTCAGCTGCCCAGCCTCACCAATCTCACTGACAAAGTTTACCTAGTAGGAAAAAAAAGAGATGAGGCGCCTGGGGGCCAGGAAGCCTGCAAGAAATGCGGGTGATTGACCTAACGAGGAGGCTAGTCATGGCCAATTCCCCCCGCAATCGAGATTCTTGCAGGGATTGTCCTTTGGTGGCCTGAATCCTGGATAAACTCTGGTGTGCATGAATGGTCAGACCTTCACAGACATCTGTGTAACCAACTTCGAGCTGAACGCGAGACTTGAAGATCAACGGTTGGATGCCCGTGGGCGAAGCGAGGGTGCGCAAAGTGGCTTTCCGTGCTTGCCCTAGCCGACTCCAATCAGGAGATTCCATCAAGCATCTTTGAAGCCTGTCACTGGCGAGGATAACTCAGTTGCGAGGGATGTGTTACCGAAGATGGTCCCAATGATATACGAGGTACTTGTGTGAATCCCCCTCCTTAAGACGCAATCGCAGGTACGAGGTTGCGACTCCATGCCTATGTCTGGCAATCGCCACGAGAGTGCTGAGTAGGTTGAGGCCGTTGAGATTGTGATATGTTTTCATTGTCGCCACTGTCTCTCAAATCGGCTTTCTTTTCTCTCCTGCACGGCGCGGATCGTCTCTTGCCGTCACGACCCGTGCGCAACTCCAATTCGCCTCATTTGAGCCGCCAGAGGTCCAGACATGGAACGAAGCGCTCCACGAATCTGGGTCGTAGCTCTCGGATATGTGGCCGGTGTCACTAATCTAGTCGCAGACTCGTCTGGTAGGGTCTGGCACTCCAGAAGAGGGGGTATGAGACTGCATCATTCGAGGATTTAAAGGTATGACAATGACTGCGGAAGTCCCATTCAAGACGTTGTACTCGGCACGCACAGCGTCTCATAAGAATGTGAAACCTTCACGGGCGCAGTCCACAATCCACAATCCACACTCTCCGAACTCGTCGACAACTCCCGTCTGCCTTTGTATTTCACTCGGTCTGTTGTTACGGTGCCTACTTTCTGCAGCCGCCAGACGGCTAGCCATCAATGACTTACCCTGACAACTTCGCATTCGACTCGATTCGACTTGACTTGACTTCGTGTCATGACGCCCCCATCCTCCGTCTGTTCTGCGAAGGCAAAATCTCGCACAAGGACTATATACGGCACGGTACTGGGGAAAGACGCAGAGCCTCCAAGAACGATTGGGGACAGACAGGTGACAGACCAGTCGACGCAACTGCTGGAGCGTCGGCAGTCTAACGGCCCGCCGCACTTGTATGCGGACGTGATGATTAACAGGGCCAGATCACCGCCGAGCATTCGACGGAGACAGTGATACGGGTGAAATACTTCATTATCATTATTATTTGCATCGACAGATTATGACAAAACATGTTCAGAGTAAGGTCGGGTTTCGGGTAAAAGTATACGACTCGTTTGGAAAAGTGGCAATTGTTGGTGAAGCCTTGGGTACCGGGATGGATGTGGGGCGACCAAGTTCCCCGGACTCACAATATGGCATATATTAACAAGTTGTCTTCAAGGTGTTTGTCTAGAAGGGGTCTGTAGATTCCGTTCCAGCAATACAATATAGGCCTACTTTACCTCGATCGAAGCCAGGACAGGAATATACCCATCAACTCCGATACTCGGGTGGACCAATTGCCAATATATCCTTCATCATGTCTAAAGTGAGTACTAGTTATTTCCTGGATCCAAGTCTAAACAGTGTTGCTTACACCCAGATAGCAGTTCAACCACAGCTTCAACCATGTGGGCGTTTCGGTACCCGATCTCGATGCAGCAATCAAGTGGTACACGACAAACCTGAACTTTCGTTTGCTGAAGGCGCCCCAAGAAATCAAGGAAACCGGAATCCCAGAGATTGACGAAATATTGTCCAAGAGTAAGGAGCTTTGGTCACCCTCCAACAGACCGGGAGACTTGATTGCGCTTGTCCCACTACTGACATGAGTGACAGTTTATGGCCATGATCTCAAACACGTCAAAGTTGCATGTCTGGCTACAGGGAATGGAATCGGCTTTGAACTCTTCGAGTTTGTTAGGCCCAAATATAGCGGACCAACGAGCCCGACGGAATTTGGCCCGGACAATTATGCTAAAGGTGGCTGCTTCCACATGGGAGTGACTGACCCAGACCCGGATGCTTTGTGCGAGCGACTGGCGCAGCAAGGAGGGAAGAAGGTCGGGGGCACCATGAATTTGCCAAATGGTGAATCAGTCTTGTACATGCAGGACCCCTGGGGAAATGTCCTTGAGCTGTGCAGCTGTAGTTTCGAATCAATGGTCTTGACCAATTGATAGGCACGAAATGAAATATATGCGATATGTTCTAGGAAGGGCGCCAAGGTGGGAATCGCATTGGGAGTGATGTTGTTCTTAGTGTGAGACCAGCCGAGTCCAGCCCAGGGGTATATATCGATCGCCTCGTGGATAAAGGCGTTTTCCAGTAGCTGGGGCTTGGACTAACCCTGCATACACTCACCTATGTGAGACCCCGGGCCCCATACTTTTCACCTCAACCACAAAAGAACCACACCACAAGAGTCCAAGTGCGACTAGCTCGACAGTAAATCGATTATGACATTGTATCAGCCGGCTGTTTTAGATTACACCACAATACGGAGGACAGGTGCAAATGATAGTGGTTCATTGGCCACGGGACGCATCCGGTATATGAGCCGCAGAGGGATATCAAGAAGGGGTCCGAGGAGTCGAAGGCAGGCCATTATTGGAAATCCAGACCTCGGTTTACCGCAAGCTCGGCATTGTCATCGGCTTGTTTGGAATCGTGGTCGCCGGTGGTGTCTATGCCATACTGATAGAACTGTACTGGATCGGGTCAAGATGGGGCATAACATCCTTTTGATGTATATGCATTACATATTGTACGGGCTGGGAGGTGCAGGCTCGGGAAGAGGTGATCCGAAGTGTTTGTGAATGCAAGGTGCGTGAGAGAGAAGGAAAGGTCAAGACAGACGGGGAAAGCCAAAAGTTGCACTTAATAGAGTATTGGTCCAACGTACAAGCACGTGCCAGGAGCGATTCGTCAACTTGCCATCCACCGTAATCTTGGCATGAGAACCATGAGTGTTGGCCACCAGAGACTTCGACTCATCCCTCTTCTACACTATATTATTGCTCTGCTGTGGCATGCTCGTGTCAAATTCTCAGCGATTGAAATGCTGCCTGAATCACTCACGAACCCTGCTTGAGCAAGATCTGCTATCCCTCGCGCAGCTTGTACTCCCTGTAAAGACGGTAGACGAGAGAGAGCTTCCGATATCCTCAAGTCACAAAAGTATTAAGCAAGAATACCGCACACCGTGGTGATGTTGATGATGCATAGGTTGAGTTTCATCATAGTCGTATATGTGTACGAGGTAGAGGACGCGGCGTTGGTCGCACAGCCGAAGGATATCTGTAGAGGTAGCGGCAGCTGACCACCTATAAACCAGTCAGATCCTCCTTTCTGTGTCCGTCGTCACCCTTTTTGACTCCTTGCCGATATCAGTGTAAGATTGTGGAAAAAGGCAACGCGATCTCTAGTGTAACACGACTCGTGTTACACGAGGAGATATACAATAGAGCGGCGTCACTTGTCCCCCATATCAACGCGCACAGAATACAAGCCGCTTTTAGTATGGCCAGGAGTGGATGAACTGCGCTGCCGCCTGAACCCTCAACTCTGTGTCTCCTGTTCAACGTCTCGTCTCTTCTCAATTCCCTCTGGCAGTCCTTCCATTTTACCCTTTTCACTGCTCAAGCTTTGAGTAAAGATCATATTTCTCCTCGTCACTGCCACGCGCGGCCTTCCTTTACACGGTGTTTCCTGCACGAGAGTTCTCACTTCCGAGCCACGCACCCAGTTTCCTTGCCTGGCGATCTCTTGCCGGTCTCCGGTCAACACGCTGTCTGACTTCACAAAGCGATCAGACTCGGTGCAGCACCGAGAAACAGGCGCCGGATTTATTTCCTTTCTCTTCCTTGCTGGACTTTCACATTGGAACAATTGTATCACAAGCTTCAGGAAGGCAGCTGGCCTGCTTCATGTATTATGACATTCAAAACTGCGCATTGATTTTGCAATGAAGATTCACACCGAATTGTACAAGAGTCTCGAGTTCTGTACGTACTACTTGTTGGGTGACTCATGTCCCTGAGGTTCAAAGTCGGAGCTTGTCTGGCGGTGCGGGATGACTTTGATGTTTGGCAACACGAGACATATTGAATCTCAGATCATGCATCCTCTGTTTGTGAACCCTCTTCATGTATCTCTGGCTAATACTGTATGTATCTCGCAGAAACCACCTGGTTCTTATATCCTGCCTGTTGATTTGCCCGTCTTGTGCATAGATCTGTGGCAGACAGAAAATCCGACTCTATTCTAACCTCCTCTCTACCTCTAAGCATCCTCCACCATGGCCTCTGCAGACGAAGACAATTTTGACATTGATATTTACGGCGATGGCGAGGTCGATATGGGTAACGATGGAACCATGGATTACAAGGCGGAGGACGAAGATATTCAGCTGCAGACGGAGGAAGATGTGCCCGTATTAGCGGAAGAGACACATGCGGACCCCGCAACTGAAGACAAACAGCCTATCTCAAGTCCAACTGCCTCTCTTGCCAAGGGAAAACCCGACGAGGTTGAAGCCGAACATTCCGATTCCATTGCCTCCAAACCCGTCCCACAGCAAGGTGTCAAACGTAAAGAGACCTCGGACGAGAGACCCATCGACCACGGAGCTACCAACGCGTTGATGATTTCAGACTTACATTGGTGGACGACCGAGGACGATATTCGTGGTTGGGCTAACGAAGCAGGGACTGAAGACGAACTGAAGGACCTGACTTTCAGTGAACACAAGGTCAATGGCAAGAGCAAAGGGTTAGTCAAATCATGCTGTGTTTTCTCATCGTTGCTAATAGCTCCCTACAGCCAATTGTATCTCGAGTTTTCTACGCCTCAAGCAGCGACTGCCATGAAGCACAAGATCGACTCACTGGCCGGCAGCCAGCCTGGCTCGCGTAAACACTCTGTCGTATACACTAATGCCACTCAGAATCCGTTCAAGACGCTCCCCAAAGATGCGCCTGCTCGAGTCAGGGAAGAGAGACCGGTTCGCGGGGGGTCATTCAGTTCTGGACCTCGTTCTGATACCAGTTACGGCATGAACAACCAAGGCTTTCGAGGTGGCCGGGGTGGCGGGTTCAACCGCGGTGGTTATAACATGCACAATCAGTACAACCGCAATTTCTCTGGTCCGATGGGTGGCTACAACAACAACAATAACCACCAAAACATGGGCTTTCAGAACAACATGGGGATGGGAGGTAATTACGGCGGCTTCAACAATAGGGGTGGGATGATGGGCAACCCCATGCGAGGCGCTATGGGTGGCATGCGCGGAGGCCGTGGGGGCATGAACACCATGATGCCCATGGGTGGTGGAATGGGGATGGCAAATATGGGCATGAATCCCATGATGGCTGGAATGGGAATGGGAGGTACGTTGGATGCTGATATTTGTGCCCTGGATCCCTCTTTACCAGAAGTTGACCATGTATTTCAGGCTTTCAAGGAAACCAGTTCAATCCAGGAATGTTCAACTCCACGCCAGGTCAGAATTTTGGTGGCGGCGATTGGAATCAACACGGAGCGAAACGTCAGCGACAGGAGTAGCAAGCATTGTAACAGGTCCAGAACCAGCAACAGACAGCGAGCATCCTCGTGCGACAGATGTTGGACTCAACTGTCGGAAACTTCCAGCACTTTTTCGACTTGTACACCACGCAGATTGGCCACGTATATCCGACTGATATGACTGCTACCGTACCCCCTTCGCCGTTGACACCGATTGGCAAAGACTGGAATGAGAGGAGCTGGCTGGGTCAGGGCCCACGCTGCAGGTCGCGAAAAACTCTCGAGAAAGCTCCGAAAGTGTCGAGGAGGCCACGGGAGCTAAGCGACAGCGAGCATGATGTAATTCTGCACCCCACGACGTTCACGTTAGGCACCTATCAGGTGATGATCGGCCCTGTTGCACGGAAGATGCACCAGGGTTGTTGTATTTCTACACTCGAAACTCCAATGGTGCGCGGAAATGGTCAGGCTTGGTGTGGCATGTGCTCATGGCCTTGGCTTGCCCTTCATACCGTAGAAATGGATTCAGGCTTTCATCAGGATGATCTTGAAGAAGCACCAATTCACCTACACACGTAGACCTTTTTTTCACAGTGCTTGTCTGGTGTCCGGGTCAGGCGGGGAAATAGCTTCCAATCCTGTGTGTGCCATTGGGAAGTCTGGAGCCTGGGTGTCCGGAAAACTCTTCCTGCTGGTTTCCCATTCACAAGTGTGGCGGTTTTTGCCGCCTCAGATCAACGGAGGCTCATCATTGTATTGAACTTCTATCCTTTTTTCTCGATTTCATTTCACACTGCGGTACAAATGCAGCGTTATGCGACTTGGACTGGATGCTTCGCCGTCGCCTTGATTCGCAATTGTGCCAGCCCAAGCGCATTTCCCCCGCTCACGCCATAGAACACCAAATCCCTCCCTGCGCCACTTGCCACCCGCTCGAGCCACATCCACGTCGTCGCGCACTGCTAGCCAGGTAATAATCTCATTTCGCTTCCAATGTCGGAGCAAAGACAGCAGCGTCGTGGTGAACCTCCCCGTGCTCCCACTTCCGGACACGGTCAAGCCTCCTCGAGATCTCAGTCGGTTTCTCAGACCCCGATCCAGGCTCCAATACGCTCAATCGAAACACCCACTTCCGACCTTTCCAATCGCCCTACGCCCACCTCACAGACACCTCGCTCCCCCGCGCCAAACCTCTTGTTTCGCGTTCCACAATCTCCTCTCACTGCGACGGGTGAATCGTCTCAGAGAGCTGGAAAAGTTGCTATTCCAAGGTTGAAGAGATCGATTGATCCATCTGAAGATCCGACTCGATCAGGGGGAAGGCACCGCGTCAATCATGCATGTGAACCCTGCCGCCATCGCAAGACCAAATGCAGCGGGGAGCGCCCAGCGTGCAAACATTGCCAGGACTTTAAGATTACATGCTTTTACGCCGATGGCAAAAGAGATAGGGCCAAAAAGTTGGTCGACATATTTGTTCGAGCGTGAAGATGCTAATTGGCGTCCAGGCAATTTGGAACCTTGACGGAGAAGGTGGCCGATTATGAAAAACTGCTCAGGGAACTGATATCGAAGGTTGATGAAGACGACGCAAGATTGATCCGAGCATCGCTGGAGAAGGTGAGTTCCTCTCAATGCAAACATAATCCCTGTTCCACGCTCACTCTGGACAGGAATCGAATTATGACGCCGAAGAAACCCTCACAGAAGGCACTGCTGATGTTGCCCTAACTGGTGATGTCGATGCAGAAGATGATGAGTCCGGCGCGGAATCAGAAGCTTCCGCAGGCGCTGGGTCCACGGGTGCACTAGATCGAACCGATGAGGATTTCACCCGTGAGCAGGCCCGGATGACGGGTTTCATGGGGAAGAACTCCGAGGTCACCTGGCTCCAGCGCTTGCGCGAGCAGAACAAGTATGGAGACGTTGAACAAGATCGGCAAGGTAATCAGAGGCAACAGGCGCTCGCTGCCATGTCCAGTGCCTCGCTGACTTCGAAACGTCCAGTCGGTGACACCCAAATCCCGCTTTCGGAAGCAGACGAAGGCTTCACTATCAAAGATTCCAGCTATCACATGGATGACACATCGATATTCATGTACGAGGCCGTTGATGCCTACGAGATGCCTACGCCCGACGTTGCTGACCATCTGTTCACTGCATACATGCAGCGAGTTCACTCGTCCTTTCCCGTGGTTGGAAGGTTGAATCTCACCACTCAGTTTCGAAGGTTCATTAGCGGGACCGTGCAAAGACCACCCGAGAAGTGGCTCGCGATCCTCAACTTGATCTTTGCAATCGGTGCAAAGTATTCGCATCTAATCAAAGCCGAATGGAAAGGCGACGAGAGGGATCATCTGATCTATTTTACCCGGGCTCGACTGTTAAGTATGAACTCTGAGACCATCTTCCATCATCCAGATTTGCAGCAGATCCAGGTTCTAGGCTTGATGTCTTTCTACCTGCTGTGCAACAGTCAAATCAACCGGTAAGTGTCGCCCAGTCCACCCTGAGGAAGAGCGTCAATTGATTGCAGAGCAGTGCATGGATGCTGAATGGAATTGCTATCCGAGGAGCTGGCGCCCTGGGACTGAACATGCGCAATGACAGCAATGGCCTGAAGGATTCACTCAAGGAAATCCGCTACCGGCTTTGGTGGGCTCTCTACGCCCTGGAACATCGTCTGTGCAATATGACGGGCAGGGTCAACTGTGTCATGGATGACCACTGTACTACACCTCTGCCAATACCCCTAGAAGAAGAACAATTCGAGACCGAGGAAGGCCAGAGACTTCTGAGCAAGGAGATACAACAGGGTGACCGGGCGCCATCCTCAAATTCCCAAACCCCGAGTTTCGGGTCAACCCCTTCAACCGACCGCTCTCGTTCGCAAACCAAGATCGACTCACGTTCGCCCTCGATGCCTGGAGCTCTCAGAGCTGGTGACTTGGAATGGGCGAAGGATGTTCAACCTAACTCTTCACTATATTTTCTCCACCTGGTACAGTTGACTCGCTTGACCCAGAACATCTTCCATAGTCTGTACAACCCGGCGGCGATCAAAGGAACGTGGTCAGAAGTTCAGGCCAAAGTGAAGGACCTCGACGAACGCCTTGAGCACTGGTATCGCAAACTGCCTCAGGCATTTGCTTTTCGACGGAATCAGCGCGAGCGCGGGTCTTACGAATTTCGCTTGAATTTGGGTTTCTTCTACTACAGCACCAAGATGACCATCCATCGACCCTGTCTCTGTCGACTTGACCGAAAGATCCCAGGGCAATCAAGCAAATCACTCGAATTCAACCGCAATTCTGCCGCCTCTTGCGTGGAGGCTGCAATGGATATGCTGCAGCTCATCCCTGACAAACCCAATGCCGTCGGGCTGATTCGAGTCGGCCCCTGGTGGAACATTGTACATTGGCTAGTCCAAGCCACGACAGTTCTGATGCTTGAGATCTCGTTCCGAGCCAACCACATGCCGGAAGAAGCAGAAGCTATACTGGAATCATGCAAGAAAGGCATCCGTTGGCTGCATGCACTAGCAGAAGACAATGTGTCGGCCAGGCGTGCCTGGACAATATGTTTCTCGCTGTTTGGGGAAGCAGTCAAAAAGATTGGGCGTGATGTTGACGATTTGCCGCCGGATCTTCCGGGCAGGCCTTCTCCTCCACGGCACGATGTTTCCATGGCAAATTACTCTGCGGTCAGCAATCCTCTGTCCCAGAACATGTATGTGTCGGCTCCAAGCGCGCCTTCTATCTACAACACAATGCCTGAGCTTCCAAGTGTGCAAGCATTTGCCGCGTTCGACCCAATGATGCGGTATGACCAATATTTCCCCCCGGATATGCTATTGAACGATCCCTCTTTACATTTCCCACAGCCCACCGACGCCGAGATCGAGTTTATGAGCAATGCGTACCATGAAGACCAGGGTCAACAGCACCAAGGTGGCCCGTCCGATCAAGGACCCAGGATGAATTGAGAGATCAAGCCGAGACAGGTTCCAGACTGCAGGAATGCAACGCGCACCGCGTCTCAGGGAGCTGAATGACAAAAGGGGCAGCCATCTACATACCAACCGCGATTGACTTGGCATTCCACCATTCGCGGTCTGGACATATTGTAATTGAATGCCCTGCCACTCGAACAATCTTTTCTGCCACCATTCTGGGACATAAAATCCCACTGTGAGTCCTATCTTCGCTGGCGAAGGTAACCCAATTTTCCCTTTTCCAGTGAGATTAGACTCGGTTTGCGCTCCAGATATGGAGGTTCTACTACTGCTGATGGCCCTGGCGGCGCCCATTTCTTCGATAAAACAACACGAGGGACGAGCCCATTTCCATCCTAAAGAGCCTCGACAACTACCCAACTCACCCGTTCAAGGTTTGGGAGTGCTGACAACCCCAGCCCCTGTCGCTACAACCCCATTTACCCAGTCGACTCTGCCTACAATCTCGTCCTATGTCTTTCCCACGACGGTGATTCAGGAACCGATCGCGACGGTGTGTCCCGACACGCCAGCTTCGTCAGCAATATTTCCAGTCGTGCCTATGTCTTTGCTAGGAGCCAACAAGACACAAGGCTCGATCACCAACAGCTCAAGTTACATGCCAGTCCGGGTGAATGCCACTGCTCTTCTTCCGAACGGAAGCACGACAGTCTTTTTATCTACCAGCAGGGCTCGCGTACCACCGACGACTTCAGCCACTCCACCTCCCACCGAGCCCGGTGGAGCGGACACAGCACGGATAGTTCTGGACAAGAATGGATGCCAGACATTGTACAGTGCAAAAACCACGACATGGTGCAGTACTACTGTGCAGCGGGCTGGAATGATACCTGTTCCCGTTACGGATTGCGGCCAACTCGTCACGTTCTCCAGTCAGAGACTGGACGCCTGCTCTACGATGGCTGGATCGAGTTTTTCAAGTCCTTCCCTTTCACCTGCGGAAGCCAATGAGCCCATGGCATTCTATGCTGCCCATTGGTATGACCTTATTCAGAATCCTGTTCCCAACGTAGTTCAAGTCCAAGATTGTCTCCCTCGATCAAGCGAGTGGGATTGCGTTACTTCGAGCGAAAGCTGGGATGTGGTGACGGTCACGAGCACCAGCACTGGGACCAGTGTGGCTTCATTCTCAGGGGTAAGTTGAAGCCAATCCGCCGTCTACATTCGCAACTGACGGAGGTTTAGCTCGCCGTGGTCACATCTGGAACGTACACAGGCACCACCACATTGTCCTTTGAATCGACTCTTACTACCACCACAGTGCTAACTTCATCTGCGATCAGTCGTCATCGGCTCGAAGGGGTCAGTGCAGCGACTACATCGGAGCAAACAGTGACTGTGCTGGTGACGATGCCAACTACGAGAACCTTGTTACTCGACTCGTTGACCAGAACCACAGTGACCATTCGGCAGACTTCAACGGTCGAGGTAACAGAGACGAGGACTCGAACCTTGGGTGGTGGTTCATCGGATTCCACAAGACTAGCAAATTAATGAGCAATGCGATACCCAAAATTCCAACATGAGCCAGCATTTTGTCAGACCCTTTTTTGCATGTTCCAATATTTGTTCGAGTATGGGCTTTGCCAATGCACTGACCCCTTCCCTATGTTTGCCCATTTATTTCTGCTCACGCCACACCAGCACGAAACATTCAAAAAGCGGTCAACGATACAGGAAGCGACGCGCTTTTAGCCATCAATCACGCTTGTTGGCTGGCTATGGAGTTTTGATCCTGTCTACTTCCCCACCGTGGCATACGCCTGTCCTCCCGCTTCCCTGTCAATCTCGATACACTCCTGCAGGCCGCACAAGTTGAACGACTCCTTGACGCCGCTGGCCGAACTTCTCGGGGTGGTCTTGCCCGTGGTCTGGAGGACCTTGAGCTCGTCGCGCACGCTCTCGAGGACGGGCCCAATGCACAGGCCGGGGTAGATGATGATGCGGAAGCCCATCTTGCTGGCCTCGTCGATGGTGAATTCCGGGGTGACGCCGCCGGGCACGACGTTGAGCAGGACCGGCGTGTCGCCCATGATCTGGCACACCTTCTCCATTTCTTCCTTCGTTTGGAGGGCTTCGAGGAACACGGCGTCCACGCCGATCCGCACCGCCTCTTGAAGTCGCTCGATCGCCTCGTCGAAGCCGTACGTCTGGCGCGAGTCCGTCCGCGCGATCAGCACGATGTCCGATTGGAGCTTGTCACGCGCCGCCACCGCCGCACGCAGGCGGGAGAAGTATATCTCCCTGTCCACGATCTGCTTGCCAAGGAGATGGCCACATCTCTTCTCTTGTACCTGTTTTCAATCCCGGTTTGGTTAGTCGGTTTGTTAGTCAAATGAATGTGTCCCGCACAGAGCAAAAAGAGTCAAAAAGTTCGGTTATGTCGGGGGCTTTTCTTTCCTCGTTGTCGGGGAATTCTGACTGACCTGATCTTCAATGTGCAGCGCCGCGACCCCGGCTCGAGCGTACTGCGTCACGGTCCTCGTGACCATGATTGGGCCGCCGTAGCCCGTGTCGGCGTCGGCGATGAGGGGCACGGAAGGGTTCAGCGACGCAATCATCTCGGCGTTGCTCCTCATGTCGTTGAGCGTCGCGATGCCCAGGTCGGCCCAGCCGAGTCGGGACATGGACGTGCCTGCTCCGGTCTAAGAGAGTGTGTGAGCGAGATAATGAGAGTGACAATAGATGAGATGGGTTGAGAGGAGACGAGAAGAGTGTGTGGTATCGTATTGTATCACGGTGATTGACACACACACACACACACACACACACAGGCATGGGATGTTTCTTTCCCTCTTCGCACCATCCCCCTATCTTGGTTGCAAGTGATATACGTACCATGTACATGGCATCATACCCGGCCGCCAGGGCCAACCGAGCCGTGAACCCGTCAAACACGCCGGGACACACGACGACCTTGGTCGGGTCCTTGAGCATTTCTCTCAGCCGCGTGGCGCCCGTGAGCGGCGAGCATGCCTTGGTCGTCTTGGTGTTGGTGCCGACTGAACCCATTCTTTGTGGTGTGGATTCGAGAGTCTTGAGCTGGAGTCGAGAGTCCAGAGACGAGAGTCTTGTCTCGAGGGTCGAAGATACAGACAGGGAGAGTTGGAAGAGGTACTCAAAGATTAGGATGTTATGATGATAGAGCCAGGATAATATTCCTTTCTCGACGTCAAATTCGCAATTCCGCGTCGGAAGACCACCAAATCAATAGCGGGACGCAAAATGCTTCCCCCCTCGATCTTAAGTATGTATGTATGTATGTATGTTAGGGGTGCAAGTAGCACGGTAGGTACCTAGTAGTTAGTTATCAAAGAAGGATACTTTTTGTACCTTCATCAATCCGATCCGAGGCATTTCCCGTTTCTTCTCCCACTCCTTCTTCTTACTTGTTAGTTATTAGTTATTACCCGTCCCCGTTCCCAATGAACCCAGTTGCCTAGTCATGTACAAGGCATGCAGTACCGTACCAGCGTTCGTACTCCAACCAAAAAAAGTGCGGAGGAGGGAGGAGGGGGAAAGCTTGATCGACTCCGATGTTTGGGCTTTAGTCCGATTTTCGCACCGAATTCCGGACTTGGAGAGGGAGAAGAGGAGCAGATATCGGCCTTGACCTTGGAAATTCGGCACGTTTCATTCGTTGGTTGAGGGTTTAAAGGCCGGGCGAGGACATGTGGGGAGTTCGGTCGGGGAGATGATGACCCCATTCATTCATCGATCATGAACTAGCAGCCATTCATGGATCATGAGCTGTGGATGATGTTCACGATCCTATAACCCCCTCCAAAGGCCGGCCGGCCGGCCGGCCGGCCGGTCGGTCGGTCGGTATGCAGCTGTGTCACTGTGGCTGCACCTTTTCGTGGGAGAGGGAAGAGGGGGGATGTTCTGCGTCAGATGTACGAGGTACGCGCGCGTATGTATTTATGAACCCTACTCGGTAGGTGGGTAGGTAGGTAGGTAGGTACATATGCATGCGTGTCAACGTTTGTGGACTTGATCCGGGGTCGGGACCTTGGACTCTGATCGTGGGATATTATATGCCCTCCTACCGGACCTACTAACCCAAGGACAGAGTATTGCTATCCGCCACGGTATATAGTACGGAACATAGCACACAGTACATGACCTTGGCTGGGATAGACCACGACTGCTCATCATCCTCATCTGTCCAGATCAAACACCCAAAGACTTTGCAAGAGAAGAAAAGAAAGAATATGGAGACGCTCACAGAAACACTACCACCCTCCCACAACACCCAGCGAGATGAATTCGAGAGCAGACTACGCGACCTCCTCTCCAGCACCAGGAAAGTCGACGTGACGACCCTCAATCTCTCACTCAACCCGGGAAGTTCACCCAAAAGCATTCCCCGCGTCTTACTTCGCTATGCCGACGCCCTCAGAGACGCGGGTCACAAGCCCGAAGCCGAAGCCCTGGATCTAGTGCGCGAAAAGGCCCTCGACAAAAAAGCCTTTGGTGGACTTGGTCTGCGCGACGAAGAAGAAGAAGACGGTACTGCCACGACTCCCGCGCAGCAGGCCGAGGCGCTCTTCCTGGTCGAGGCGTGGCTCGAGGCCGTCAACTCGCGCGAAAGGGCTACCGATTTTCTCTCGTACAGGACCGCCCCTGCAGAGGGGACGAGGCCGATGACTCTCGCTCAAAAGATCTTCGCGCAGCATGTCATTGGGGAGAAGCCCCCTAAAGGACTGGCGGCCGGCGATGTCGTCAGGGTTGGTATCGACTGGATCCTGGCGTCAGAATTGTCTTGGGGGGTATGGTTCTAACTCCTAACACCTATCTTGGAGAGAGGGTCTCCTATCCCGAATAGAACAAATGCTGACTCTGAGAAAAAACAGGGCATGGCACGGACGTGGAAGCGACTGGGCTCTCCATCAATCTGGCGCAACGACCGCTTCTGGCTGGCCGGCGACCACGTCGTCCACCCGGCGGTGGCGCAGGTGCCCAAGGTCAAGGCCATGGTCGAAGTGGCGGAAAAGGCCAAGAACGAGTTCAAGATGACCGAGTACCAAGGCATGAACTACACCATTATGCACACCGAGTTCGTCCGAGAACGCGTCGAGCCGGGCATGCTGGCCATCGGGTCCGACTCGCACACCTGCTCTGGCGGCGCCGTCGGCTGTCTGGCCATTGGACTCGGTACGGCCGATGTGATGATGACGCTGACCCTGGGGGAGACGTGGTTCAAGATCCCCGAGTCGATCCTCATCGAGTTTGTCGGCCAGCCGGCCTTTGGCATGTCGGGCAAGGATGTCATCCTCTACATCCTCGGCGAGCTCAAGCGCAACACCGTCGCCGCGGAGCGTATTGTCGAGTTCGCCGGCGACGGCCTCAAGTATCTCTCCGTCGACGCCCGGTTCGCCATCTCCAACATGTGCACCGAATTCGGCGCCATCACAGGCATCTTCGTGCCGGACAGTATCACGAGAGAATATATTGCGCGAAGACGGAGGAAAGCCAATCGTGTCAACTCACTCTACTTCCAACCAGACGCCGACGCAGAGTATGCAGGAAGATATACCATCGACCTGTCCAAGGTCGAGTCCTCGGTCGCCGTCTACCCGAACCCGGACGACGTGGTCCCCGTGTCGCAGATGGCTGGGAAGCCGCTCGACGGAATCTTCATCGGTGCCTGCACGACCACCGAGGAAGAGCTGGTCCTCGCGGCGCTGGTCCTCAAGGTCGGCCTGGACAGGAAACTGCCCTTGGCCAAGGGCAAGAGACATTATGTGCCGGGATCGTTGCCCATCGTCGAGAAGCTCAAGGCTCTGAAACTACTCGAGATATACGAGGCTGCGGGCTTCACTCGCGGTCCGCCCGGCTGTTCGTACTGTGTCGGACTCTCGGCCGAGCATGCTGATGAAGGGGAAACGTGGCTGAGCTCTCAGAATCGCAATTTCCAGAACCGTATGGGAAAGGGTGAGTTGCCTCCCCCTTGGCCTTTGATCCCTCCAAAAGTCGGAGGGTGTCTGCTGGTCTATACCGTGTATTTGCGTGAGGCTAACTTCTCGCTCGTTGGTTGCTGAATAGGCGCATTCGGCCATGTCACGTCGGCCATGGTCTGCGCAGCCTCGAGCTTCAGCATGTCCATCACCAGCCCCGCGGACTTTCTCAAGGATCTGGACACGGATTTCTTCAAACGATACCGTCCTCTCTCGGACGTCGATATGGTTCCTGTCGAATACGTCGAGCCAGACCTCGGCAGGTCATCAACTGCCGCAAAGACGAACAACACTATCACCGCGACGATAGATCCAGCTTCGAATGCGGAAGATGAGCCGCCGAGGAAACTGGACAAGATCTCCAGCAAGATCGTCACGCTAGGCGACTTTATCGACACAGACGCGGTAAGTCAGAAACAGCACCCTTCCCTTTAGCTCGCACAAGCCAATCAAGCAAGCAAGACAAGACAAGGCTGACGTTTTTCTCCCTCCATTGGCTTCATGTGTCGCGAACAGCTGGCTCCAGGACACACATTGACGTCGTGCGTGACTGATGAGGACTTTGGCGAACATGTCCTCGAGCACACGCACCCCGAGTTCCGGGCCAAAGTGCGTGGAGGCCAGCAGGTCGTGGTGGCCGGGCATGCGTTTGGGGTTGGGTCAAGTCGCGAGATGGCCGTGGGTGCATTGAAAGGTATTTTTCTCAAAGAAAATTCCCTTGCCTTGTTCCCTTCCTTCCCTTTCCAATTTCACCTTGTTTCTTTGGCTGCTTCTGTTTCACATATGAGGTATTTTTTGTCTAACGCGATTCGAGCAGGCGTTGGTGTCCAGGCGGTAATAGCCCGCTCGTTCGCCTTCATCTACGGCCGCAACCAGCCCAGCCTCGGCCTGCTGGGAGTGACCATGACGAACGAGGCCTTCTACGACGTCGCGCGGGAAGGCGAGGAGATCACGCTGGACATCCCCGCGCGGACCATCACGGTCGCCGGCCACTCGTTCCCTTTCACCTTGTCCGAGATGGAGTATAACCTGACCATCAACAACGGCGTGGCCGAGAGTTATCGCAAGTTTGGCAAGGGCATCTGGGAGCGCTTCACGGGCGCGGGGAAAGAGGAGGCCGAGATGTCCATAGTCAGGGCGGCGGTGCAGGGTAGTGGGGAGGAAAGTCGGATGGGGTATAAGAAATTGGACTGGTAGTATAGATAATGTATTGTCATTCTTTGCTTGCTTTCACCTCCCTCCTCTTTCCCATTTGTGTTCACTGGTTTGTTATCCAGGAAGAATTCAACTTTTGGTATGATCTCCCTCGTCGGATAGAACGGCTCTATCCGCATCTTTGATTCGCGCAGGTCCTTGGCCTTCGGGAAAGGGTGCGAACTTGTCAATCAGATAGTACATGTCGTCAAAAGCCCTGTACCATGAAAATTGTCATCAGTTTGCGACCATCTATATCGAAGGTAAAAAGTACAGATGAGCGCAGCACTCACGTTTGACGCACCGCCTGCCCCTGGCTCCTGTGATTCACCGAGTACAGTATATTATAGTAGATGCAATAAAGCCGGTTCCGATCGGCCCATTCTTCCGTGGGTTCGCTGGGCCCGTTGTAGCGGAAGTACGTCTGTGTATAGACCTTGTGGTGGATTTTGTTGTAGCTGCACCTCCAATTCCCAATCTCGAGCTCGTGGTGCGCATACATGGCCGCTGCGTCGAAGAGGTAGATATTCCCCGTCTCGCGTGATATCCCTGTGTTGCCTTCCCAAAGATCACCATGAATGAGAGAAGGTTTTACCACACGACCATCTTTGGTGAGGTTTCCCAGGAGACGTGGGACCACATGAGCAAGAAGCCGATCCTCGAGTACGCTGAGAGTGTCCCAGCTACCATTTTCTGCGTCATCTAGAGCAATGACATGGCGGAGCAGGCTGGCGAAGTAGAGATTCCAGTTACTCTCCCAGGCTACGGCCTGAGGGATCCGACCCTGGCATGTCGGGATGTCAAAGCCGAATTTCCCTGTCGGTGACACGCTGGTGTTATGTAGCCTGGCCAACTTGGCACAGAGCTGGTTAGGCTCGGGTAAGCCGTCAGACATGTCGAGGAACTCGACCAGGAGATAATACGTCTCGACCGGGAAAGTCTTCAACGTTCCCCAGGCGTATGGTTTTGGAACAAGCTCGGGCATGGTTTTGTATAGCTCTGACATTGAGTGAAATTCGCCTTCGATCATCACCCGGCCAGCTTCTCCGGCGGCACATTTTAGAAAGTAGGTCGCAGGCTCGTCGTCGGGCTGTTTCACCACCAGGCGCGCCAGGAGCGTCCATTTTGATAAGGGAATCTCTTGGGCAGATAGGAGCTCAGTATGTTGGGGGAAGCTGTTGATAAGCTCGTCGTACAGGGTATCTTCGCGTGCAGCAGCTGTAGGTTTAGTTAGGCTAAGGCCATTCTTGTATATGGCATCGCTCATCGTGGCCGAATGCTCGGATGGCAGTTAGTAGATCAGGACTTCGATTGCGCGCTTGAGTAAAAACATGCCAGGACTCTGGCTACAGGAATAGAGGCCCGACGAATGGCAAATGTGTACTTTCTTCAAATATGGCAGGGCAGAGAATAGTAGAGCAATGGGTGATCGATATTGAAAAAGGCTGTCTGCTCTGATTGGCACTTCCTCTGATTGACATTCTCTTTCCATCTCGACCTTTTTTTGTTGCCGACATTCCTTGCGTCGATTCGGCATTCTTCTCACTCACATTCCACCTACTTGACAACGGTCAACGGGGACGTGGCCTCTACGTATTGCATGGTCCAGGCAATGCTGGGTTTTCTGGCCCAGGATGCAAGCATGACAAGACACCCACATTTCGGGATGGACAGAGTCGATGGACGGTTGAATGAAGGGAAGTGCGTAGAACTGTTTGACCATGGCAGACTGATGGCAGATCTTGGGCGTCTCCAGCGTCATGGTGTCAACGCTTGCATTCTGCGAGTCTAACATGTCCTTGATCCTCTCGGTGCAGAGAACTCGAAAGCGTTGACGGCGCATAGCAAGCAAGAGTACGAGTTATGGTGGGTGGTCATTGTTGAGTTTTAATTCTGGCGGGATGTCCGAGTTTAGCCGCCGAGCGCAGGAAGATGAAACTGCGCCTCCTTTTCCACCACCTCTTCCAACCCATCCTTGCCCATCCAGCTGCCGCTCATCACCTCCGAGACAGTCTAATGCAAATCCCACTGTCGACTTCCAGGCTACCTAATATCTCCATCTTTCAGAAATATTACATCATGCTTAGGGCGCTTAAAACCATGCGTCGAAACATGCTACGCAGCGAAGCCGTGTCTTCTGGTACCCACCACTCACATACTTATCCACCCATCCTTCACATATCCTTTCGATGGATGCCATCGGCTGTTTCACAAATGTATACCGATACGTGATGGGTCTTTCCCAGTGGCGATGCTCAGCCCGATGATGGCCTGCACTCGATGCAGACGTGGTAGGTACATAGCCTTGAGGTCGCCTTCCAGGCCTCAGCTCGAAGTATGCCTTGTGCAAAATATTGAGCCGCCGCACACCTGCCGTCTCTCATACACTGCCACTTTTATCGAACGCTATCCTCACAATTCTAAGAATGACTGCGATCGACTTACGGCTGTTGAGACTTGAAGTAGACCAAGAAGTCTCCTCACTCCGCAAAGAGCAGCAACAGTTGGCTGGTGGCCCTCAATGGTATATGATCCTCCCTTAGCACTGAAAGCCGTGGCTAAGAGATTGAATTTTAGCTGGGAAAACTACGTGTCGGTTTCTCTCACCGACGCAAGCGATCAACCCAACATTCGGGACAGCCTTTAAGTGGCGCTGGAGACAATCGGGCTGTTGATTCTCCCTCAAACAATGCCCAGGGAGAGGGTTCTGGATCTGTTGCGAATATTCCTGCCAGATGTCCTCCAGGTAGAGCTTCGCTTGGGACAAATGATGCACCGGGACCCTCCATGACCGGAAATGGCGCCAATGTCCTTGGTCTCGATGTCATCCATGAGCCAAAGTCGAGACCCATTGCCGATATCATCTTTGTACATGGACTAGGTGGCCACAGTCACAAAACCTGGTCCAAGGACCGCAATATCAACTTTTTCTGGCCGGGCTTATGGCTTCCGAACGACCCGCAACTCAGCAAAGCCAGGCTGTTCACTTATGGTTATGATTCTCAATTGCTCGGACCTAAAAGTGTCGCGAATATCATGGGTTTCGCAAGGTCACTATTGTTCGACATGCGATATGGCAGGGGTAACCGAGTGAACAGTCTGAGAATCGGCGAGGCACCCATCGTGTTTGTTGCTCATTCCATGGGTGGCTTAGTCGTCAAGAAAGCATACCTGATGGCCCAGAATGATCAAAACTGTGCAAAGATTTCCCGATCAATCTTGGGCATCATCTTTCTGTCGACGCCCCATCGGGGTTCCAATCTGAGCCTGGTACTTAATCTGACATTGAGGGCCACCTTCCAACCTGAAAAATCCTTTGTCAAAGAACTGGAACGAAACTCATCAGCTATCGAGGACATCAACGACCAATTTCGTCACGTTGCCCCAAATCTCTCTATTGTTTCTTTTTACGAGGAACATGCCACACCCGTACTCGGGAAGCGTCTCATGATCGTACAGAGGGACTCCGCCATCTTGGGCTACATCAACGAGGATTCAAGGGGACTACCCGCTGATCACCACACAATTTGCAAATTCGATAGCGAAGAAGATTCGAAATATAGAATAGTGAGGGACACTTTGAAAGATCTCGTGGAGAAGTTGGAGAATGGCACCTTCCGAACACCTAATGTCGGATCTCTGGTCACCAGAAAAGATATTGGAAAGATTCTTGGCCTCTCCCGCACTCCTGCTGAGGATTTCAACTCTCTCCGAAAGCGCTGGGTGCCAGGAAGTTGCGAATGGTTCTTACAGGATTCTGGAACTCAGCTCTGGCTCACAAACCCCTCCGACTCTCATCTGATATGGTACAATGCACCACCAGCGTATGGAAAGTCAGTCCTCTCGAGCTATGTCATTCACTACCTCCAAGGACAAGGCCACCACTGTCAGTACTATTTCTTCAACTTTGGAGATCAAACGAGACGATCGATAAGCGGGATGTTGAGGTCACTGGCGCATCAAATCTCTTCGATTATACCCGAATACAGGGAGGAGATATTCACGACGTGTGCCGAAGACACTGGCTTCGACGAGAAGGATTACCGCTTCCTATGGCACAAATTGTTTGAGACTCTCCTGTTCTGCAAAACTTTCCCCCGCCCACTTTTCTGGGTTATTGATGGCCTAGACGAGTCAGAGTCGTCCCAGACGGTCGTTGAATTGTTGGCCGCAGCCCTTTCACAGGCACAAATTCAAATAAAGGTCTTGGTCACAAGTCGGCGGACAGAAGCACTCGCATGGGAGATCAATAAAGCCCAGCGCCTTCTCAGAGTCAACGTCATTGATGGGGATGGGCACAACCACAACGACGGCGACATCAAGCTTTTGCTTGACAGAGAACTTGAACATCTTCCTGGAAACACAGCTATTCGAGAGCGACTTCGGCAGGAGATTTTGAACCGGGCAAGCGGCAACTTTCTCTGGGTGAGTATCGTTCTCGACAATCTGTACAAATGCCAAACCGAAAGCGAGATTCGAGCCATGTTGGAACAAATACCCGAGAACATGACGAAAATGTACTCACAAATGCTGCTTTCGATTACCGAGAACGTCAATAAACGAAGAGTCAAATTGGCAAAAGAGTTGCTCCAGTGGGTGGTTTGTGCACCACAACCTTTAACTCTGGATCAATTAAGGGACGGCATCAGCAAAGAATATCCCGACATCTTAGACCTCAAGAAGACAGTTCGTGATGTCTGTGGCCACTTCATTTTCATCAGTAACACAAACCATGTCATGATGATACACCAAACTGCTCGCGACTTCCTGACGAATGATTTCAATGGGATCAGCGAACTGGATCGTCAAAGCGCCAGCAGTGCTGTCTTAATAAAAAGTCTCTCCAGCATCAGTAACCCTTCTACTCGCGCTTGGGCCATCGGCGCGAAGGGGAGCCTGTCAATCCGAGTGGAGCTCGAAGCTCAACATCCGTTCTCACTTTATGCTGCCAACTCGTGGTTCCACTACCTTGAATATGCCGGTTCTATTTCCGAGGAGGCACTTGAAGCACTGGACACATTTTTCAGCGGTCCCTATGTGCTTGATTGGATCTACATTCTCACTGTCTTGGACCAAGTCAGCGCGTTGGCTAGAGCCGGAAGCGCTCTGTTAACGTTTGTTAGCAGCAACCACGGGCGCAAGATTTCAATGGACCATCGGCTACCAACCTTTGAGCTCCTCGGGAACTGGGGGACAGACCTGATGAGGATAGCAGCAAAATTTAGCCGATATCTCACGGCGCAGCCGTATGCAATCTATGAGATAATTCCAGCTTTGTCTCCCTCGACTTCAATGATCAACCGCCAATTCCGGCAGTGCAAGGGTCCAAAGATCACGATATCCGGTCAAAATGAGTCGTGGACAGACGTATTCGGGCGATTTTCACTTTCTCAGGACGAGATAGCCTTGAAGATTGTGTCATCCGGGGCTCACCTCGCTGTGCTTACAAGAGGTGGCATTACACATGTATGGAGCTCCACTGATTTCAAAGGGATATGCACACTCCGCCATGATGAACCCGTGGTAGATATGTGTATGAACCACCGGGGTGACATGCTTGTAACCTACGGCCTAAGCACAACGATCGTCTGGGACGTCCCTGCAGGCACCGTGCGTCTTCGAGTGCCAAACATAGGAAACAGCAGAGCAATGTCGCTTACGTTTGCAATGAATGACCAGCGCGTCCTGGCCGCAGCAGATGACAGTGTGGTCAGGTTCTTGGATATTGCGGAGGATGGTGCGGCGTGGAAGGTCCTTGATGGGTCTGTACTCAAAGAGAATCCTCGAACCGACTTGATCATCATGAATAGTCCGAGTTGCGTGGTTTTCAATGCAAGTGGTACACAGATTGGAGTCTGCTATAGGTCATTCCCACTGACGGTCTGGGACTTGAACAGAGCTACGATCATTCGTCGGTGTTTGAGGCCAGTCGTTCACTCAGATCCTGCGTCAAACTCCTCACCAACTTGGTTCCCAGTGGAGTTCTTCAATTGGAATCCTGTCACTGGTCACATCATTGGCTGGTACAAGGGCAACAACCTTTTCAAATGGCACCCCATCACGGATGAGACTCACGAAGTCCCCGCTTGTGTCGATGGATTGGTTTGCAGTCCGAATGGGAAATCATTTGTGACGAGTAACAGTGACGGGATTGTCCAGCTCTGGGACTTTGCGTCTTTCACCGTGACATACCAACTTTCCTCGGGAGACTTGATCAGTGGTTTATGCTTCAGCCCGGATTCCGAGCGGTTTTATGACATCCGGGGATCGACCATCACTGCATGGGAGCCCGGTGGGTTGGCTCAGCTCTCAGGGCCAGGCGAGGCTTTCGGCGGCCCTGCCTGTGAGAAGCAAGGGACAGCAATGTGCAGCGTACGCCAAGTAAAAGTGCCACAATCCCCAAGTCTTATCGCCATCTCCTCAGCTCCAAATGGCCTACGGTATGTGACGGCCAATGATCATGGCGAGGTTCATCTGGCGGACGTGCGAGACACATTCAAGATTGAACTGACAAGTTTCCCCAATTTTGTCTGCGTTTCTCACCTGGTCTGGAGTCCAAGAGGCGGCATGATTGTTGTTGCCGACCTCACAGCCGATGTCCGCATAATGCAGATCGACAACAGTACCTCCAGCCAGCTCAAGCATACACATGTTCAACTCATCCAACGGCCAAAGTTGAACCTCGAAGGTGGCGCTATACATCAAATGCTAGTCGACTTTTCGTCAAAAATGCTTCTTGTTCTTACCGACAACCTTGCTCAATTGTGGAGTATCCATGACTGCCGCGTAAAGACTTCTGCTCCCATGATCGGGGCTGCTCAACATGGTTGGCTCAATCATCCTACCAACCATGACCTGTTCTTGGGAGTTGGGCCTGAGCATATCAGGGTATTTCAATGGTCCAGCTTACAGCAGATGTACCAGATCAAGCTCAGTAGTACCCTTTTTTCTCTGGTGAGGCAGCCGGCACATATTCCTCCAATGGACGAAACAAGCCATAATCTCACTGCGGATGATTCATCAAACTCAAGACAAGAACCAGCTATGAAGATCAGCAAGGCCATGTTCACACAGGACGGCAAGCATATTCTCATATATCTCAGAGAAAACATCACTGGAAGTAAGGCTCGGAAAAAACTACTTGTTTTACAGGTCAAGGCAATGGACGCAGCTACCAATCTGGGCAAGGAAGCGGTGCTCGAGTGCATGAAGGTTGGGAGCGATCTGTTGGATATCCTTGAAGTTCCTTTGGGAATATTACCGGGAGAGCAGCTAATCTTCTTCGATTGTGACTTTTGGCTATGCTCGGTCGACCTCACTCGACAAGCGGACATGGATGTTAGGCGTCACTACTTCATCCCAAGAGACTGGACGAGCATTGAAGGTCTAGCACAGAGCTTGGTCATGCCAGAAGGGACCTTGCTCTGTATCCAGGAAGGCAATGTTGTGACGATCAGGAGCAATCTGATTAGTATCGGGTTTTAAAGCCGTGGCCAGTGAGGCTCACAGCGGTCGTCCAGCATGAATGTAAGAAGCGACACATCTGTTGTTGCTCTGAGGTCTGACTCCTTGACAGAGGAACCGTGATCTCGTATTTATTGAGGTGCATTGTGTACAGAGACACTTCTCTTGTACCCCTTGGAATATTTCAGCACCCGCCAGGTTTTGTTAATGGAGGTGGATCATTGCATACCAACCCCCACACCAATCCCTTTCTCCCTTTATATCAACATATCTGTTACAGTAAGGGAGCCTCAATCTTGGTTCTCGAGCAGCGTGACTGCGACCTTGAAAAGACTCACAGTGCCTGTGGGATAACCATTGCGGATGTCTTCTCCTCCTCAGAGAGCAACCCGGTCTCTTCGAACTGGCTGACATGTCGCGACAGTCCTTGTTATCATCACATTTTCTAGACCAGGGAAACCATGGAACAAAGGAATGGCGAAGATGGCTCAAAGCCGGTCGTCGAGACAGCACCTGTCCCGTATACGGTATTTTGGCCTATTCAGAAACGGTTGCTCATTGCACTCCTTGGGTTTGGTACCATCACTTCCCCACTGACAGCTACGATATATTTTCCTCTTCTGCCTCTTCTACGAGAGCACTTTCACACCACGACACAGGCCATCAATCTCACCCTGACGATCTATATCATCTTCCAAGCAATCTCTCCGGCGGTATTCGGACCACTGTCGGACAACATGGGCCGGAGACCGGCATACCTATTCACCCTGTCGCTGTACATGGCGGCGAACCTGGGCTTAGCTCTCAACAGGAACCACTACGGGGTCTTGCTGGGATTGAGAGCAATCCAGAGCCTGGGGGCAAGTGCCGCTTACGCCATCAGCTTTGGTGTTGTTGCAGATGTCTGTGTGCCGAGTGAAAGGGGCAGGATGCTGGGACCAGTGAGCATGGCGTTGAACCTGGGGGCATGTATTGGCCCAGTGGTCGGTGGATGGGTCGCATATTCCAGCGGCAGCTTCGAATGGATCTTTTGGGTCCTGGTCATTGTGGGCGGGCTGCTCTTATTCTTTGTCGGAACCTTCTTACCGGAGACAGCTCGATCGCTTGTGGGCGATGGGGCACAGCGACCAAGCCTACCACTGTGGGAATGGACGTGGTTGCGTATGATTCAGCGACTTACTCCAATCGACCTGCTAAGGAGGAGCACGAAAAGAGGGCGTGAGTCTTTGCGAGGAAGGCCAGACGAGGACCCGGGATCGCCATCGTATCCAAAGTTGGTCTCGCGGCTACGGGTGAGCAACCCACTCACCTGCCTGCGGATCATTTTCCACCTCGACACTTTCTTCGTGCTCTGAATGCATGGGTCGTTCTACACGGTGGACTACTCGCTTGTTGCCGCCATCCCAGACATCTACAAACAATCTATCACTTCAATGAGCTCCAGATCGGGCTGACATACCTGCCGCGCGGCGTCGGAATCATCGTGGGCGGTTATTGCATTGGCAGGGTCATGGATTTCAACTACAAAGCCACGGCTAGGCAGATCAATTGGAGTATCGACAGTGTATCAGGTGACGACCTGGGGGAGTTTCCGATCGAACGGGCTCGCGTCCGCGGGAGCGGCTGGCTCCTGCTCGTTTCCACCGCCGGCCTTGTCGGATACGGCTGGGCTGTACACTATCACGTCCACGTGTCCGTCTTGCTGATCTTGCAGTTCATGCAGGGATTCTGGGGGACGTGTTTCTACACCGTCTACAACACGTTGCTGGTCGATGTATTTCCGCAAAGTCCGAGCACCGCCGCCGCCGCGGCGAGTATCACGAGATGTGCCATGGCGGCTGCAGGCGTTGCAGTGTTGCAACCTCTACTCGACGCCGCAGGGAGAGGCTGGTACTTTACCGTCCTGGGGTTATGGAGTGGCAGTTTTGGCGGGGTGGCGTTGTGGTGTATCAAGAAAAAAGGCAGGGGTTGGAGAAAGCGGCGTTTGGATAGAACCAGAGTGGCCGAGTCGTCTCCCGTTGTCGTGGGGGAAATATCAAACTAGACCTGAGTAGTAAAGTAAGTCATCCTGATCAGTATAATGGCAGGGTTCATAGGAGTGGATATCTGTCTACATGCCCAAGTATGCCTCATAATTCACTTGTTGCGAGGTATTCGGCAGTAACCTCCACCTCGGAGTATAAAATGCCGAATCGGACTTGTCGACCAAAATCGGCCTCGGCACATTATTCCTCCGCTCCGTAGACCCGCATCCTCGAACCTCCGCAATAATGTCACCAACACTGCTCCTCTCATCCACGCCCCTTAACGGCATCAAGGCCACCAACCAGCTCCTGTCTCGGACGCAGCATGGGCACGAGACTTGTTCGCCACTGATTTACCTCTCCGCCACTGTCAGGAAGGCCATACCTCGTACTCGCAGGCCAGGCCTCCCTAGTGAGTGAATTTGTATCTTCTCTTCGACGACCGGTACCGGGCCGTTTTCAGGAGAAGCAGCTGCATTCATGCATGTCCGTGGTATGTGGTGCGTGGTGCGTGGTGGATCTGACGTCGCACCACCATGGTTGTTCTCTTTGATGTGTAGGTACAGATTCAGGACCTCGGTCCGGGATCAAGGACAAGGGTGAGTGAATGAGTAAGAGAGCAAGGGAGTGTCGTCTGAAGAATCGGGATGTGGAAGACCGTGTTGGGAAGTATATATTCCTAGGGTTTATCGCTGTGGATCTTCTTTGTATGAGTGCAGTGATGGTCTAAGACTACGTCTACGTCGACCCCAGGTTCAAGTCCACTGTGAAATTCATTAGAAGACAACTCGACTACCCATACCTCGTCCATCGTTCATCATTGACATCGCACAGCCATAGGAGAGATACCCGAGGCACCATGTCTCCCCATTCAAAGGCGACGGCAGAACAGGACGAGACATCGCACGACCCTACCGCCGTGAGCAACCCGTCCAGCGTCACGGGCAGACTGTGCACTTGGATCCACGACATCACCATCGACTCGATCCCCGACGACGTGGTGCGGCGCGCAAAGTACCTGATCCTCGATGGCATCGCCTGCGGCCTGGTCGCCGCGCACCTCCCCTGGTCCGAGATCGCGGCGCGCGCCATCTTCAACATGGAGCCCGAGGGCCAGTGCACCGTCATCGGCTGGGGTGGCGTCAACAAAAAACTGTCCCCGCTCGCAGCGAGTATCTTGAACAGCACCTTCATCCAGGGCTTCGAGCTCGACGACTACCACTCCACGGCGCCGTTGCACTCGTGCTCCATTCTCGTCCCCGCGCTGTTCGCCGCCGTCGAGGCGGACACTTCGTACACCTTCTCGGGCCAGGACTACCTCAGGGCGTTTATCGTCGGCTGCGAAGTCGGGCCTCGAGTCGGACTGGCCCTCCATGGCGCTGACCTCCTCTCTCGTGGCTGGCACTCGGGTGCCGTACAAGGACCCTCGGCGTCTGCCGCGGCAGTGTCCTCCCTTCTGGGCTTGCCGCCTGGACATGTGGAGTCCGCGCTGGGGATAGCCTGCACACAAGCAGGAGGCCTGATGTCGGCGCAGTTCGGCTCCATGGCCAAACGCATGCAACACGGGTTCGCGTCGCGCAACGGGCTCTTTGCCGCCCTGCTCGCCAAGGAAGGGTACACGGGGATCCAGGAGGTTTACGAGACGCCGTACGGCGGGTTTTTGTCCATGTTCTCTGAAGGAGTGACCAAGTTCACGCTCAAGTCCCTCCCTGACGAGCTGGTCAGCGGGCTCGGCGAGAGGTGGGAACTGCAGGGGATCCGGATCAAGCTGCACGCGGCCATGGCAGCGCTGCACGGGACGATCGACTGCATCGAGAAGCTGCAGCGGGAGCACGAGTCGCTCTTCGCGGCCGACAACCTGGACAAGATCGAGGCCATTACGACGCAGCACTCGAAGCCGGCCTTTGAGCACGGCGGCTGGACCGCCCCGCCGGACAAGCCGCTGACCCCGACGGCCGCGCAGATGTCGATTCAGTACGCCGCCGCGGCGCAGCTGGTCGACCGCACGGTGCTGATGGCGCAGTTCGGCGCCGACCGGCTCAACCGCCCTCAGCTGCGCGCGCTCATGGCCAAAATCACCCCGACGCACAACCCAGAGTTTGATAGCGACCGGCGCAAGGGGTGGCGGACCGTGGTGACGGTGCGGTTTTCAAGCCAAGAAACGGTCGAGGCCACGGTCGAGGGCCCCAAGGGCATCATGCCCCCCGCGACCGACGAGGATATTGTGACAAAGTGGCGCATGCTGGTGCAGGACTTGCTCGACGAGGAGCGAAGGGAGCAGATCGAAAATTGCGTTTTGGGGTTGGACACGCTGGGCGACGTGAGAGAGTTGATTGCCTTGTTGGAGGGCGCGGTTGGGTGTCCTATCGTTGTCTGAAGCTGTTCTCTCTTTCCCTCTCTTGCTCTCCCACACACACTCACACACCGCCTTTGTCCGAGGAGCCACTCACTGGATGTTCCGCGGTTGGTGACAAGGCGGTGTATAGGATGGAGAAAGGGAAAATTGGAATTTCTTCGTTGCGAGACACATCAGTCAGTACTCAGTCAGACAAGGGCAGGCATGACAGGTCTTTGGCACAACATTCCTAAGGACATTCCCAGTCGCCAGTGTCGGCACCGCCTCGTCACTCTGAGCCCCTCGGCGGTGATACTGGTCGGGTATCGTCAAAGTCCACTCTACCCTTTAGTTCCTGTGATCCTAGGCTTGGAGAGCACACAAAGTCGTATTTCCCGATCATAGGTAGGTAGTCCCACACCATTGAGACCTGGACACTGGTTGGTACTGGAGTTCTTGGTACGTGTTCCCCAATCATTCCGATCACTCATCATCGATACTTCTTCGCATGAGCGTGTGCGGGTCACAGACTCACACATCGCCGTATAGCTTTGCTCGACCGATAGCTGCGCGTGGGCAGCCTAACCGCTCGCCTCTCCGCACCTGCACCAACTTCGACGGTCTCGACTCTGACAAGTTATTCCAAACCCTCGCCTCGCCTCAACCGTCAACAGTTTCTTCCAAATGGACATCTTAATTCAGCTGGCGAGCGTCGTCCCCAGAGAACCGATGCTCGAGAACCGATTCAAATGTGTCACACACGCACACAAGTACCGAGAGTCTGGACTTCGATTCGAATCGAATCGATTGTGGTACCTACACCACATCACATCAACTACCTAGGTAGCAATCGACGGGCGGGCGGACGGAAGGGCCACTCTTGTGTGCGCACACACAGAGTGATCGAGATCCGAGATCTATTCGCCATGCCGTTGTTTATAGATTGACGGACCTTTGGTCGTTGGACAGGACCAGATCGATCAAATTGGGTCGGATTGACGGTCCCATCACCGACACCTCACGTATCTGGGTACAAGGTATGGGGAGAGAGAGGTGAGGTGCCACCTCAGAGACGAGGATTTGTTTGACAAGCAAACAAGGGCAGGTCGTGCCGTCGCCGTTCGTCGTTTGTCGTTCGTCATCCGTCTTCGGCGCGAAGGTGACACAGCAGCGGCTCGCGGATTTTTCGAGAAGCAGACAGAGTGGTGAAGATGCTGAAACCGACCGACCCCAACTCGTCCTGTCAGGGCCAGGGAGGGGGAGGGGATCGCAGGGCAAGGAAATGGTCCCGTCCCGACGTTGAGAGTGACAGTGACACGGTGCCTCCCACCTCCCTCGCCATGGTCGAGTCGTTGTGTATCCTCAACCGCATCTTCGCCTCTTCCACACAAAAGGCAGTGTCCCGAGTGGACTCTTTACTTCGTGATGTCTGACATTTTCACCGCCCTCATCCTCGCTCCCGCCATCGCTGGGTGCGGATCCTCGAGTTGTCAAGTCAAGTCAGTCAATCAGGCATTACCCGCTGGATAACAGGTGGACGGTGCACATCTCGTGTGTTTTGAAAAAAAGTGCTGCTGGATTAGATAGATATATCGAACTCGACTCTTCACCTCGCCTCCGCCGCGCACATCCATCACTTACCATAACACCTCGTCATCGCCACTGCAAGTTCATGGTCCTAGGATCCTTTCCTTGCTGTCACGGTTCTTGTCGTGTGGTGTGTACACTTTTTGTCACGAACGACCTTGCATTTTGCCTCGACCATCAGGATCGTTGTCACCTCGAGCAGCGAACAATCGCCACTTACCAAACGCCAACAACATCTCAAACGAATACCAGTGATAAAGAATGGACGACCAGTATAAAAGCCGATCCGGGTCTGGCGCTGGATTCCATCTCTCGCCCTTCTCCTCCTCATACTCACACCCATACAACAACGCGTGTACCAAGCCCGTCAAGAAAGCCACGGGAAAGAGACAACCAAGCGAGAGTAAATATACGTCTACGACGCAGATCCTCGAGAAGAACAGGACGTCGAGCAGACATCCGACCACTCCAAATCCGCGCAAGCATTCCAAAATGCCAAAGTGTGCATACTGCGGGAACCAGTCCGACCACTACTCGTGCAATTGCGGGTCGGAATATGCCAGCACGTCGTCGGTCGATCAGAACCCCACGTCGTTGAACGACCCCAAGCCAGAGATGGGCGTCTCGGCCTCGGTCGCAGGGATGAGGTCGGGTTCTCCGTCGTATACGTCGACTCAATCCAAGCATTATGTCGGTAGTAAGGGCAGTGGGTCCTCGAGCAGTCGGGATCGGAGATGAGTCTTCCACGTTGCGGCTTCATATGCTTCTGTCAGATTTGTCAGCTGTGGTGGTTGTGGCCGAGTCAGATACATTCGGCGATGGAGAAACGGTCACAGGGACTTTTGTCAACACGACATAGCGTGGACTGGCGGAATGCACACACACAGGGGAGTAGAACCTGGCCAGAGCTAGCAGAGCTAGGAAGGTCCTGGCGTTAACGGATAGACTCTGGCAAATAGACAAACAGACAGACCAACAAAACTTGATAGGTTCCCAAGTCTTCTTCAATGATCCAGCTGTTGTCTTTTTCTTCGTCACCCACCAGCACAGCGTCTAGGGCATGAACAAGCCACGACCCTACGGCTCCATCATAGGGATTGGAAATGAAGTGGCATTCATGAATACTGCTAACCTTCCTCCCTTCCTGAAGTTGTATATACCTTTGTGTCTGGTTTCGCCACAGCGGGGAGGGTGATATCAACCATCGCATTGCAGACTACAGCACGGCATGCTTTTCCAATCTACCTGTTCCCTCCTCGAGTCCCACCGACGCTTTATCGTTGCACCCAGGAACCTCCCTCCTTTAGGAATATCACGTTCGGCGCACTCTTCACCTTGAGGATGCTCATTCCAAACTTGCCGAGCTTCGGACACCCGGCGGCAATCTTCTCGACATCGGCCAGGCTCGCCACGGCCAGACCAGATTTCCAGTCCTCCCCTTCCTCCTTGGCTTTGTCGGGCACTCCGACAATCTCGATCCCCTCCAACACCGAAGCCACTCCCTTATACTGCAGACCTTCGGCCAATTTGCTGGCCCAGCCTTCTTCGAGAAGAACGCTGACGGTGATGTCGACCAGACCAGGTTGCTCGCCTCCCGCACATGCATAGGCCACCTCACCCACCTCGACGGGACGGAGCGACCACATGGCCAAATTCAGGATCTTCAAGCTCTTCAACTGGCCTCCAAAGCTCAGACTCTCGAACCTCTTCCTCGCCGCGGTAGGTGCTCGTCCGTCGCTGGCAAACGGCAGAATCCCTTCGTTGACGGCCTTCTTCTCTTTCCCGGCTTCCCCTTCAGCCGCCTCAGCGTCTTCGGCGAGCTGATCCTGCCGTTCAGGGACAAAGTCAAAGCTGGCACCCACCAGGCCCTTGACAATAAGGTTGGGCAGTTCCTCTCCTTGCACTCGGGCTAGGAAGTCGCTGTCTTCGTGTCCACGAAACGTGTAGCTGACTTCGACAAGTTTCAATCCCTCACCAGCGCTCCCCTTGGCACGATCTTCGAGGATCGCACCCACACTCTTGAAAAACCCGGGTCGTGCGAATGAATCAATGATATGCAGTTCTTGCAGATTCGGCAGACACTCGAAAAACTTTTCTGCATCCTTTCGGGACGCCTCATCAAGACCGTCGATCAAGCAGCTGAAGAATGTGACACTCCGAACATTTGGCAAGGAGCGGGCAAGTCGAGTCAGAAAGGGTGGTGTGCCAGGGAAGCCCAACCCAAAGAGCTCAAAGGTAAGATGCGTGATGGATTTCGGCAGATCTGGCAGTGGTGCTTGAGTCACGATGGCGTCGCTATGGGTCTGCACCATGGTTTGGTACTCGTCGAGCTTGATGTCGGCGGTGAACGTGAGTTCTCTCAGACGAGAAGCATGCGGAGGGAAGTCTGGGAGCTGGAATTCCTTCAGGGGAATCTGTGCGGCCAGAGGGTATGACCCAGGATCTTGAAGCTGCGGAGGTGCCGCATCTGTCGAGGACGCACCGTTTGCGACTCCAGCCATTGCGGATTTTGACGTGGTGAGGTGCAATATCTCGACTTGGGGTTTGTGGTGTTCTTTTCTTCTATCTGCAGTCTTGCACCCGTCCGTCGCCGTACACCCGGAGAGTGCAAGAGTACTGATCAAACAAGCCTCCTACGTACGAAACCAAATATGGATCTCTGAATAAGCAAACTCTCGATCGCGGCCTCCCGATGTAGCCGTCAGATAGAGGGGGGGAAAGAGCAGAAAGACCAGATTTGACAGAGAGACGCAGGTTGATTGGGATATATCTCAGAAGATTATTTATTGTCGTTCTCATTTTTTCTTGTTCATCCCCCCTCGTCTCGCTTGACGATATGCCGTGCTTCGGCGGGATTCCACCAGCATCTTGCGGACGGCCGCATGATAGCTCTGCGTCTGCTGGATACGACACTGTTCGCTCGCCCACCATGCTTACTTTACCCCTCAAACCAAAAAAACCAGGGGAGGAGAACGAAAAGCTGTCCCGCAAATTGTGGTCCCCTGGCGTGGCTGGGCGGCGCGGGGAAGGCCTTGCAGGGATGATGAATGAAAGAGAGGACGAGGATCGGCCGGATACATCAGCAGTGGTGGCAGGGTAGCAAGGTAGCAGGAAAACAAGCAAGTCTCAGTGGTCCAGTGGACCAGGCGGCCAGGCAGGCATTTTGTCGCAGAACCGAGAACGGTTCGGAGGAATGGCAAGCAAGAGTGATTGAAAATTGGTGACGAGTCTCCATTGGATTCAGTAATACCGAAAATAAGTGAATGTTGATGGAGAGTACTTATCGTCTGACAAAAACAATTTTCTGGCATTCCAGGTGCAGTTCGCACAAGGTTTGATCTACATGCGTACGAGGTCGTTACCTACTGTCTACATCGAAACATTTGTACAGCAAAAGCATTGGGCGGCATTGGTCAAAATCACTGTATTGATTTCATCTCATGGGCAGCTATTTACTCGTGACATTACGTATCCGCCTAGCATTTGCGGTACATCAAGGGGATCGGCGTCAGAACAAGGCGTAACTCATCAATCATGAATCGCTGGAAAGGCTCTCCATCATGTGCCTTCCTTTCGCGGCCGAACGACATCCCAGTGGCGCAAGTGAATAAAGAGTATTCCAAAACCAGATCACGCCGAATGTGGTGTATCCATGGCGAATGTGGTGAACCGCAATGGTCGCGCACATCATATTCCATAACCAGGCGTATCAGTCCGTGCCCTCGAGTCACTCCGCTCAGTTGAGTTGAGGCTCACAGATGCCGTCGATGATTGCGAGGTAGTTTCAACCAAGATTGAGCTGGACGTAGGCCGATTTATGTGCATAGCCCGATTCTGGGGATGCGGCGTCTTGACCGGTATGCTCCGTCCAAGTAATCAGCATCTTCCACCCTCCGTTGGACACGTCTTCGGCACCAAAGTATCCCGCATGCACACCACCAGCGTAGATATAACCCTGGGCAGGAGAATCGATCTTGGCGAGGACTTGCTCGTCAGACCACTTGGCATTCACAATGTTTTCCATGTCGAGATCCTTGCCCTCCCCATTCAGGTCGAGGTCCAAATAGCGGTAATAGAAAGTATTGTCAGCCAGAGTGTTGAGGTAAACCATGAGAAAACCCCGCATGGCAGGGACATAGATGACGTCTAGATCTTGAACCAAGACATCGAGCATAACAGCCGTCGAGTTGGACGAGGGTACATCTTTGACCCAGGAGCCACCGTTCCAGTATTCGTAGGTCGACAAGTCGGTGTATCCAGTTGGAATGGTTCTCGCCACAAGGACGCCATTGTCGCCTTTTCCAAAGAGGTAAATGTGGCCATCATTGCCGCCAGACCCAGAGGGCCCCCAGGAACGCATCCCGCCCAAAGTCCCAAAGGAGACTTGGTCTTGGTTGTAGAGCTGTCGAACAACACGGTCGGCAGACGGCCCATAAGTTGGATCGACAGAGACCAAAAGAATAGAGTTGCCAACGTCATTAAAGACTGCCGCCTGTGTGGTCATATCTACAACATCATACACCAGTGCTGGGTAAAGCAAAGCATGGCTTGCGTTGAGCGGGATCAGGGAAGATTCAGGCCATACTGCATATCGATACCCATTCCCGGACAGATCAATGTTGAAGGATTCTTCTCCGGTCGTCATGGGAGCAAACCCTCGCATTCTGCCAACGTCATCCTGCCATTCGCCAACATTGTCCACGAGATTGAGTGGCCCTCCATAAAGGGCCTTCATTCCGTCATCTGTGGCTACCGAGCTTGACACAAACCCGACCATCTGGCTGCTGCCTGAGGTTTGATCGATCTGGAAACTGGCAGTGTCGCAAAAGATGAAAAGATGAGTCCCGTTGATCGTCCCCCCTTTCCCACCATCACGAGACATATGGGGTACGACCTTCATGTCTGCCAATTTTGCGTCGGTGTGCACATGGTTGGAGGTCCAGGACCCTGTGTCATCTGCTATTGGGTATTGTGTGATGAGGTCGGTGTTGATCCCTGGGACCAAGAGATTGCTCGCAAGCTTCTGTGGGCTTGCAGGCACATGGCTCACATATTGTGTCGTAGGCTTGTTTGTGGAGCTACCGAGCAATCTGAAGTCTCCTACACGAAGCGAAGGCGTAGAGTCCCCGAGGCTGGAACGAGGCATCAGCACAGGAGGGGAAGCAGTTGGCGAAGAGCAGCCTGAAGCTGAAGGAATGACTGTCGCGCCGACCAGATGAATTGTTGCTGAGCTCGGATTATCCAAAGAGGACTTTAGATAGCAGTCATCTGCGTCGTCAACGCGGTCTGGTGCAAAGACGAACCCGGCGCAATGGGTATCGCTAAGATTTTTCTTGTTGTAGGCTTCGCACTGTGCCAAACATTCTTCGAAAGAACCAGCCAGAACAAAGGGGTAGATGTTTTGAGCGGGAAAGTCCCCATCACAGATAAGTGTGTATTTGGCGCCATTGGGAGCAGCACTGACAATAGTCGAGCCATTCACAGCGTTACAAGGTAGGCTTCCAGGGAGAGGGGTGGCAACGGCGCAATGAGCACCAGAGCAAGGAGTGGCTGAGTTTGCATAGACGGAGCTGATTCTGGCTTTGTAGGGGATAGGATATTTAGTGGTCCGAGCTGGTCCATCTCGACCTGCGAGACCCGGATGCAATTCATGGAAGCTGTGTGGATAGGCGGCGGAAAGATAAAGAAGAGAGAGGAAAAGATAGATCAGCAGCATCAAGCTGGACGAGGAGAAGAAGGAGCGCATGGCGCAATCTATATTCCTTTGATCAGTACCCACGTCTCTTGCCGACGACTCTCGTGACACTCACCTGCTTGCCAATGAATGACGCGCGATGACCGAGCCAGCCGGTTCCAGTCTGACGATAGAGAGTGACGATGCTGACGACAAGGCTTATTTCTTTGATACAGTAAGAGTAGATGTTGTTCAGTTTTCGGGGGTGAGAGGAAGGCAGGAAGTGAGAACCAGAGCGCGGTGTTTAGGTGGTCGACGACTGATCAACAAACAACGAGGTCCGGCAGAATTTGCCTGCGTGAATCTAGATCGGGAAAAAATGGTATAGACTTTTGGGTCATGTAATGTGAAGGGTAAACAATTCCAGGTGAATCCAGATGGATACAGTAGACTGCCATTTCGACACGACGATGGGAGGATGTTGGTTTGTCCTTATGTTCACCACGGAATGTGCCATTTTCATTTCAAGGTGTGAGTTTCTCAACTCCAAAGGGCTTGATGAAATCAGCCTCCAGGCTTATTACCGCGTGCTTCACTTCATATGACCCCTTGTCCTCTGCCGAGGATGGACAGAGACAGATCCATGGTTGCACACAGCTCCCAATTCCATGGAAAGAGTAGTCGTTTCAACTGTCATTGGGGTTGCCACCGCCTCACCAGTGTTCCAGAAATAATTCATACACTTCCAACCTTTGTTGCCTTCTGCTTACCCCGTCACCGGTCGCTCCGTTCTAAGTCCATGGACGCCTTCACGGTTTGTGTAGCCCTGTTCAAGGCTGTCTCAATAGCACGTCTGAGCCCAATGTTCCCAAAGTCGTCATCACTCAGCCTTCTTCGCCAGCTCCCGGACATTTGGGGCTGTGGTGGCATTCTTCTCGATATCCGCAGCCCATAGAGCTGCTGCCACAGTATTTGTGAATGCGAAGATAAGATTTGCAAAGGGAACCATCTCGAGCAGAAAGGCTGCCACTCCAAATGCGGTATATGCTCCGCGATGTTCCGCGATATGCATCTCCCTCTGTCTCTTGTTCCACTCCTTGAGCTGAAAGTATCGTGTATGCGCGGCTGGCCCTGCTCGTTTGCCTTGAAGAACTATGAAAACGAGGGTGCCAACTACGGGAATGAAGTTGAGTGGCAGGTAGATGAGGTATCGGATGATGGCATTGGGTGTGAATTTGGCGAATGGGCGCTTGAGCAGCTTTCCCAGTCTGGCAATGTTATCCCCTCCAGCTTTTATTTGCCTGCCTTCCTCAACTAGATTGGTGCAATCTCGAGAAAGGAGGGTGCCGTCAAAGGTGTCGATCAACGCCTCTTCGATCAAAAAGGTTCTCGAGAGGAGGTTGATGAGGGTTGAACTCTCGCTGAGCGTAAGTAAGGCCGCTGTAATCGCGGCGACAGGCCCAGAAGTGAACGCCATGATGGCTGCTTGAGGCACGTACGCCACGAGGAACATGAACGTGGTCACCCCGATACTCAGCGTGATCGTCGGACCCAGTTTGGAAGTCAATGGTTTCCACAAATCTTTATGAGAGACGAAGTAGAAAATACCCTGTTCACCGTCAGAACAGTGCGATGCTGGCTGCGGGAGAAGAGTCTTCCTTACCTTAATGGGATAGAGGTAGGCCCGCGACTCCACAGCCTCGCGAGTCATCTTTCGAACGTGGTCTGCCTCTTCGGCAGCAACTTGCTTCACCCGATCAGCCATTTTGGCGCCAGATTCGAGCTGCACGATGGAAAATGAACGTAGAGGCTTTGATCTTCGTATGACTGCAGACAGAGTTAGATGTGCGACTTGAAGAGAATCTTGTCTTTCCAGAGAAGCCCCGAAGCTCTGATGTCATCGTGACACAAGTTCAAATCTAAGGTGTTTCTCCACTTTCGCGTCAAGGCGCGGGGGGCTCAACTTCCTCCCGCGAGAGTTGAATAGTGCATCTACACTTCTACTTTTGTAAGGATACTAAGAGCTTCAAACAAAGTTGGTGTTTGCTTACTGTGGGGAACAAGAATCCGATGTTTCGGAATTCCGTAGCGCCCTCTTCAAGTGGAATACGATTAGCAGCAACCCGAGTACTCGGGAGAGCTGACCCCATATCAACCGGGAACGAACTCGACGCCAGATTCCGATGTGAGTTGTGGGACCCATGGGGAAACAGGTATCCAGACTTATGTTATGTCAACACTGGCTCCGCCGAGAAGAGCATGTTGACGTACGGACATACTTGACTGGTAGTAGTGACGAAGCAGCCTGGGCTGAGTGGACAAAAAGAGGATACCACAGATTCGGCATCAGTGGAACGAGCATCCGCTTTCGAGTCTTGAAAGGCACGGCTATCTGTGCCGTGGCTATCGAAATAGCCCTTGACATGGCATTATGAGTCTAGAGACCATCGCTCGCCGAGTTGTATTTGTGGCGCAGCTGTCGGTTCTTCTATTGTGATGAACTTATTCACAATGCCAGCTACGAGCGTGAAAAGACAGGGATATTAGACCGTGTTTCAAGACAGAACGATATAGACTTGTAACGATACTTAATTGCAAGATGATTAGGTCTTTTGTGAGGGTTGTCCAAAGTCTTGTACAAGTGCAATCCGCAGATGAATACTTCGCTCTTTGCCACCAGACGCCACATCTGTCGCCGTTTCAACCAACAACCCAATTCGAATACCTGCGTTCCTTGTCCCTCAGCACAAGGCGAGTACGACATTCTCGATTATGTCTGGTACCCGCTCGTCTGCTTCTGTTCACCACCACTTCCAACTTGGACTCGTGCTATTCCTCGGCTAGGGTAACTAACCAAGCTCATCCTCAGACTCAAGCACAGGCGCGTTGGTGTAAATGACTGCCACGAGAACTCAACCATCCGGGACAGACTCTTAGCCTTCTTGGTCAGTCAGATCAACAAGCACAATTGTCCTTCTGCTGCTTTCCCCTGTCTGCCAGGTTCACCCTCGCTTCCTCTGCTCGTTGAGCTGCACCCGACAACGCTGCCTGTGTTCCACCACCAGCGGCTCCTCGGGCTCCCTTCAACGATGTCTCAGGGATGGCATTCGCAATTGCCGAGAACACCTCCGCGACGTTCGTACCGGTCTTTGCCGACGTTTCGAAGAATAGCAGGCTTTCCTCCTCTGCGTATGACTTGGCTTCTCGTGTAGAGATTTTCCTTGCGTCCCCGGTTTCAGAGGGTTCAGCTTCGGCGTGTTCAGAGGTATTGGCGTCGCCTTCGTCCCCTGCTGCGGAGGACGACTCCTGAGAAGAATCCGCGCCCTCACCGGACGATTCGGCGCACAGATCTAGTTTGTTGCCCACAAGGGCGATGACGATTCCTGGTGAAGCTTGTCTCTGCAATTCCGCAACCCAATGCTTTGCTTTCACGAGCGAGGTTGGTTTCGTCAGATCATACACGACGAGCGCAGCTTGTGCGTTGCGGTAGTACATGGGGGCGAGAGAGGCAAAGCGTTCTTGGCCTGCGGTATCCCATATCTCGAACTTGATGATTCGGTTGGGAAGGGAGATCTTTTGGGTAAGGAACGCCGCTAGGGAATGTCAGCTTGATGACCTCAGAAGGGATCGCATCATTCTGGGGAAAGGGGCTGGGGGAGAGCGGTTCCGAAAGGACAATAAAAGGGCCTGCAGTCCAGCAGAGAATGCGACATTGACAGGACGTAGACATACCGCCAATGGTGGGTTCCTTGTTCTCTTGGAAATCATTGTTGACAAAGCGCAGGACTAGAGATGACTGTTCAGGCTGTCAGCGACGATCCTTTATTTTTGCATCTTCTCGAAAGAAGTCGAATGATATCTCCCATCTGCTCCAATCGTGTGTGTATGTCCCTTTTAATTGACGTGAGGATAAGGTATCATGATCTCAACCGTACAACCACAGCCACTTCTTCCAGGGTTGTCTTCAATGTGACATGGCAGGGAACTATTGAAAGCCAGGGAAGGAAGGGTGATGGGCCATGCGCAACCCACCTTTCCGACGGCGGCTTCTCCCAACAGCACAAGCTTGACGCTGCTCGAGGGCTTGGGAGCTGAAGATGAGTCGGCCATGCTAGTCCTTCCAAATTTCTTTCAGGTGCAGATTGTGCCTGGAGATGTAGAGACCCCTTTGCCGGTAACGAAGCGTATAGTCTTGGTAGGAGAAGCTCGAGTTTGGTACTGAGGTGGTCAGGTTGGGGACGAATTCGCTGCGGAAGTGGACAAGTTTGGATGATCCTTGAATGTCTCTCGTTTGAAGGGTCGTTCTGGGAGTTGGATAAGGAACAATTCGAGGGTACAGAATCTGCCAGGGATGAGGGCGGGTTTGGAAAGGGGATGATGATTAGGAAGTGGATTGATCACAGCAGTGGCAGCGGATTGTAGACTGACGATGCGGATGATGCCGAGTTCCCAGCAAGCCAGATGCCCGTTACGGTTTCCGTCGCTACGATCCACCGTACAGCTACGGCACGATATACCTGCACCTGCGGCAGCTGCATCTTTTGCCTCAAATCAATTTTCCCTTCTGCCTGCACACTAAAGTTCTCCAAAAGAGCATCCTCGGGGCAACCCCTGAGTGTTGAAGCCTCGTGCGACGAACCAGCATTGATTCCTTTGCGTCAGCCTATGTTGGGCAGCAACCCAGAAAACCAAACAAGTTACGAGGGACAGATTGACAAAACATTATTTCAATTTCTTTCAGTGTGAGAGATAAAGGAAGCCACATGTTGACTGTTGCCTCTGGTTGATGACTCCACAGGAATCAAAAGAGCCTTTTCGTGTCATTTGAATAGGCCATCTCATCTTGTTAATAACATGGTATCCAGGCAGAAACCTTTTGCAATTGGCATGACCGACGCTGCGGTATCATACCCTCTACCTCCAGACCCATGACGAAACTCCCAAAATAGTGACCTGAGTCATATAATCTATGCCGCAATGTTCCTCATCCTTTGGCCGTCCGTCTCCATATTCCAGCCTCCGTCTATAGTGAAACGCCGAGAGAAAAAGCACTTTTTTGATACATCAAATAT